CCTTAACTAGCCTCCCAAACAGCGTGAGGCCCGCATAGATCATCGCGGTTCGTTTATCCGGCGGGCTGGACGACAGTGCACCGAGCAACTGTTTCAGCAGAACAGGCTCGATCAGCTCCACCGTGCATTCGAGTACTCCCAGACATGTCGTGATCACGAGGTCGAGGCCGTTCGCCTTTAGCAGACGGACGAGAACGGTGCCAGTGAGCTCTCGAAAGAGTGTGTGCAATCTTCCATGTTGAAACTCAAGGGCAAGAAACCACACGTCATCGTCGTTCAGTTGCCGGCTGTACCCGAGCTTCATCAATGGGCTTAACCACGACACAGTCATCCACTGCCAGGCTGTGATGAGATCTTCGGGACTGCGAGCATCAGAGTTTGGGGCTGTGAATGGCTTGCTGATTCCGGTACTTTCCGCGTAGGGTTCCCTCAACGGCATGTTCAGCATCACGAGTATCGAGGCGAAGGTCAGAGATAGTTCGCCAACCCAGACAGCCGTCGAGGGCCAGCCATTGCCAGCAACATCGGGAACCACAATGAATAAGGCTAGTTCCACCAGAAGTAAAGCCCCTTGGATCATCAAGACGGCGCCTGGAAGGGTCCTTGGACGCTCGAGAACAAGCATCGTGCTAGATATGACCTATCGACGTCCATATCAGCATCCCGGGCAGAGATCCTGCCATGTGGGCGTAGCAAGGACAAGACTTACAGCTGGCCCCACGGGCATCAAGAGAACCTGAGCGTTTTCCGGCCAGATGACTGCCCCCGTAACGCCCAACAGGGGAGCTCCAACAGACAACAACAAGAGTGACAAATTCCATATCGTCCACTTTGACCTTTTGACTCCCAAAGAGTCGCCCGTTTCCTGATCGATAGCAGAGATTGTCGTCTCCTCAGCGGCAAATCTGCGTAACCAGGTTGGGCGATACCTTGACCACACCGGGCCAAGCCCATATCGAAGTGTTACTGTCAGCAAGGCAATCCATAACGGAACGTGGCCCACGACGCCCAGGCATTGATGACTGAAGGTGCCCAGTGATGGTATCTAGAACGTGTCAATCAACTTGTGCGTTTTGTCTCAAAGGCGGTGTAGCGGCAACGTACCCATATCCTCTGGCAGCAGCTATAGCAGGGCCAGAAGCTGTCCCACCATCGTGAAGATGACGTGGACGTCATAGTAGCGCCTGGGTTCCCCCGCAACATCCAGAGCCAATCGTCCGGCGGAGACGACATGGAGGAGAAAAAAAGAGTGATCAGGCCCCAAGATCGATATCCAGAGACGAAAGCCCTATCCTATTAACATATCATGGGAGTCGGAGACATCTCCGGGGAGAAAGTGGGAAGAGAGCGCCGCCGAATCGGAAGACCGGATGTTGGTTTAGCTACAGGTCAACGGCGAGGTTGATTGGAGAGAAAAGGGGGTTGCGGTGCTAAACTTGCACCAGCGGCCCCTCCTGGCACAGGGTGGTCGGGACCTTTGCCATCGTAGCATGCCAAGCATGGTATCAAAATGCTCTCCGAACCGGGCCGCATCTGACAATCGAGTCTGTTCAGCCCTTTGTCTGCTCGAAAGATGAGATAGAAATGACGGAAACTTGCCCTGCCAAGACTCGGCAATTCTCCGTGCGCGCGCTGATCAACTACGGCAGAACGTACCATACCGGTAGTGGAGGGAGTTCACATGGAATGACGGCAGCGGATGGAAATGGAGAGAGTCAGCAAGACGAATGGTCCTGCAGGCGCGGATAAAGGGAGGTCGTACCGGTCACCGTCGCCGGCATCGCTGCAAGACAAATGCTTTGCGTGGGACACGTTGCAGCACCAAGTGCCGGGAAACTGGGAAAGGAGACCAATCTGATGACACGAGGCAAAGGGAGAGTTGTGAGAAGTTTGGTCCACGAGATGCAATGCATCCACGGGGAGCATACCCGAACCTTACCCCCCCACCATCCCGTTACAGGGACCTTGAAGTTAGGGAGGGGGCATCCACTAAGGGTTGGGGGTGATGCGCTACACGGCACCGACAGCTGAGACCAACTCGACGTGCATGTGCCGGGCAGCGAGCAATCAATCACACAGCATGGTGCCTCGTGACATCGAATGGTATTTGAGTCTCCGATTTGGTAACGCCCATGAGCAAATTTTTCTGCCTCCTGCAGACCGCCATGAATTGTCCGTTTCGACCTCCCAATGACCAGCTTCCCTGAACGCCATCCTCCCCTCGTGCTGAACCCCAGTGGGGGTCGCTGACTCAGCCAGACAAATAAAACAAATGGTATCTAAATTTGTACATATGCATAAGAACCCTAGAACAAAAGAAACACCTCATGCATGCCATGAGAAAATGACGGATGTCTGAACACCTAGCCCCTTTCTTTTTTGACCCCCTCCCCCTCCCTCGCCGGCCTCCCTCCCTCACCGCTGCCTCGGCCTGCATGAGTAGTTCAACCCCAACCTCTGCTTCCGTGTCTGGTGATCCCCTACGGCTGTCCAGTCCATCTGGGGCCGGGTGATTGGATGGGTGTGCCGCTCATCTCGACCGGACCTTCACCACCCGCTGCAGGGTGGCCGACCGGCACATCCAGTTCGTGAATGGGTGGCTGCACCGTCGACATGTGTGGTTGGAATGGCTGGAATGCTGTGTACCTGTCGTGGGCCTGCGCCTGAGCCTGGGCTTGTGTGTCTGGGGGAAGTGACAGGTGCTCTGGGGACTCCCAGTTGTAACCACTAGCTCTATTGTACGCAGCCTTCGCGGGCTCTGGCGATGGCATCCACTTCGGTTGATCTTGTGGCGGCCAGACACCTGTGTCGGGAGGGCTCACATACCCACTACTCGTGCCACTTGCCGATGGTGTAACAGACATGTGGGCTGTCTGGCTCAACGGTGGCTGCGTGTAGGAATCTGGAAGCATCGGATGTGATTCCTCCCCTTGCTTTCTCTTCTTGCGCAGCAGGAAGAAGACCACTCCAGCCACCACAGCAACCCCAACAACCGATCCGGCTATGATGCCAGCAAGAGCTGCCGTCGGTAGCCCTTGGCTTCCTTCGTCTGTTGGTTCTGTTGAAGCCGGTGGTGATTCGATCGAGATAGTGGTACTTGTTGTTGAGGAGGTTGTCGTCGTGCTTGTTGGAGCAGTTGTTGTCGTTATGGATGCGCTGGTGGTTGTGGCCCCGTCCGCGAAATCCATGAACTGCTTCTCCGAGATGCCCATAGGCGTGCGTGAGTCCCTGCAAGCACCGCTCATCGTGTCATAAACTTGTTGAAGGTCATCCCTCGAAGATTGACCGAGGCAGGAGGCTGTGTTCTTGATAAAACCCCCTCCATTTTGGCAGAGGCATTCATTTGTTGTCTTAACAACACCCGTCTCGCACTTGGAGGCGTCGGCCGCCGCGTACATGCAACCCTGGGCGGTTTCGGGATAGAAGTCAAAGTTGATCGAGGCCCCCTGGACTGTCGAGGCGAGCACGAGAATGGCGAGAGCAGAGGGAAGCGTCCGCAGTTTCCCGAGACTGATCATCTTGGAGGTAGGTGGGGGCTTGTATAGAGAAAACAAAGGGTATTGATAGGCTATGGATCCGGCAGGACCATAGGCGCATAATCAGATGAAAATTCCCCGAACTATGGCAGTGACGGTAGTCGTTCATGGGTCGGGTGAGGGTGTGCTGTTTGAGGAGACGCGAGAGGCAAACAGCCTGTTGTACCAATGTTGTGTATGATGAGCACACACAACATGAGAGACTGGACGAAATGGAAGAGGAAGGAGAAATAAAACGGGAAGGTTCAAGTCAGCTCGACTTTTGATAGCTCAGGAGGATGTGCTCTTACCCTGCCGGGTATGGCAGGGGGTTGAGGCTGAGTTTGGCAGGCAGTACTCTCCAGATCCCAACAGCGCGGACACAGCTGTCTCCGCCACCGCCTGCCATCTTCACCATTGGAGCATCAAAAAACCTTTGGCAAGAAGTATGCGATTCAAGCGGGAGACTGTCGGATAATAGATCCGACAAGTTCCCAACCAACAGCTGGGAACAACACGTTGCTTCCCAAATCGTGCCGCCGGATGCCACCGTGTTCCGGCATCACTTGGTCTGTGCTTGCTCGGACTGTCGCTCGGTTCGATGAAATTGGGTATCATGAACGTGATGTAATAAGTTGGTCGCGGTGGAAGTTACCGCGCGACCCTGAAATCGCGTCCAAGCAAGGCTGCGTTGAGCAAGGCAAAGAGGAATCTCAGGATTGAGGCTTGATGTCAGCTCCCGGCGCTTCTTCACCACAAGCCACAGGCCAAGCCACTAAAATCGCTGGTCAGACTTTTGCTTGACCCCACTGGTCAGCCCTATGATGGCGCCCCTATTTTGGGATTTTGTGGTGGGTAGGTCAGTCTTGGAAGAGTGTTCGCCCCAACGTCAGGTCAAACCCTTTGAACGTGCTGTTGGATTTGACGGCAGGAGTTCGTCGTCCAAGCTATTTCTGTCTGCCAAGCTGATTGAGCTTTATGCCTGAGGAAAAATGCAGGCCCTTTATGCGTTTGCATACAACACTGCCCAACAGTAGTAGGCCAAAGATATGCAGCCCAGCTCCTCCATTGCTGGTGTCTCTCCTGCTGCTATTTCTTCATATCACAAGTGCCAAGTAGGGAACATCGCCATCGCTGGCAAGTGGCATCATATGTCTCGCTTGCATCCAGTCAAACGGAGCCGATCTTTTGCTTTCTTTCCATTTTCGCTGTCAATGAATTGGAGAACGTGCAGTCAATCAACCCCAAAGAAAACCCCACCTGTGTCATCCCATCTCCAATGACTGAGCTATGACGTATGATGCACCAATGGCCTCGAGCGGTTTCCATTGGGGTATTGGTCAAGCTACCAAACCAAACAAACACATGCTCACCTGACACGCAACTACAAGAAGAAGACCCTGCGAGCTTTCAGTCCACCAACTTTCCAATTACAACTACACACAGCAAGTCTCAACAACCATACCAACACAACCAACAATCACAATGCCGATCGCAACCACCAACGAAGTCATCGAGAGCGCCGTGATCCGCGCGCCCCTCTCCCACGTCTGGCACTTCATCAAGCTCGCTGAGTTCCCCAAGTGGTACTCCCAGATTAAGCAAGCCGAGCACATCGTCAAGGGCGTCAGCGACGAGACGGACGTGTACAAGTGGACGTTCAAGGACGGGAGCGTGGTGGAGATCAAGCAGGATGAGCACAGCGTGGGTTCAACCTCTCTCCTCAACACGGATGGTACTGACATGTGGATGGCACAAAAGAACCTGGACCACTTCATCACCTACAGTGTCATCAACAGCGAGCCCGAGCTGAGCTACTCGAGCGTAGTCAGCACGATTCGATGCTGGCCCGTCACGTCGGGCGAGTTTGAGGAGAGCACTTTTGTGAGGTGGACTTCCAAGTTTGCGAGCGATGCTGATATTGGTGGGTTTTGAAGCTTCAAGACGGCCATGGCTGGGTGCTGACATGTATTTTAGGTGTTATCGAGGATGCCAAGTACAAGCGACGGGATGCGTTGAAGGACCTTGCGGCTGCGGCACAGAAGATGGTGAAGGAGCATCAGAAGTAATGACAAGATGGGAGGGATGGCAGCAAGCTTTTTGTTTGTCATTGGTCATGATTTGGGAGACGGGTTCATGGGCAGAATATGGATATTGTAAGATGTTGATGCTAGGTTCCATAGCAGAAGCCTGTAAAATCGAAATGTAATGGCATTCTTTACGACTGGATCCACAGCCTGATGTTGCTCTTGAAAATTGGAGGTTCCCGTCTGGATCTCATACACATACACGGCATGACTTGGAGGAAGATTGCTGGAGAGAACCGGCGAAGCCTGAACGGGATCATTTTTTGATCGTTGTGCCTCTGGAGTAGGCCTTCACGTATCGTCAAAGAGGTTCAAAAAGATAGTTAATACACATTAGAAGAAAGTCAATAGGCATTGAAACATGCGTAGTCTGTGAGTACAAGACAGTGAGTACGTATCGAAGAAAGATATTCAATACTTATTAAAGGATGGCGACAGGCATCACGACAGTGTTACCATGACTTGAAGGAGAGCTCATTAACATTGGAAGACCAAGGAGATGCCGTCACCTAAAATAGCTAATAGCCTCTCAAGTCGATGCCATTGCATGAACACACCTATACATGAACCCCGAACCTTGAATCCTCCAAAATGCCCTTGCTGCAGCCACACCCGTGCTACCGTCCCAGTGGCTACATTATCGCCGGCGACTTTAGGTTGCACCTTTTTCCACAATGCACCACGACCATGCTTGAAATCTTACGGTCCATGTGTACCTCCTGCTTTTTTACATAGAAAATAGAGATTGATACTGGGATTGAAGACCTTTCAAGATAGCCGGCATGCCTCTAAGTATAGTTAGTGGGCCCTGAATATATCTTGATAGGTATTTGATAATATTTAATAGACCTTTGAAGAGAGTAGAAAGGCCTAGGAAGGATCGCCAAAGTTTTTATTATCCTGCAATCCCTTAATTTTACCACTTGACCCCAGATTGCGTGCGGAAGGTCCGGATCTGAGATGGATTACCTATGGCCGAAATCACAGTCGAGCTGCTTGAAAAGCAGTCTCCTTATTTCTGCTATACTTCTGTCTGGCAGGGAATCGTCCCATAGTTAGATTTGCAAAAAGACGACCCCAAGCAAAAAAAAAAACAAAAAGGGAAAAAAAAGGAGTTAGGCTTCGGACACCATCGTACAACCTGAGATTATTCTCAACATCGGCTTGCTCGAGATCGTTAGGTACCTTGTGAAGGGATCCTTGGTACACATGCCATGAGGGGATTTAGCGGTCGCGAATGAAACCAAGGTGTTTGATATTGTCCACCTTCATATTCTACGAGCTACCCCGCTAGTCGATAGTAGGTAGAAGTCCCGCCAAATACCCCGTTCAATAAGGAGCATAAACTGGAAATAACTTGAAAATAAAATGAGAAGCGGGGCCGAGACAGCTGGGTCTTAACCGTCCCAGCACACTGTGTCGTGTAGGAGCGACAGGACTGACTACAACTCCCATGACATGTACTCGCGTTCCCTACCACTGATTGACTTCCATTTTCCTCGGATGGTATAGACGATGGCAGCACTCTTAATTGTTCCACGCCAAGGATCCTCATTGATGAGTGGTGAGTTGCTGAAGAACTTGTTGCTGATGTAGATACGCTCGTTTCTTGACGCAGCCTCGTAAAGCCTTCGGTACACTGTCGGGTGCGTGATCTGCTCCAAGCCATAGATAACAGCGTAGATCTTGATGCGGCCCGGGACCTCCGGAGGCCAGGCACTGGCCAGCGTCACCCCTGGTGGCTGCGTTTTGATATCATCCGAGGTAAGAGTCCAAACAGTATCCTCGCCAGCCTTGGAAACGAAGACCCGCTTTTCGTCAGTAGGGCTGTCGCCAAAGGTGTACACAAGGCTCAGTGACTTGGGGTTCACGGGCCATGGGTCGCGAATAGGGAATGTACGGGCGTCAACGACCAGGTTTTCGACATGGGGAAAGATAAGTCTTCCCAAAAAGGTTACGTCCTGGCCTCCGTAATGAGCGGCAAGTAGCCTGGGAGCTTTTTTCTCCTTGGGGGCAGGCATCTCGTTGGCATGAACAATGAGGCCGTGCTTGGCAAACTGCCGAGCAACATGGAAAACCTGAGACATGTGAGACCTGAGCAACACAATCCAACACCGGGTAATGAAGAGATAGCATACCATATTCTAGGCCTTCACGGTGCGGTCCACGCTAATTTTGACAATGACACCGCTCGCGTGGCTCTCGGGCATGACACGGCCCTCAAGGCTCTCCAAATTCCTGATGAGTGAGTCTGCGTTCGTTTTCATTTGGCTCATACCATCTAATAGTAAGTTTCATGTCAGTTGCAGTCGGATCGGTAGCGCAACTTGGATTGGCCGTATACTGACCCATCATGTTTTGTAGACAGGCCTGAGCACCTGCTATGTGTTCTGTGATGTTGTCTATCGAATGCGACAGCCCGTGAATGCGGTCCACTGAGTTGATGAGTGCAAGCTTCTGGCGATTGCCATCGCATATCTTTATGTTGTATTCGATATTTATCTTCTCAAGCTCCTGCAACGCGTCCTTCAACTCTTGTGACGAGTTGTCAAAGAACAGATTGATCCCGAAAAGTTGACCTGACAGGGCGGGCTCGTAAGCACTGCCTTATAGCCAAGAAGAAATCAGCATGAAGGGACTTACAAAAGAAATGAGTAATCGTTTTGTTTGTAACCTTGGAAGCCGCCTCACTCTGCTGCTTGGAAAGCTGCAGGAGCGAATCGCGTATCTCCTCCATCTTCTTCGAGATGGCATCATAAAGCATAAACCCCGTCACTGCGGCGTCAAGCAGCTCGATGAGACCTTTCAGACCCTTCTCGTCCTCGAGGGTTTGTGTCCTGAACTAAATCCAGGTCAGCACGCATTCCAATGAGTGTGAATGAATCGGTGGGTGTCATTACCAGGCTGGTGACATGGTGGATTTCTTTGCATCTCTCATGCACCTCCGCACTGTTGCTCTTCAACATGTGCAGTATCTCCTTGGCATCGCGACGAGCCTGCTTGCTTCTCGGACTACCCAGCTGAATATTGGCATCGCAAATGACATCAAGCTGTTCCTTGAGCGCACCAACAAGGGTCACCACTTCGTCGGCAAAATTGGCAATTAAGTAAGCTAAACATTGATTCACCTCAAATCTCGTTAGCAATCCGTGGTGAAGTAGGGAGGCGCTGATGATGAGCTGCCGTAGGTAGTGAAGGAGATGTATTGTGCACGTTAAACCTCATACTTTGAGGGGAATTGAGTGAATGTTGCGGCTGCGGGATTGGGATAGATAAGGTAGAAGGAGAGAGAAATGGGTGAGGGGAGGTAACTAAAACGGTGCTATCATGTTCGGGAAAGAAGATGAAGGTGGACGCAAAATCATTAAATGCGAGGACGATAACAGCAGGCAGAGAAGATTATATTGTACTAACAAAGTTCAATCATTGGGTTGATCCCGTTGGTCTGAAAGATAGCACAGTGCTGATGTATCGTAGTCAACACATCAACAATCAACTTTGGCAAGGCGCGTTAGTAATCGGAGTCTTCATGTAAGGTAATGAGTTGAGGTTGGCCACACACCTCGTAATTCCCTTTCTTGAGGTTGGTCGTGTGAAAGTCAGCAAAGGGCTACTTGGCTCGGAATTGATCTGGTGTCTTCGGGAAAACGAAAGAGGCGGCGATGTAGAGTTGGAGCTTTGTGAAAAGAGTATCATCGAGCGAGAAGCCATGAGTGCCGTCTACATCGGCTCCTACTGTCTCCTGATACATGATTCGTACCCCAGTTGCTGTCGGCTGAGCTTGCCGAAGAAAAGTAAGAGCCTGCTCCCCAAAGGTATCCAGAGCGGCTTGAGGGGCAAGAACTTGGACGGTCGCCATATTGAGATGCAATCCAAACTGTCCTTGACAAGTGAAGCTTCGATACGGTCTGGCAGAAGCGAAGGAGCAGAGCCTTCATGTACGTCTTCTTCAAAAGTAATGCCACCTCAGCTTTCGAGGCCTTTGTCACCCATCTGTCATCATTCAGCTCATGCGAACCATTTCTATAAGGAAAACGCCGCTGCGTCCTTTTCTTTGACTTGTGGCGTTTGATGCCGACCAACACCACCTAGCCCTTCCTGTTTAGGTAATCCGCAACTTGCAGTAAGTCGCCTTCTAGGCAACTATTTCTGTTGGGATGCACTATTCTTATTGGGGGACAGAATTCTCGTAGGGAATTGCGTCATCAATGTCTTGTTATTTATTGGACCTTTGAGTAGTAGGTACCTCCTTAGGCATATTCAAATGATGTCGTGACACGAAAAGTAAAAGTCTGGAGTCAAACTTCTTTCCTCCCACAACATGTTGCTCAATTTTCCCCCAGTTGCCTTGCAAAGTACCCCCCAGCCGATGCTTCACAAGCTTTAGTTTGGAGGGATCATGCCTTTATATCCAATGGTTTCAAAACATGCAGGTATTTTGGATTGGAATGGTGTGGTTCGGGGTTTGCTCTGTCGATTCGACGGCAACTGGCTACGAAAGAAGCACTTGCAGCGGCTTGTTTGAAAGTGGAATAGGTAGGTTTTGAGCATACATGCGGCTGAAGAGCAGCGTCTTCTAGGCAGGCAGGCATGATGGAGGGGTGTTGAGGGGAGAGACCTGCTAGGTTGAGACAAGCAAGTACCCAGAAATGAGCAGGCGTGATATCAGGAGAGAAATGAAAAGGCAAAATATTATTGTTCTTTAGTTTCTGACCATAGGATTGGAAAAAGGTGGACTTTTGGTCTTGCTCAATTCTTGCCATCAATGCCTTGCCTTGCATTGCTTTTGATACAGTCCAGTGCTTTTAGAGTGTCAAAAAGCAGGATTGTCTTTTTGCATCATGAATTTCAAGATTGCGTCGGACCAAATGGTCAATAGTTTTACTCTGCAAGAGAAGACCTTTGCCAAAGACTACGCTGAAGCAGCGTATCTCGATGCGGACAGTCGTACGGTATGTGGGCTTCTGGCTCTCTTAAAGTTAATGTTTGACAGGGCTGACAGAGCGGCCAGGTTTATCTCCGCTCTCCCGTCCAGCGCCTGAACGAGTCCCTGGCACAGGCCAACCGTCTTGTCAGAGATGCCAATTTGAATACCGCTCTTCGTCGACTTGTGGTGTACTGTGACACGCTAGAGATACCCGAAAATGTTGTCGTCGCTCATGACGACCTAGCCAACGATCTAGACCTTCGCATTTTTGCCCGCAAGTTACAGTGCCTCGGCGATGCTAAAAATGCCCTTAAAATGAGTCTCTCAACCACTTCTATTCTCGACATCTTCACATATTCGTTGCCTGCTAGCTTTGGTGTCAACTTCATTTCGATCGATGGATCCTCCAGATCCAAGTCGCTTTCTATAGACCGGGATAAATGGGGCATCCAAGTGGTCTGGACGGGAGAAGACTTCTACACGGAACAATTTGAACCCTCGATGCTCGACATGTCTACAGCAGACTACCTGGACCGTTTGAGACCCGATGGAACGGTTGAAGCCGAATCTTATATCAACGACAATCTCCCACGACTTGTATACTTTCAGTTTCTCGTTGCTGCTTCGATCCTCCATACAGATCGTCAGCTTTCACTGGAGATTCTCAACTGGGTGTGTAACCTTAGCGCATCGCCGACTACAGTTAGTCTCAACCTTCAAGCCTCGTCGTTACGCAATACCCTTATTCTTTCGAATACCCACAACATCTTTAATGTGCCGTCCGTCAACATCTACGCCGGCAAGCAAGTGTTGAAGTCTCGACTCATCGCCGCGAAGGCTTTCGAGGATGCGTTCCGAAGCTTCGCGGCTCAGGACACCACCACAGGTAACTTTGCAGCTCTGACAGCCAACATGCTCGCATGCAGCGAGGACGCCATTACCGAATACCAGTTTCTCGAGGCTTTGGCTCAAAAGGGGTACGAAGCGGCGGTGAACGCCAACAATGTGGCCCAAAAGCGTTTCCTGGAGAACGAAAAGTCTGTTGACAAGGCCCAGAAAGATTTGAACGCTGGTATCGATGCATGGAGCAAGAAAAAGGAGCAAGAAGCCGTGGTGGGCGTATGCAAGGCCGTCGTAGACGTTTTCGGTGCAGTGGCCGCGACAGTGGCTACAGGAGGTCTTGCAGCTCCCTCAATTGGCGCCGCCATCAATTCAGGCGTAGGAGGAATCAAAACGCTAACTGAGATCTTTAAAAAGCTAAAGCAGCTTTACGAGGAGATCAAGCCTGTGATTGAGTCTTTGACGAAGCTGGCTGGTGAGGTGGCCGGAGTTGTAGCGACTCTTGAGGCAGCAAAGAAACATCGCGACGAGACTGCAGTGCAGCGTCCTGATATGGACATGGATGTGTTCAACGCGACCGCCCTGTGGGACATTTTTCGTGAGCAGGTCGATGACATGGAGAAAGCCATTGCGAGTGTCGACTGTGACGGGAAGCGAGAATACTTTCTCTCCCTCCGCAAATTGGCTGTCAATGGCAAGACCTATCTGCAAACACAGGAATACCTGTGCAGGCGTGGCGATGATCTTGCTGTCGTGCTCGTCAAGCTGCAGCGCCGCGACCAGGCCCGACTCACTCTCTCTACTAGGAACCTGATGCAGCAAGACGCCGTGCTCGACATCTTGCGGCGTGCCATGTTCGACCGTCTCTTGTCGATTCGCTCTTTGATTTTTCTAGACTTCCAGTCGTATTCTGAGGCCTACATGTTCCATGCCCTCACACCTTACTCCCCCATCACTTTCTCGCCTGTTCAGCCAGTTGTCGATTTCCTGGACGCTGCTGCCAAACTCCAGGGCAGCGTTGCCGCCTTTGGATCACGCGTCCAGATCCAGAACCGCCGTTTTGTCATTCGCACACTTGGAAATGCTACGGACGCAACTGATTTGCGAGCGCAATTGAGTGCCGGGCAATCGGTTACGGTCTCGCTTCGCCCAGATCAAAACATCTTCAACGGCTTCAGCCGCATCCGTGTCAGTCGCGTTCGATGCTATCTTGATGGTGTGAAGGCGGTTTGCCCACCCACGGGGATGGACACCTTGAGGTTGTATCTCAAGACACCAGGCCGCTTTTCCGATATCGCGTTGCCTGGCGCCCGGACAGACAGGGTGTCAAATTTCGTGGGAGATGCCCGTGCTCTGCTATTTGAGTACGTTCCTCTAGATGGGTCGATTGTCTGCGACGGAGAATACAGTCAACAGAGGGACTGCACGCTTCAAACACCGCTGACTGAGTGGGAGGTTTGTATTGCACCAGGTGGCCTTGAGGTGAAGGACCTTGACCTTGAAGAGTTGACGGGGTTGAGGATGGAGTTTTGGTGTGATGTGACCTTGGGTGATTTGTGATGGTGCTCAAGTTGTGAGAGATGCTAGTAGTATTCAAAATACCAGGTAGACAACAACAACCAGCTTACATTTGGTCGGGCGATATGACGCCTTCAAGGGAGCAACATCATCTGGGAAAGGGCTCTTCATCGTTTCCGCCCCCACGTCACTGTCGTTCGTTCTTTCCCAACGTCAACAATGGATATGGCAGCCGGCTAGAAATACCTTGAATCGCAGCCTGGGTGACTCTTCATCCCATCTCTGGCCGTGACAAACAGGTCAGCACACCGAATCAGCCCACCGCAATGAGATTACATGATGACGGACAATGTAAACTACCGGTTTTCTCCCTTCACATGCCTGAGGACAATCTCCCGTGACCACTCGGCAGCTCTCGACTAAAGCTGCAGCAGCTTCTGCCCTTTTTCCTCTCTCCACCACACATTACAAACTTCATAGACTTTACAATACCACCATTCTCCGCGATTCAACTCGCGGTTGAGCATCTCGACCACATCTCAATTCATTTTCAACACCAAAGACCACGAACCATCACTATGCCCTGCCCGTATGGTTGCCACCCTTCGTACGTGATGCCCGTCCAGCTTCAGCCTCAGATGTGCTGTCATGGGTATGCGTCCGACAACATGTCCGGCGCCATGAAGCAAGTATTCCATATCTCTGGCTTCCTCCTTGGCCGCATGAAGACAAGAAAATTACCGCTCTAACTTACTTCTTCAACTTTCCAGCTATGCCGGAGCCTCAGCTGCCGGGGCTGCTGCTGGCGCTGCCTCTGGTGCCGCCGCGGGTGCCGCCTCGGGTGCCATATCCGGCGCTGCTGCCGGGGCTTTCGCGGGTGCTGCCGCCGGAGCGGGAGCCGCTGCTGGAGCCAACTTTGCCAACAACATGCGGCCCATGACCCCAGCTGCCATGACGATGCCAATGATGGGGTAGTAAGAACCGCTCCCATGTTGACAAGAACAAAAAAATTCGAAAGTTAACTTGTATCTCCAGCAGCATGGGTGCCGGACCTGTCTCCATGGCCGCTCAGTCCTTTGTTTACACTTCTCCCGTCGGGCCCAACACGGGCATCCCGATCCAGATCACGTCCTTTTACCCCATTGGCACATTTGTTGGCCCTGGCGGACCTGTCCAGGCGCCTATGAACGGCTGCGCGCCTCCGATGGCCATGCCCTTTCGCCTAGCTCCTTAGACCGCTGCTGGATTTGATCAATGGAGGGAGCATGAGAGAGGGGATCTGGTTTCGAGTTAGATTTTGGAATGGCCTTGCACATTGAGTTTGGGGACAGAGGTTATGGATCTAGTTTTTTTTTTGTGCAGGGACACGTTAGTTGCTTGGGTTTATAGCGTCCTCTGGTATATTCGTGAGAGGGATATGAGGAAATAACATTGTGAGTTTTGAAGGCCTCGTCGCTGTGCGGAAGTGATGTAAGTGTGAGCGTTTGTTGCAACCCCTGATCACGAAGGAACCAGCCGGGCAGCAGGCTTGAGAGCGAAGTCACATGCAATCTGAGGGCATTGGCAACTCTTGAGGCTTGTGAAACCCATGTTTAAGAAGCCATCCCAACTTCGCAGCTCAACGGTGCGGGTCCTGTCGTTTGATAGAACGCGTCAACCGCGATCCTGCAAAATCGGGGAACCCTTCCAGAATCTCGGGCACGGACCAATTATCACCAGTGACAAATTCAGGGGCAAAACACAACCCTAACCCTCCCCTCGGCATCGGACACCTTCCAACCTCCGGGCCGACCCCCAGCGAGCTCCGCTTCCTTCGCCGTCGGCGGAATTAACGGCCGTCCGGCGACCAACACACAATGCTGACCTGCCTCAGCTGGCGTTTTTTCGAGATTCTGTATGGTCGGTTCGGGATGTGCGGCCGGTTGTTTAAGTTGAGTTGACAGTTGACGAGTGAGATTTGGCTTAAGTCCGATAAGCCCCGGAAACAGCGACGCGGCCTGACAGACACCCTTGCCTTCTTTGAGCTTGGCCGGGTTCGAGTTGGCAGCTGCTTAAGCATAAAACCACACCCCGCTTCTTCGCCTTGGCTGTTCGAGGTGTGTTCATGATGGGTGTGGAACGGATTCTGGGTCGATATCTTGTCAATCAGTTTACATCCTCGCCGTCGAAGAGAGCATTTTTCACGTATAACCCTGCCCGGCCGAGGTTGGTTGGGTATTATTCGGCCTCTGCCACGAGAAGAGCAGCTATTGTTCCTGTCTCAACTGCTGTTGCCGCTGCTGCCACGATGGCTACCGCTGCGGGTGCGGTCGTGTACGAGAGTTCGGTGACGAAACCAGTCAGGGCAGGCAACCTCCCCGACGACGCAGCTTCAAATCCTCATCATGTTAAAGATGCGGGCGGGAGACATGTCAAGTTTCGGAATCCGTACCCCTCGGCGGGGGATCCAAAGCCGACGATGTTCCAGACCTTACGGGCAATCTTGACGTGAGTTTTACTACCCTCCCGTGATTATTCACCACCATTCACTCACAAAGCAACGTAGCGCCAAACTCCAAGGAAACCTCCCCACACCCGACACCTCAGCAGCCAACATCCCCTCCTGCCCCCCATCATTCTCTCCCACAAGGGAAAACACCTCCCTCCGAGCAACCTGGCTCGGTCACGCATGCTACTACGTTGAGTTCCCCTCCGGTCTGAGGGTTCTCTTCGACCCTGTCTTTGAAGACCGCTGTGCTCCCGTGCAGTGGTTCGGGCCGAAGCGTTACACACCTCCACCGTGTAAACTAGGGGATCTACCCATTGTCGACGCGGTGGTGATCTCGCACAGTCATTATGACCATTTGAGTTATTCTTCTATCAAAGACATCCAAACACACCATCCCAACGCCTGGTTTTTCGTCGGGTTGGGGTTGGAGAAGTGGTTCAAGGCTAGTGGGGTGGAAAAGGTGGTGGAGATGGATTGGTGGGAAGGGGTGAAGATGAGTTTGACTCCGGAGGGGGGGAAGGGACAGGGGGGGATGGAGGCGGAGATTACCTGTCTGCCGTGTCAGCATTCGAGCGGGAGGAATGGGCTTGATCATGACAAGACTCTCTGGGCGAGCTGGGGGGTTAAATCCGGGGGGAAGAGTGTTTGGTTTGGGGGTGATACAGGATATAGGAGGGTGCCGCAGTTGCCGGTTACTCAATGGAAGGATCCGGCGGCGGATTACGGGCCAGAGTATGAGAGTTTGCCGAAGTGCCCGCAGTTTAAGCAGATCGGGGAGAGGATGGGCCCGTTTGATCTGGGATTGATACCCATTGGGGCGTATCATCCGAGGTGGTTGTTTAGCTGGATGCATGCGAATCCGTATGATGCGGTGGAGATCTTCAAGGACACGAAGTGCAAGAAGGCGATGGGGATACATTGGGGCACGTGGGTGCTGACGAGCGAGGAGGTGGAGGAGCCGCCGAGATTGCTGAAGCATGCGTTGAAGAGGAGTGGGATACAGGAAGAGGGTGTGTTTGGGGTGTGCAAGATAGGAGAGACAAAGGAGTTTTAGTTGGTAAGGAGCTTTATGGATCAGGCATAGCTCCGTGTGTAGAATGTAGACATGTGTGGGTATACCAATTTGCTGTTTCTATGCAGCCGGAAGGAGCGTAGTTTTGTGTAGAGAAAAGATCATAAACCATCCATCTATTCAGTCGTCTCCAGATGGCGTCTAACATCCATCGTTCTATCTATTTTGCGTATAGTCATTGTCCATTGCAGCGTATCAAGTCATCAAGCCATATCGTGCCGCATCATACACATCAACATCATGCCAACAATATCCCCAACGCCTGCCGATGCGAGAGAGCACACAATCAAGAGGCGGCAGTCAAAACGACAACCACAAACTCTACCTCGCCGTTGCCATTCTTCAGTGGTGTCCAGTGACTTACCACCTTCCTTGTGGCATTCTTCCCTCCTAATCCCGCCCCATTGTGTGAAAAGACCGAGCTCAGAAAGTCGGCTCCTCTGTCCAACGTGTCGCTCAGTCTGGAGGGCTGGTAGTCCCCGCCTTTGGCGACACTGATTCCCCTTGTGTGGACCTTCTTGACAGGCGACGTTGGTCGCTGCGACGGAGGTGGCGAAGCTGTGCTTGTCGTTATGTCCAGGCTGATAGATTCGCCGGCTGCAATGGCCGAGTACACTGTGGACCGCACTTGCTTGTTGCTGCTCGAGCTCATCGTAGCGGCGTTTGGTGTCAACACTGCGAAGATATCCCGTCCACTGACCAATTTGGCATCGTTCGGCTCATGAAGACCCAGCATCGACAGGGCAAAGTGGGAAGAGAAGGAGATTGTTAGCTGAGCCGCAACACCGCTGCTTGTCGATGAGCCACAATGATAGTTTGGCCGCGTGGGCTGCATTGTGCTGGTGATTGCGGCGGTGCTGCTTGAGGGCAAAGATGGGATGTACTTCAACACGAAGAACCGCGAGTAAGGAGTGCTGTACTCTTCTTGCGGGGCTTCGGCCTTCCGAGATATGGGTGGCAGGATGGCCTTCTTTGACAACCCGCAAACCCCATTCGAGGGACTGTCTGCCCGAGGAGTGCTCGGCCAAGTTGGAATCCTGGCCCGAATAGTGCTGCCCTTCCGGGAAAACCTCTTGAAAAAGCGATTGCGAAGGGCTGCCTTTTGGTGGGTGCTGGCTGAGCTCAAGGGACGTTCAGCATCAGCATTGATGGGATTCCTCCACACCGGTTTCTCGGCTGGTCGTGGGCCTTTCCCGGACAGCTGCTGGGCTTGCTGGTGTTGCTGTTCTCCAGGGGGGCCAAAGTTCAGGATACGCAAGATATCCTTGTAGTCCGACCCCATGCTCTCAGACACATTGATTTGGGCACCGAGAAAGTACCGAATCGTTCCTCCCTCAAACAACGGACACACAAATAACAGGTTCCAAAAGGGGGTCCCATCCTTGCGGTAATTAATGAGGAGTTCGGACGCTTCGTGCCCAGTTGAGATAGCCTCGCTTAGACGCCGTGTGGCCTCGGGGTCGGTACATATGCCCTGGAAGAATCTGCAGTTCTTGTTCATGATCTCCTTGCGCCCATATCCGGACATTCGCAAAAGTGCATCCGAGGCACAGATGATGGGGTTGTCGGGCTCGAGTGGGGTTGTCAAGCAAAAGGCGTCTCCTAGACCCGGGCATGTCGACAAAAAGCCCCCAGCCCAAGACTGGCTTGTAGACAGCGAAGTCCTCATACATTCTGATAGTTGGTACTTGACAAACTCCGGGTAGAGTGTCTCGGCCAATCGTTCCTCCACTGCAGCCTTCGCCTCTCTGTAAAGCCGTTCCAGCGACGGCAATGCTGTTCGCGCGCAGTGTTTGGTGTTGTTTTTCAACCTGTTGGCTATGTCCTGTGGTAGCTCAATGGGTGTGGATGCCACCACACCGGTGAAATCTGTCGTGATCTGACTGATCAGTGTAGTCATGTTCCCAAACGCCCGGAAGTACTCATCCACTCTGATCAAAAAGTCCATGTAACTTGCTGAAGGTCCACCCTTTCTGGCAGCATATCGGCAGAGCTTGTGACCGGTTGTTGGGTTAGAGAAGGCGAGTTTGATGACGGCAGGGTCAAAGAAGTTGGGAAGCAGTTTGGCTTGGAGAATGGAGTCCTTAAGAATTATGCTAGGTTTGGGTCCAATCGGTGCATCGTCGACGCTCCCACCCTCAGTGGGACTGCCCGCTTGGGTACGACTAGAAATTGACCGTACTGAGCCATCTGAACCGTAGTCGGTGTACTGCCTGAATGCTGCTTGGTTCGTGTGCAGAGATAATCCCGAATCGCTGCGCAGTCGTGAAGGGACGTGGCTAGTCGACTGTGGCTGGGGGGGTTTGGAGGCCGGCGGTGGTGACAAAGCAGTTGCATTGGTGACACTTGATCGTGGATCGTTTGGGCAGGGCAACATCGAGCGGCCACTGCCGCGCAGGCTTTGACTATCGCTCAGTGTCGATAGAGAGTCAAGCGTGTCCCTCTTTAATGAAAGCATTGGCGCCAAAAAAATACCGAGAATTTCCAGGTTGACTGGAAAGCAGTCAGTAAGACTACAACTGAAAAATGAATACAGAGATCTGGTTGACAGAGGGCCGCAGGGGCAGGTTGAACTTATCAGGGGTCATCGTTCTTGGGCAGCAATGACTCGACCTTTAATCCAATGGTGCCATGCCGGTTTCCTTGCAAAGAACGAACCAGCGAACTCTGTTGGCATCTGGTTAGCTACAAGGAACGATCAAGTGGAGAAACCGTCCGAAGCAGGCCGTTTCAGCAGACAGAGCTGCAGGTCATAGCAAACGATAGCGACCTTTCCCAAAGGACTAGAGGTCTTCAAGAATTCCTCTTGGATCTTGTTCAGCTAGGAGAGATCGGGATCGTCTAAAGGTTTGGGTGACATGAACATCAACGTCTTTTAGAGACTTGTGAAGCTATATGCTAGACTTGGGCCTCGAAATTGAGCTAGTTTTTGCAAATGTTCTGTTGAGGAGCCATCTGAACGAAGCGCATGCCCATTGAGACCCAATCACCTATCGGAAATATCTGGGAGGTTGGGTATCCCAGTTGTTGAAGTATGCTGCGTCACATTGGCGGATACCAACAGACATTTGGTACTGAAGAGTTCAACGACACACAAACCGTGGTCTGTGTGATGGGAGACGTTGTCAAACTGGTTGTGGGGCACGAGGACAGCAGACGATATTGCGCGGGAGCCTGCATCGGATCGGACTGGTGGGCAGATAATATGGTGGGAATAGTTGGGGCCTGTGGTATAACTGCTGCTTTTCGACGTAAATAGGTAGTGAGGCTTGAAACCAGAAGGAAGCACTTGTTTGTCTCCAGCTACGTCGTGGGAGGTGGTTTGACGATGCTATGCTGTCGAGTATCAGATGAGGGCACGGATGGTTGTCAATATTATGTGGGTGGTCCACGGGTGATCAGCCAAAGACAAACACCCCTGCAGGTTCGGCAGATGTCTCTGTCGATGCCGTGCATATCGCGCTAGTTTAGCGCCCGAGGTGGGGCTTTAATCATCCTGGCAGTGTCACTGTTCCTGTTGATGATTCCACTATCCTCAACATCATGGATTTCTTTCACCATGCTGATTTCAATCTCGAGCCAATCACTTCAGTGGGAACACAGAGCCCGTTTGTTTGATTCAGCGAGATGGCTTGTGATGCCGTCTTTTGTACCATCCACGAATATCAAGCTGATGAACTACAAGTTATCAGGATGAAGCATGGAAAGATGGGATTTGAACAACCTACAGGAGCCGGCAATAACAGGCCCGGATGAAACCTCATCGAAGCACAAATCAAGAATTGGCTATCTCTGCACCCCTCCCTTTCTAGTGCAATCGCCTCGGTAACCGTCACACATGGGCCATGGCATGTTCCATGGAATGAGACCCCTTGGGGACAGAAAAGGGGCCGTCATGCCCGCCTCGTGGCTCATTGCTTTCTGGGCCTTCATCTACCCTTTCGGTTTGTTGGTGCTCCACTGACAATGCTTGCCCTTCTTGCTCTTTGCTGGCAAGTCCTGGTCGTCGAAGCGCTGGAGGACGCCGTTTTCGATCCCCTCGCCTACGTCGATCCACTAATTGGGGCCAGCAACGGTGGAAATGTCTTTCCAGGAGCTTCGCTGCCATATGGCATGGCAAAGGCGGTGGCTGATACCAATAGCAGCAGCAACCAAGGCGGATTCACATTGGATGGTGCGTTTGTCACTGGCTTCAGCGGCATGCACGACAGCGGAACTGGCGGGAGTCCAAGTCTGGGAAACTTCCCACTGTTCCCCTTCACCAACTGTCCAGAAGGTGACATCAATCGATGTGTTTTCCCCAAAAAGAGCCGAGCTGCCCATGGAGGGTTCGGCAATAACACCGTGACAGCAAAGCCCGGCACCTTCGGCATCACCCTGAACAACGGCATCAGAGCCGACATGACCACAACCCATCACACGTCACTCTTTAGGTTTACCTTTCCAACGCTTGGATCAGACGGCCAGCCGGCTCAACCGCTCATCCTGCAGGACCTCACAGACTTGTCTGATTCCCGGCAGGACAACGGCAGCGTAACGGTTGACCCCGAGACAGGACGCATCACCGGGAGTGCCCGCTTCCTGCCGAGCTTCGGTGGCGGCAACTTTGTGCTGCACTTTTGCACAGACTTCAAAGGCGCCGATGTTTTGGACAGCGGGATCTTTGTCAACAGTCGAGGCAGCACAGAGGTGAAGAACTTGACCATTTCCAGGTCGATCAATGGATATCCATTGCCTGGGGGGGCATTTGTCAGGTTCAGCTCAGGGGCAGAGCCAATCTTGGTCAGGACAGCCAACAGCTTCATCAGTGCTGAACAAGCCTGCAAACACGCCGAAACGGAGATTCCAGATTATGACTTTGAGAGGGTGTCAGAAGCTGCTATCGAAAAATGGAGAGAGAAAATGAGCATTATCAAGGTGTCGCCTGCAGGAGTGGAAGGGTCGCTGTTGACCAACTTTTACAGCGGCATCTATCGGACCATGGTCAATCCTCAGAATTACACCGGGGAAAATCCGTTGTGGGAGAGCAGTGAGCCATACTTTGACTCGTTTTATTGCATCTGGGACCTCTTCCGCTCCCAAATTCCGTTTCTTATCATCACTGATCCAGCCGCGGTGGCCGAGATGGTGCGTTCGCTCATAGACACCTACCGGCACACTGGCTGGCTGCCAGACTGCCGCATGAGTCTCAACAAGGGCTACACCCAGGTTCGTAGTGCCTGGAAGATTATGTCAATGTTAAAGACCTAACCCGAGGCTAGGGTGGATCAAACGCAGACAACGTCCTGGCCGATGCCTTCATCAAGGGCATAAAAGACGGCATCGATGTACTACCCCTCCACTTCTCATTGGGTCTCACTGACTAACGCATCCACAGTGGGAAGACGGCTACGCAGCCGTAGTCAAAGACGCAGAAGTCGAGCCCTACGACTGGTGCTGCGAAGGCCGTGGCGGCCTCGACAGTTGGAAAGCTCTAGGCTACATCCCCGTTCAAGACTTTGACTACAAAGGCTTCGGCACCATGACCCGCAGCATCTCCCGAACCCTCGAGTACGCCTACAACGACTTTTGCATCTCCCAAATCGCCCACGGGCTAGGCCGCACGGCCGACAGGGACAAGTACCTTGCCTCCAGCAGCAACTGGAAAAACCTCTTCCGCCCTGACCAGACCTCCCTCTGGTGGAACGGCACAAACACAGGCTTCACCGGGTTTTTCCAACCGCGCTACCTCAACGGGACCTGGGCTTACCAAAACCCCCTTAATTGCTCCAACCTCGACACCTTTTCCGTCTGCTCCCTGCAAAACACCGGGAGGGAAACCTTCGAAAGCTCCATCTGGGAGTACAACTTGTATTTTTTTCGTCCCCTTTTCCCCTCTTGAGGCCCCCCTTCCCTGACAGTGCAGTAGCTTCGTCCCCCACGACCAATCAACCCTCCTGACCCTCCTCGGCGGCCCATCCCTCTTCACCTCCCGCCTAAACTACCTCCACAACACAAACATAACCTACATCGGCAACGAACCTTCCTTCCTCACCGTCTTCCAATACCACTACTCCGCCCGCCCCGCCCTCTCCGCCCTCCGATCCCACAGTTACATCCCCTCCTACTTCTCCCCCACCCCCTCCGGCCTCCCCGGCAACGACGACTCGGGCGCAATGGGCTCGTTTGTCGCGCTCTCAATGATGGGCCTCTTCCCCAACCCGGGACAAAACGTTTACCTTGTTACTCCGCCGTTTTTCGAACAAGTCAACATTACCAGCCCGGTAACGGGAAAGGTGGCAAGGGTGAGGAATGTTAATTTTGATGGGAGGTACAAGAGTGTATACATCCAGAGTGCGACGCTCAATGGGGAGAGATACACCAAGAACTGGGTTGATCACAGTTTTTTCACCGAGGGGAAGGAGTTGGTGCTTGTGCTGGGGGATGGGGAGAGTGATTGGGGGACGGGGGTGGGGGATCTGCCGCCTAGTTTGGGGGAGTATGTTGGTTTTGCGGGGGGGAATGGGACAGCTGTGAATGATACCAGTACCATAACGGGGTGGAAAAGGGGGTTGGAAGAGGTGGTTGGGAGGGCGTGGAGGGGTGGTTATGTTGGGGATGTAAAAGTATGAGAGATGAGTGCGATGATTTCACCAAGAATATACCATAGAAATAATGAAAAAGATGGAAGAGATTTTTTTGGGGTTTTTTTTTAGGAAAAAAAAAAGGGACACGTTTCTCTCTGCACAAAGTCCAGCTCGGCTACGGTACCCGGTCACCCTCCCTTTAAAATAACCGTCATTGCGGATCAGCAAAACGTGGAATTGTTATTACCTAACTTACTTTTTTTCTAGAAGAAACAAAAGGCCTCATAGGGTGATCATTAGGCATTTCAAGATGGTTAATAGGCCTTTGAAGATATTCGGAAGGCCTATTGTTGATACCTGCGGAAGCATGCGATATAGGTTAACCTACTTTTGTGTGCCAATTATTTTGTGGTGAGGGTGCCGGTCCAACTTCCCACCACTTCATGGCATCTTTCAGAGTTTCACTCTTGGCTACACTAGCAGTCTCCATTCTTGTTAACGTTATAGCATTCATCGCTACCCCAATATATTGCAAACGAAAAGAATAACTAAGTACAAGACAACCTGAGTCATAATAAATGCAAGCCAGCAAATACCTAGTCATCAATCTATGGGGTATCAACAACATCAAACTTGTCAGGCACCGCCCTTTATCATAGGCTTTGTTTGACCCCATACCTACCTGTACACACACCAAAACATAAAGGCAAAACAAGATATAATGTAAGCTTCTGCTGTGACCCGACACTTTGCTAAAACTCGATGAAAGCTGTACAGAGCCTTCCCAGCTTCCTCGTTGCTCGAATCCTACACGACTCAGTCGTTGCTCTCCAGCCACCAAGGCAATATTAGTATGTCGTATGTCGTTCCCAAATCGGAGGGGAAACGGAAAAGTAAAATGATACAGTGATGAAACCAAAGAATTCCTCCTTCATCAATAGTCGTCGTCATAAGGGGAGTGCATCATCTGACAATGGTGGCAGACGAGCTCCTCAGGGTCGTATGTATCCATGTCTGGATTCTCATACTCTTCCGAGAGGATTATGGTGCCAGTGGTGCGGTCAAACTCAGCCCAGACTCGCTCCTCGCTATCCCTGCTCACCGGCACGCGCTTCCACAGGGTCCGTCGGTTTTGCCACGTCGTCTCCGGTTGCCCTTCTTCCGCGGGCACAGCTGGTATTTTGACCGTCCCGTGGTGCGAGTGATGGCCGTGGTGACCACCGCCCATGGGGAGAGAAGATCCGTTAGTCTTTTTCTTGCTCTGCAGGTACTCCTCAGCCAGGACCTTCCAAGCCCGGACTGCTCTGGGCTCCCAGTCGCCGTCCGACTGTTTCCGCACCCTGTTGGACGAGACATAGGTAGAGTCCGACTTGAGAAATAATCCGTCGTCTCTGACCATCCTGACAAGATGACTTGCCATATCTGAGCCCCACTGACACTCGGGGATGCCAGTTAGCTGGAGCTCCTTCAGGCTCATGGAGAGGTCGTGGCCTGTCAAGGCGTGCATCTCAACTGGAGAGGGCGCGGTGAGGAAGTCGGAAGGAAAGTTGACCAAATCGATCCTCAGCGACTCGAGTGCGGGGAGCAGACGAGGGCGCGGCTGGGTGGTGTCATGATCAGGATCGAAGGGTGGTCGCAGAACGGTAAGGAAGTCGACAACCTGAAGCCATGTGTAGCTGCGGAATCCTCGTCGGGCAAGGGTATTGTCATAAACACGAGGGATTACTCGAAGTCGGAGGGGATTCCGTGTCGGGTTTGACGTCGGGTAGGGCGCCCTATGCTCGCGTTCGAAGTCTTCGTCGTAGTACCTAGCAGTGATCCGCATCGTGATGTGCGTTATCTGCTTGCGGTGCTCGAGCCCAAGGTTTCGGAAATTCTGGAGGGCAAGGCAATCGGTAAAGACAAAAGTGTTGTTTCTCCACAGAAAACGCTCTCCTTCATCGTGATAGGCTCTGCACGTGGCAAGAAAGTTGATGGCGATCTGGGCCTTAGACATCTTCTTCTCTTCGGGGAGGAGAACATGGGGGTTGAGCTTGGACAGTGGGTCGATAATGGGTTGGCTGCTTGTGAGTGAGTACTCAAGAATGTACAGAATGATCTCGACCGGTAGGCTTGGCAATCGCTGGTCAGACCTCCCACTGCGGGAGGAGCGGCGCGCCGCCTTTGAGTCGGCCCAGGCCCCGCGAGAGCCTGTTGGGTCGTTGAGATCTAACGTCAGTCGACGGTCCCACGAGATACCATTCTCCCGAAGAAGCTTCTTGAGACGCAGGTTTTCTTCAGCAAGTCGCCTGTTCTCTTGCCGCGCAGGGTTGTTGTACCACGCTTCCACCTGCTCTTCATTATCGCGCAGCTCAAAGGGCGGCACGAACTGGGGCATTGTCAGTCAGAGTGTCAGTCAGGTTGCGGGAATTATCGTACAAAGCTTACATTTTCTGTATCAAAGATGTCCATGACGACGGCGACGGTAGACTTTATTGCGGAAAGATACGGTGAAGATGCGCGAAGGAGAGGTGGTGAAGTTCGGCGATAAGTGTTCAAGAGGGAGGAGGACTGAGTGATGGTGGGATGATTGGGTGAATGAGTTATGTCCCACGTCAAATCCCCGCACACCTAGAAGAAAAGTGCAGAAGGCTCGATAAGAACAAACTCAGCGCCGGGCCCCAATCATGGAATTGCGGTTTGGTGTGGCAGTTGCAAAGCTTCAGAATTTGGGATGCGCTCAGGGGCGCTCCGCGGCGGTTGGTAAAAGGCCGGGGACCTCCGGTGAGCCGTGGCCCAGATGCCACAAGCAGTCGGGACTCGAGCGGGATCTGAGGCAACAGAGACCAGTTTGGTTTCCTGTGTTCACGTCGAGAATGGGGGGACAAAGAGCGAGTAATGGGTAACGGGTAATGAAAAAGACAGAGAGATGCCCTGTTGGGTGGATCGTTGAGTTTTGCGGCTGGTGCGAGGAATTTCGGTCGGGTGGCCCGCCACTCGCGCCGAGGGGGTAACCTAACCAACGGCCACACTTTGGCAGCTGCTTCTCACGGGTGACGGATTCGGGTGAGAGAGACGATTCACCAGAATGATTTTATCGCGATTGGCAGCGCCGAAGTATCGATGAAAAAGTGGAAGACAACAACGGTAAGCTTCGGGTGGAGGGGGACCAGTCGCAGTCGGGATCTGGGGGCGTCGCGAGCTGTAGATGTGGAGACAAGAGTGCAGCCCCACTTAAGTTTTAATCAACCGTCAGATTCCTTTTTGGGAAGCCGCCTTGTGGCCACGAAGGGGGCGATGAGAGCATCGTGAAGTGAAGAACCTCCAGATGGCACCATGTTTGGTAAGGTATCGTAATCCAACCTGGAATGAGTCAGGATGTGGTGAGAGATACATATAGAACATCTCATGATCCCGTGGATGATGCGGAAGAGTATTTGAGTTGAACAGTGCCGTCAGTATCGAACAGTGCAAAGACGCTCGCTGAGCCAATTTGCCTTTAGACTGGCAATTCACACAGAAATAGGGTCAGTCCGGAGCTGTATATCATAGCATGTGAGAATGGCTATCTTCGGTGTCGCCGGTGTTTTCATCTACGCGTCACTGGCGCTTGATGCTTGAATCGGAACGCCGTCGTGTACCCATAGGATCATGGGATCCCACGATGGCTCCCGAGCTGTAGGTGTCTGCAACTGACCTTTCATTCCATGCCCAATTCCGATCGATTATCATAATACCCCGAACAGCTAATTGCACGACAAACAGCAATTCGGGAGAGCTACCATATATACAACCCACCTACCAGGCCTGAGCTGCAAGGAGCCACGGGAGCTAAGCTGCCCCTCACCGCACAGAGCTGCTTTGAGACTCAGACTGACGTCAACGACCCTTTGTGCTGCGGCATCCTCCGATTCCTCCGCCGATTCGAACGGCCGAGCCTTCCCCCCATAAATCACAGAACGGGTGTTCGATGACGCGGTGCAATTCAGGCACCCTGCGTCTCTGGCGTCCACGGGGTCCTCTTACATCATGGCTTCAGACGGGCCATATAGGAAAGGTATCCCAGGTCAGGAGCTCTCCTTTTTACACAAAACACCACCCTAAAACCTTCAAAGTCAACACACTACCCACTTCACACCGTGACCACTCCTACTACTACTATTACAACAACCGCACTCCTACCTACCAGATCATATTACAGCACCGCCATCATGTCCTCAGGATTCTCCAACACATCGGGCGTTAAGCACCCCGACCCCTACAAGGAGGCCAACCTCGACACCCAGGTCTCCACTCAAACTAAGCTTGACGACCTCAGCAAGTTCATGGATGCCTCCAAGTTCTGCATGATGACCACGGTCAACCCCAAGACCCATCAATTGGTCTCCAGATGCATGGCCCTGGCTGGTCAAGTAGGTTGACGCTGATGTAGCCCATCAATAACCGGATATTAACATTCAATTCCAGGAAAACGGCGGACTCGACCTCCTCTTCCACACCAATACCGAGTCAGGCAAGACCGACGACCTCGCCGCCGACACACACATCAACGTTGGCTTCCTCAACAACTCTGGCGAATGGGCTTCCGTCAGTGGAACCACCGAAATCATCACTGATCGGGAGCTCGTAAAGAAGCACTACAAGCCTCATCTGAAGGCCTGGGTTGGCGATTTGGGCGATGGCGTCCACGATGGCTCTGCCAATGACCCCAGAATCGGCATCATCCGCGTCAAGATGGCTACAGCTCACTATGCCATCTCGCACAAGAACATTGCCGGCAGATTGACCGAGGTGGCCAAGGGTGTGGTGACTGGCGATACGGCCGTGGTGAACAAGCTGCGCGAGATTAGCGAAGAGGAGGTTTCCAAGCTCAGACTGACTCACTAGAAGGGTTCCGTGGGCGGAAAGAAGCATTTCAAAGTCTCAAGACATTAAACAGGCGTCATACGGGGAGCTAGCAAAGCTTGAGCATAGCCAAAATTGATTTTGTTTTCTTCTTTTGAAGCATTCTCAATGCTTTCCCTCATAATCAGCCTTCCATATCCTGTCCCAGTTCTCCTTGTTGACAGCAAATTCCCTGACATAGTCATGTTCCAGCTCGTGTGTCCTCCTGCCAAGCAGCACCAAACTGTGAAGCGGCCCTCCAAGCAGCTCATCGGCATCGCAAAGCTCTTTGAGTGTACCGGCAACAAACTTCTCCGTCTTGCCTCCCACCCTCGCAGCGCCAATAGCAAGACTGTCTGGCCCGTACACACCCTCCTTCTTTTCCTCCTCAACCTCCAGCATTTGACTGGCGCAAGTCCCGACGGTCATATACCTAGGTGGCTCATAAATCTTTCTCCCCCTCGCCATATTCTCCAAGCTCTGCTCCTTAACCTTGATATCCAGCAGCACCAGCGTATGCAGCCCAATCTGCCTATTCTCCTTGATCCGATCATAAAAGCTCGCCGGCCTCCAATTGTCCAAAAAGAACACCATCGACACCGTCTGCCCAAAGTTGTACAGCTGCAACCCCGCCGCGCCGATGCCAGACATGATGCTCGCGTTAGGCACAGTCCCGACTCGGATGCCCAGCTCGCGAGCCCTCAGGACGAGGTCGGTGTGTGTAGTCGCGCCAAAGGGGTCGCCGACGACGCAAAAGGCGACGTCCTCCTTGTCGGCGTCGCGGAGGATCTCGTCCGAGTTGGACTCGACCATTTCGCGGTCGGCGATGGAGATGGGGCGGCCGTAGTAGGACTCGAGGACGGACTGGTCGACGAGGAGGATCGAGGTGTAGGCTTCGAGGTAGACGCGGGAGGCGCGCTTGACGATCTCGAGGCCCTTGACCGTGATGTCGGTCTCGTCTGAGAGGCCTAGGCCGACGAGGTAGAGCATTTTGGTGGTTTGTGGGGGTACTGTAGGAGAGTGTAGTTCTAGGTGGTAAGGGAGGAGAACCTTGGTGGTGGGAGGGGAGGTGGGAAAGATTGTTTTTTCTTTTTTTTTTTTAATCGATGTTGAGTTTGATGGGTACCTTGAAGTCGGTGATGGGTAGGTGAAGGGAAAGGTACCATACTATTAGCCTACCCCGCCAAAGCTGCCCCCTCTAAAATTTCCAAAGACAAGCTTTCCAGTGGTGCTCATCCCCCCCTGTCGATGGCTGTCCGCTGTTAACCGTGCACATTGAACTAACCAATTCACGACGCGGCGCGTTCAAACTTTCAACAATCCATTTCAACAAAACCAACACTTGTCCTCGAGAATTACCACCAACCTATCTACCATCTCTAACCCGCTCGTCGCATCAACCGCCAAGATGACAGGCAAAGGCTCCGCCTACGGCCAAGCAGCCGGCGACACCGACTTTCGCAAAAAGTACGACCTCGACGAGTACGCCGCCAAAGCCGCCGCCCGCGAAGCCGCCGAGAAGGAAGAGCGCAAAGCCCGGTACGAAGCCAAGCTGGCGGGCAAGAAATACTACAAGCCCATGGACGGTACCGAGACCCTCACCGTCGCGCGCAATGCCACGCAGGACTTCTCCAAGATGGTCGGCACGACGTCTCTGGTGCCAGCCGGCGCCGGGGTCGGAAAAAGAGGACGGGGCGCTGGCTTCTACTGCGAGGCTTGCGACTTGACGTTCAAGGACAATCTACAATGGCTGGAGCACACGAATAGCATGCAGCACCAGCGGGCTGTCGGTGCGACGGGGCAGGTGAAGAAGGCGACGGCGGAGGAGGTGCATGCTAGGATTGAGGCGCTGTGGCAAAGGCAGCAGGAGTTGAAGAGGGAGCAGGTTATCACCTTGCAGGAGAGGTTGGAGGTTAGGAAGGAGGAGGAGGAGAAGGAAAGGGAGGAGAGGAGGAGGAAGAGGAAGGAGGCGGAGGAGAAGAAGAGGTTGGAGAAGGAGGCGGCGTTGAAGGCGAAGACGGACTATGGGGAGGATGTGAGGATCGAGGGGGAGCATGACGAGGATGATATGATGGCCGCCATGGGGTTTACTGGCTTCGGGACGACGGCGAAGAAATGAGTATCCTGCTCGGGGGTTTTGGTTATGTCTTTGCAAAAAAATTGGGTGGGCGAAAGATACCATATGCATGGCGTGGGCGTTTGGATTTTATTGGAACATTTGGTTGGGACTAGCGGAAGAGTAACAGGCAAACAGAGTAAGCCTGCATAACGTCCCCAATAATGAATCATTTTGGATATCTTTTGCTGAACATGAAAGCAAACAGTCTCGAGGCCCCCCCAATCCCGTGATGGTGGTTGGAACAGAGACTGGGACAGGGACCCCCCTGTCGCCGTTTTCATTCGGGAGGCGGGGAACCGCCCGCTTTTGATCCCACTGCTGCAAGAAGCCGCTGGACCCATGTCATCGTCTTGACACCATTCAAGTCGACAAACGCCCGGAGCCCCACGATTGCACGACAGCATCAGTCTTACCAAACCAGCGTTGAATCGAACACGCCCAATCTCGTCCGCGAGTTTGACCCCGTGATTCAAACAAATACTTCCCAGAACCACCCCACCAAAACCTCCCAGCTAGCAGGCTTCAGGCACACAACACCATACCACAATCACCACATCATCAACACCATGTCCAGCGTCTCTTCAGCAGCGGCCGCCTCCCTCCTCAAGCGACAGCTCAAACAAATGCAAACCGACAAAGACATTCCAGGCATCTCATGCGGCCTCGTCTCGGACAATAATATCTTCGAGTGGGAAGTCATGCTGATGATCAGCGACGAGTGTAAATACTACGGCGGTCTGTCTCCGCTTCTCAATCACCCCCTTATATCCCATCGCTAACCTTGTATATGTATACAGGAGGCAACTTCCGCGCCATCCTCACCTTCCCCCCAACCTATCCCTTGATGCCCCCCAAGCTCGTCTTCCAGTCACCCATCCCGTTCCACCCAAACATCTATCCCGACGGGAGATTGTGTATTTCGATCTTGCACCCCCCAGAAGAGGATATTTCGGGGTATGAAAAGGCTAGCGAGAGGTGGAGTCCGGTGCAGAGCCCCGAGTCGATATTGCTCAGTGTGATTAGCTTGTTTGAGGATCCGAATGACGAGAGTCCGGCGAATTTGGACGCGGCGGTGTTGTTGAGGGAGGAGAGGGAGGGGAAGAGTAAGGAGTTTAGGAAAAGGGTCAGGCAGTGTGTTAGGGAGAGTTTGGGAGAGGATTAAGTTGGGATGTTAATCTTCTTGCGAAATAGCTGGCGTTAATGGCAGCCAGACAGCACAAAGCGAGAAAACCGGTTCAATCAAGCCATTCATATACTCTTCCTCTCCTGCCCCTGGAATTTCAAGAACTTTCCTCGACGAAACCCATCAACCTCCCCACTGTCCCATCCCACTCCTCATCCCACCTCCTCCTCCCCTCCTCCACGGCCCCCTTCTTCAAGTGTTTCAACTCGTTCTCCCCCTCCGGCTTCAACAACTCCCCCAACACCCCCGCCAGCTCCTCCCCAGTCTCAAACCCCCTCCCATTCACCCCCTCCTTGACCAGCTCCCCAAAACTCTCATACCCCCCATACGCCACCACCGGCAGCCCAGCCCCAAACATGTCCACTACCTTCATCGGCAAATCCACCCCCGAAGAGCTCATATGCAGACAAACCCCCAGATCAGCACATGCCAGCAACCTGGCGTAGTCCTCAAAGGGTAGAAACAAAGTGGCAATCCTCACGTTAGGTAGCTTCCCTTCCTTGACCAGAGCATCAATCTTGTCGTCATAATACTCTTTTTGCGGTCCCTTCCCGGTGATGAGCGCCAGGATTGGAACCGCGTCAGGTCTGGCTGCGTACATGGTGAGGGCGGAGAGAAGAAGAGAGAAATCCTCGTCTGGTGTCCAGGACGTGCTCGAGACAAGAAGCTTCATCTTGCCCGAGACCAGGGCGCGGTAGTATTCCCTTCCGGAGGGGAATATTATCTTGTCTAAGGCTTCGTTGCGAGCGTTGGGGGAGAGGATAGGTTGGAAGATTGCCGCGGGCCGGTCGTGGACGGTGATCATGGGTTTGTGAGGGGGGATGCTGTAGGGGGCGGCGCGGAGTTGGCGGGCCATGGCGTTCGTCACCGTCAGGTGGTGAGAGCCTAAGCGACCGAGGTAGGTTTCGTAGATTTTGGAGAGGGAGACAAAGGGGTGGGAGGGTCCTTTGGTAGAGGAGAGGATTGTCCAGCCGTAGTTGTGCCAGTCGATTATCAGGTGGGAGTTGCGGAGGTAGGAGGTGAGGCTGGCGATGGCGAGGGTGGGGATGGAGGGGGGGTTTTGGACCAAAAGCCAGGCGGAGGGGGGGAGGAGGTAGAGGAGGAGGTAGGAGAGGTGGAGGATTTGGAAGATGACTTTGATAGGGGCGAATAGTAAGAAGGGGACAGAGGGAGGGCGGGAAGGAGGGGTGGGGAGGGGGATGAGGGTGATGTTGGGATTGGTGAGGATGTCGGGGTGAGGAGAGGTTTCTATATGTGGTGTTGGTGAGTGAGACTGGCGGGTGTGAACAGATGAATACATACCGAGATATCCTATAAGCTTGACTTTTCCTCCATGTTTGGCGATGCTCAGGGCATGATATGTCATACGGGGACTCCTCCCAATATCACCAAGGACCAGAATGTGAACTGGCACCCCCTTCCCTGTGGTGTGTCCATTGTATCTTGATGGCTTCAGGACGATGTAGGCTATTAATAAGCCCAAAAGGACAAGGCTGATGAGCCCTGCCATGTCTGCGCTGTTGGCGTTTGTGAGCTGTTGGGTTTGTCAAAGTTAGATTCACTTCAGCCAACCGATGGCTAATAGTGACCAAGGCCAAGTGGCATCTGTCGGTTTCTCAAGTGTTGGCTGAATTACGCTTGTCTGACAACCCAACTTACATCAGCCAACGATGGGCCCCGTGTGGTAGACTGACAGGTGCCAGTTGAACTGTCGACGTTGAACCTCAGCCTCGTGAAGCCAGCTGTGTCCTCAGCATCAGCCCTGCGTTAATAAGCTTAATTAGGAAGCTGAGATGGGGTGTGGTTGAAGGTGTTAGTGATAGGTCATGAATGTGAGACTTCATTAACGCAGATTATCTGGGTGGGATGGTCGCGGTCTGGGCTGCATCGCGGTGCATTGGCGGGGCCGGGGGTCAACACGTTCGCAGCCACTGGACCAATCAGAAGCCACAATGTCCGTGGGCCTTGATAGCCCTCTCCACCAGCCCAAGCCCGGCTCAGGGGTCAAAAAGGGAAGGCGGCCGTGGAGTGCAGCGAGTCCAGCGACAGGGAAAGGGAAGGTGGAGGAGGGACAAGTCTGGGGCAAGCAACAGCACGACATTCACCGTCTGGAAACACATCAAAAGTCCAGGTGTCTCATCCCATCTCCTCTCAACTCACCCCCCGCCGCACTCTGACATATTGACATCTCTCTCTTCCCTGATCCTCTCTCCCAACAACGTGTGAAACCAGCGCGCCACCGTGTGTTGGGCTGTCCAGTGAGCCAGTGCCGTTCGTTTATCAACCACGGATACCAACAGTCTAATAATCTAAAATCCGTTGCGATTGCGGGTCTCGAGACGTCCCACGACATCATCGGTGGCTGCCCCTCGGAGTAAGTTTGCTGCATTGTCTTGCTTTTGGACGCCTTGAAATAAATTGAATATTCTTGTTGACCGCCAAGGATCAGCTCCCCTGGTGATTTTGGGGCGACGCCTGATCGAGATTCCCGCCTGACGAGCGACTTTTCCCATCGATTCCCCATTCGCCATCCATCACGATCAAAAACCGTTGCAGCCCCGGCGCAACCCCTCCCCGCGACTCCGACGTCAACCACATGTCCGCCAGCAGATAGCACCGGGAGTCATTGACGCTCCTCTCACTCTTTAATCAACGACACACAGTCACTCTCGACGACATCTTGCTACCATGACATCGACATACGCCTTGCCAGCGACGGCCATCCACCAACATCATCCTTCCTCCGACCACGGCTGTTCGCATTCCCACTCGCATTCGCACTCCCACAGCCATGGCCACAACAACGGCCACTTACATAGCACCTCATCACTGGGTGGACTGAGCCCGACTCGAAGCAGGAAGGAGTCCAGAGCTAATGGCGGTCACTCCCACAATCGCAGCCAGGATCATGACATCAACCACACCAACCACCGAGCCAACTCGAGCGTCCCCAAGCCACTAAATCTCGGGCCGACGTTGAGTTCCAACGCGCACTGGAGGACCGAGTCGACACTGGGAGGCAAGCCTTTGGTAACACCAACCAGCGCCAGCTTCGACGCCGCCGGGATATACCAACCGCCGGCTTCCAGAGTGCGTGCCGATACACGCTCCCACGACCACTCCCACGACCATGACCACGATCACGGACATGGGCACAGTCATGATCATGACCATGGCCACGGTCATGGCCATGATCACTCGGTGGAGCGGTCAAGATTCACAAAGTTCTTGCTACCGCGGATCGCGAGGTGGCCCCTGGTCCATGCGGTGGTAGTGGAGAAGGACTCTCGCCGAATATTCTACTTTATGTCGTATGTGCCATCTCTTGTCCCCTTTTGCCATTATGCTATCAGTTCGCCGACTAACCATTGTCACTGTGCAGACTCAACCTCGCGTTTATGATGATCCAAGCATTTTACGGTTATGTCACAGATTCCCTTGGTCTGTTGAGTGACAGCATTCATATGTTCTTCGACTGCGTGGCATTGGCAGTCGGCCTGTTTGCTGCCGTTGCGAGCAAATGGCCACCGAGCGAGCGGTTCCCATACGGCTTTGGCAAAATCGAGACGTTGAGCGGTTTTGCCAACGGTGTGTTCCTGATTCTCATCAGCGTCGAAATTATGATTGAGGCGTGTGAGCGCATGATGGAGGGCAGGGAAACCAAACGGCTTGGAGAGCTGTTTGTGGTCAGCACGCTGGGCCTACTGGTCAATTTGGTGGGCATGGCGGCATTCGGGCACCATCATCATGGACATGATCATGGGCACTCTCATAGTGGTTGTGGTGGACATTCGCATGGTCACGATCACAAACACGACCATGGCCATGATCACGACCACAGGGATGAGAAGAAGGATGCCCACGGTCACTCGCATTCGCACTCCCACGACAACGAAAACATGTACGGCATCTATCTTCATGTGTTAGCCGACACTTTGGGAAGCGCGGCTGTTATCGTATCGACCATTCTTACACACTTTTATAAGTGGGCTGGCTGGGATCCTCTGGCCTCTTTCCTCATTGCTCTCCTGATTTTGCTTTCGGCGCTGCCGCTGGTCAAGTCTTCGGCAAGGAGGTTACTGCTTACGATTCCACCCGAGATCGAGTATAACTTGCGCGATACCTTGTCTGGAATCACAGGTTTGAAGGGTGTGGTCAGCTACGCGGCGCCCAAGTTTTGGATGGATGACCGGCACAGTGAGGGCGGGCCGGCGAATAAACTCCTCGGTGTCATGCACGTTGTGGCGGGCCGGGGCATGGACATGGAGGACGTGCGGGATCGTGTGCGCAACTACCTGCTTGAACACAACATTGATATCACGTTGCAGGTCGAGCGGGAAGGGGACACAAGCTGCTGGTGTGGCGTAGGACGGAGTCCGCTCTCCCAGGCTCACAAGTCGACAAATAGCATCAGCATCTTCTAGGGAGAGGGTGGGGATTTGGTTTAGTCGATGCTCTCTTTCGGTTTTGGTCCGTTTTGGTCAGATGTTGGCTGGTCTGGATTGGAGTACACTGGGGCACTTTTTTTGATATTGGAACCATGGCGTCGTTTCTCTTCCTCATTGGTTTTTGGTCCGAGGAAAGATAGGGAGCATGGCTCACGCACGCTTAATCCGGGAGAGGGCAGAGGAGGTGTAGTCCGTATCAGAGAAGGAAATGGTGTACATGGCATGTATGCGTTTGCTATCGGTCACTTGTATCTAGCGGGTCAATGGATTACCATGATCACTTGCTATTGAATGTTGTGCCTTGCTCATGTCAACACTGTTAGCATCATCGCCTGGGGTTAGGGTTGAATATATGCCATCGCGAACCCAAAAATGCCCTTGGCTGACGCATTTCACATGCAAATCCCCAGAGAAAAGGCTTGGCGTGTGTAGCTCGACCTGCGCTTGGCGTCGGTCGAGACATGCCCCTCCACACACCCCACAAGACTTCAGGAGGGAATGAATGCAGGTCACACCTGAACTCAACCGAGAGCCATTGTTTGGCCAGGGACGCAGTCATCCGTCTGTCCGATGCTGTGCCCTCAGGCTGACAGACTCGAGGCTTATTCTAACGGATGACCTTTGTCAGAGGATCCATTCTGCGAATTCAACCACTTGACCGAATGATGTCCCTTCCATGATACCGAGGATAGCATACATACATAACCAGGGCACAAAGAGCTACCCCACGCTCAACCTGGCAATCTGTTTCAAAAAGAATCCACCTCCAGAACTGTGGGAAAGGGTCCCCTCCTCGTTCAGTGGCGACGCGGGATGGTTGGGGGACGGGGCAGGGTGTACATATACAGCAACGCGGACATAAGGGCCGTTGTATTCTCGGTTTTTTTTTTTTTTTGCCAAAAGTCGATTCGTTGATGGGGGTGAGAGAAATAATGACAACCGACGACCGAGGGAGGATAAGGTCAGGCTGTGTGTCTGGAGAGGTGAAGCTCTTTGCGGGGAGAAGGTAGATTCGCTGCGCTTGGCTTATAATTAGCGGGTAGCTCCCTCTTTAAAAGCCGCACTAAGATGTGTTGTAGACTTCAAATGCCGTTGGCTGCCGGCACAGGAGAGAGAGGCATCACGGAAACAGGGACAGAGAAGTTTGGGGGATGTTCTACAAAGGAGTCCAACCGCCTAGCTGGGTCTTGAGGCTGAGGGGGAGGGAACTGTAATTCCCTTGTGATCACTGCCCATGGGACATCCCACCTTTTTCCTGTCCACAAAGGGGAGGAGAGGTGAGTGTGTGGCCGCTGTTCGGTTTGGCGGGGCTCCTTTTTGCCGAGGTTCTTGGGGTCCGGGGTGTGGGTGACGTCCGTGGCTGCTGCAAGCGTGTGTTCCGCGCAAAGGGCAGCTTTCTCTCTCAAAACCACCTCGTTTGCGCCGATCCTTTTTTTTTCCCTTTCATTCACGTCAGTTTTGCGCTCAATTCTCTTTTTTTTCTTTTCCACAGCGTCTCTTGCCATTTGCCTGCTTTACACCCTCCACAGACTCTGTTGTTTAGGAACAGACATACACAGCCGACAAGGACAACCCCTCCATATCTCAAGAACAGAACAGACACACGCGACAGTCGGAACACCAGACGAGGTTTCTTCAGAAATCCGGTGGGAAAATCAGGGGTGCATAAGGGTCCCGAAAGTCTAAAGTCTAAACAAACCTTCAACAAGTCCGGATCTCCGTTTCCCGGTCCCTCTTCTTCGGCCGTTTCTCCCTCTTCGCCGCCACTTTCCACAGCAACCAAAAATGTCGTCCACATCCCCCGACCAGAAGCTCCAGGCTGTCCTCCCCGACGCCGTGGCCGATAAGATCCCCCACATCCCAGAAAGCAAGGAGGAGCTCAAGGCGGACGCCAAGGCGGCGGCTTCGACGGGCTTGGCCCAAGTACGGTCGTTTGTCGCCGGTGGCTTTGGTGGTGTCTGCGCTGTGGTTGTCGGCCATCCTTTTGACTTGGTCAAGGTCAGGCTTCAGACTGCTGAGAAGGGGGTGTACTCGAGTGCGATTGATGTGGTGAGGAAGAGTGTGGCCAAGGATGGGTTGAAGAGAGGGTTGTATGCTGGTGTGAGCGCGCCATTGGTCGGTGTTACGCCCATGTGTGAGTATTCCCTTTCATCTTTTTCCTCGGAAGCGCGAATGCTGATTTGCTACTTGAACAGTCGCCGTCTCCTTCTGGGGCTACGACCTCGGCAAGAGCATCGTCCGCTCCACCTCTACCGTCAGCCCAGATGGCAACCTCTCCATTGCCCAGATTTCCGCCGCCGGTTTCTTCTCCGCCATCCCCATGACCGCCATTACCGCCCCCTTTGAGCGCGTCAAGGTCATCCTCCAGGTTCAGGGTCAGAAGCAGCTCGCCCCCGGGGAGAAGCCAAAGTACAGCGGCGGCATGGACGTCGTCCGCCAGCTCTACCGCGAGGGCGGTGTCCGCTCCGTCTTCCGCGGTTCCGCCGCCACCCTCGCCCGTGATGGTCCCGGTTCGGCTGCTTATTTCGCTGCGTATGAGTACTGCAAGCGGGCGCTCACCCCCAAGGATCCCGTCACTGGCGAGGCCAGCGGCAAGTTGAGCTTGACGGCTATTACCTGCGCTGGTGCCGCTGCTGGTGTGGCCATGTGGATTCCTGTCTTCCCTATCGACACGGTGAAGAGTAGGCTGCAGACTGCGGAGGGCAATGTCACGATTGGTGGCGTCGTCAAGGGCCTGTATGCCAAGGGTGGTTACAAGGCCTTCTTCCCTGGTTTCGGGCCCGCGTTGGCGAGAGCGGTCCCTGCTAATGCGGCGACCTTTTTGGGCGTAGAGCTGGCGCACCAGGCCATGAACAAGGTCTTCAACTGAGGAAGTGATGTAAAGGGGAGGGTATAGACAGGGAGGATCTTCTTATTGGTCTAGGCATCGTGGGAAGGGATCTGTAAAAACTGACTTTTGGGTTTTTGTTTATCATACCTTGTTTCAGGCGGTATTTTCTGTTCAAAGAGCGGGACAGGGAGTCTTGGGTTTTGCGGCATGGCAACTGGCAGAGACATGTACTGTGTTTTTGTTTTCTTTTCACTTTGTTAGAATGTCAGGAGGATAGAAAGGGGTGTAAATCGCAAGGGCACAATGACATATGATACGGACCTATCGTGTTTTGATAACCAAAACCATATATCAACACAAAGGGTTTGAATCGTACGCCATTGTGCCCCTCGGGATTCACACCCCTTTCTATCCTTCACCCCAAAATCGTAGGCAAGAAAATAGAGACTTGTACTGCGAAATAAGGCCTTTCTGAGATCCAACATCCTCACATTCACACACTCACCAATCATTTCAACCATGATTTTCATATACAGCATATCCTCACGAATGGGGGACAGATCGGGTTAGGGTTAGATAACAGTTGACGTGTCTGGTCCGTGCATGTAAGTCAAAAAAGCCCCTCGACTGTCTTCGGACAACTCAAAACATCAGACGTCAAGTCAGGGAGATTGAAAAAAACTTTAGGAAGCAGTTAAGATGGATTCCACATCGAAAGAACCCCCAAAACAAAAGGTAAGCACCTGTCCGACTCCGCGTCCTCCTTTACTTTGAAGCTAGCTGTTGCTGGTGAGGGCGAGTCGCGCTCAGTGCACTCTTCACTCTGGGCAACTCAGCAAAGCTGCATCTCTTATGGAACTGCCGACCGCAACCGTGAAATCAAGCTCGTCAATTTCTTCCAAGCGGAAAGATCTGATTCCCATTCATTCTGCTCTCCTCTTTTCACCCTTTCATCTCTGTCTTGAGCATTGTTGTTGGTTCAAATACAGACTTCATCATGGCTCCCACAACCGACGAGAGGGGTGTTCCCATTCCGACCATCAAACGTGATGACGAAGGTTTCCCTCCTTCTCCTACTTTGGGAGCCTCTTCTCTGGACCTCAGACCAGCTATCCACTCACCGGATGTCTCTGCCAAACCCACCTGCAATCCTACCAGCAAGCCTTCCGCCCCAGGAGTTGGTGCAGATCTAACCTTTTCTAAAAAGTATCTTCCCCTTCGGGAGTTGACCCTCAACTCGAGACCCTTGGTCAAGCGAGCCATTCAGTTCTCATGCGATGGCGACCTAGCTGTTGCTGCTGACGACTCGGTCCATGTCTTTGTTCCCGAGTTTCCAGATCTCACCAGACGCAGGAAGAGGATCGCAGAGGGAGGTGACCCGGAGTCTTCGGATGAAGAGGAAACCAATGAACAGAAAGGCAAGTACAACCCAGAGACGTTTAGGACGCAATACTCTGAGGGTAGCAAACACATGCCCGTCTCTTTTCCGCCACTCGACCCGCGGATCAACAAGGAGCTCTACGATGCTGAAGGGATGCCTTTTCCTTACGACAAGACTTCTGCCCCGCCCAAGCCTCAGGGTGTGGAGAAGGACACAAATGGTCAAGAGGATGGCCGAGATGCCGGAGATGGTGATCAGGCCGACGGTGTCGAGGGGGACGACGATGACGACTGGGAAGATGACTCGGACGATAGCAGTGTTGACGATGACCCAGCTGGCGGTGGTGCCAGACTCGGCTCCAATCAGCCATACGGCGCGGGCTCTGGCCCGATCACCAGTGTTGGCAGCAGCATGAACCACGTCGTCAAGATCAGCTGGTCGCCGTCCGAGCTCGGGGTCAACAGACGCCCGATCCTCGGCATTCTCACCGGAGCTGGGACGCTCGCCATGTACGGCGACGGTGACATGGCCGCGAACGTGCTCGGAAGCGCCAACGGGTACATGCTGCAGCGCCGTGAGCTCGCGTCCTGGCTGGTTCTTTGGGGCGTGGGCGAGCGGATGATGGTGCCCGGCCAGTCGCCCGCCTACAGCGAGTACATCCGTACGTTCGCCTGGGCGCAGGAAATTGGCCCTGGCCAGGCACTGCTGGCCACGCTGAACGATGCCAAGGAGATCGCCATCATCAGCGTACAGACAGTCGTGTATGTGGAAGAGGTTTCGGAGAAGGGAAGGGCGGTGGGTGGCCCTGCCGAGAAGACGGTCTGGCATGTCCGTGAGCTTGTACGCTTCAAGGCGGAGGGGCCCCATCTGCCTGTTTCGGTAAGCTGATCGAACTGGGCGGAAAGTTTATGGAGGGCTAACACCAGATGACAGACCATGGATCCAGACTATGTCCCTTGCGGCACCTCCTTTGGTCTGAGCTTTGGTCCCTGGCTTGAGGATGATGGTGGACGTACGTGTGTCCTTGGATATCTCGACCGGAACTACGTCGGCTTCCGCAAACTTCGCATCGACAAACCGTGGACCAGAGGCCAGTTGCCCAAGCTTCAGGTTGAGAACAAGGACACCCACGGCCAATGTGTTCATCTGACCACGGACGGGTTTATTGAGTTTGAGCAAGGGGTAAGCCGCTGCCGAGACGGTCTGCGTCGATGTCTCTCGGTACTGACGCCGTATAGATCTTTCACAAGGGTGATATGATAGGCTGCCGGGGAATGATTTCTACAGGCTGGCATCCTGTTCCGTTTGAGGTTTCCCTCGCCAGTGGAGCCCTGGCTGAAACGGCGAAGCACAAGACGGGCGTCTGCGGAACCACATACAACCTCCAACATTGCGAGAACCCCATCGTTGGTAAGACGTTCAAGTGTGTATCTTTTGTCTGGGGTTTGCTAAGTCTTGTTATGCAGATATGGTTGTCCACCCCCCGCCTGACCCGGCCAGACCAACTCCGACCCCTCTGTACACCTTGGTTCGCTTGTCTGCCACGCCTACCACGCCGAACTGGTATGAGACCAACGTCCCTTCTGCTCTCGCCGCGGACCCCAGCAGTCCTTACTTTCAGTGGGCTCGCTCAATCCAACAAAAGCTGGAGGTATTGGTCCCAGCCGACATGTACCAGAAGCGTGCCTACGGTGCCGACGACAGCGATTCGGATGAGGAGTCTGACGACGGCGTTCTCATGGAAGATACCCTTGAGGATGACGAAGGCGTTAATTACACGGGAGAAGGACTCACGGCTATCGACCTCACCACGGATGCTAATGTCGCCAGGGAGGTCAAGGTTGTCCCCGAGGTCCACCCTCATCGGTTCCGTTTCCATGGTCTTACCTTGTCTGCTGGCGGCGGCGCCTCTGCTGTCTTGGTTTCTGCCCACAGCACGCAGCATCCCGAGCGAGGCGGTTGGCACACGCAGCGCTCGCAGGTCTTGTTCAGCTACAAACCTCGTCGCGCCTCGGGCCGTTCCCTGAGTATGTACATGGACGACGACAACCTGAACTTTTCCTTGGTGAGTTCCATGAGCACCGAAGGGAAACTGTTTGAGTATCTCTACGGCGGCGGCCCCGACGTGCCAGGCGTGCACTACCCGCTGTCGTCGGATCCCCGACACGCGCATGTTGCTCAGATCTTTGCTCCTGTGGTTCGGAACCAAAAGTGCGAGGTTTGCGGGGCGGCCGTCACGCAAAGCATGAGGAAGGAGGACCTGGTTGGGTGTGAGAAGGGGCATTTCTTTGGCATTTGTGCTCTGAGCGGGCTGGCTGTGCAGAAGCCGGGTATGACGCGGAGCTGCGGGACATGCGGGTTCAAGACCATGAGGCCGGAGATTTTGCTGCAAAAGGTTCCCGAGGATATCAAGGAGGAGGTCAAGGGGGTTATTGGACGGGGGAGCTGCATGGCTTGCTCGGGCAAGTTTCTCAACTAGTAGTGAGCCGGGGGGGAGGGGCGGTTGGTAAACTGATGATGGATCCTGGCTTCTGGGACATGGTTGATACCCTGATAAAGTTGGTGGTGCAGCGGTTTGTTACTCAGCAGAGGATAGTCTGTCGTGGGTTTTGAACAGGTATAGTGAGTACAGTACCAGCAAACCTTTCACATTGCTCGGGACATGAACATGATGTGTGGTGATGTGCAAGGTCGGGGGCATCACTGCCCCTGAAATGAATTGTCAAAACATGGCTGGCTGACTATGATGGAGCAAAGTAACAAGACGATGTGAAACCAGGTCGTTTACCTGTAATGTATGTACATGGACCCGAGTCCTTCTCCCTCTCTCCGCGGCTCGACCAATTCAGGGGCTTCGGGCCGTGCTGTTTGGTGAGGTGTATAGGCTCACAATGGAACCCAGTGGGTATTTCTCACCAAAGCTCCTAAAACCCAGCAGGGGATTTTTCGTTGTATGCAGCAGCTCAGGATCGACCATCCAACCTCATACCACACCCTCAAGATACGACCCCAACCCCCAAAGCGCCGCACACCCAGCCAGCGCCGTCGCGCCAACAATCTTCTTGGTCCACCAGTTGTCATCCGTCAGCGGCTTCGCAACTCGCGGAATCTTTCTTGGCTGTTGCTGCTTCTTCCCCGTCTTGGCCGCAGAGGCAGTAGCATTCCTCTTGGCAGCCTCCTGCTCCTCCGCTCGTGTGTGTAGTTCCGCGATCGTCCTGCTCAGCCTGACCATCTCCTCCTCAAACGAAGCGTTTGTCTCCCCCTTTCCGCTGTCCACCTCAACATTCTGGACATTTCCAAAGAAATCCGTCACTAGCCGTCTCCTTGCCTCTTCCGCCCCGCCCTTGAAGAGGTCGTATCTCACTCCAGCATGACTATGAATCTTCTCGTAGGTGTAACTGTCAAAGAGGTCGCCGACCGTCTTCTTGCTCGACGTGTCCTTGACCTCGGACTCGAGGAACTCAAGGTTGTAGTATGTATACCGGTCAATGACGGCGACCCCGATGTCGTTGTCGGCATGGTGGGAGTAGCTCGACTGGTCGAGCTCGGAGCTGCCCGTGGCGATGATGTTGGGTGAGTAGAGCTTGCTGTACATGGTGTTTGCCTGGCAGGTGTCGATCATGAACAGGATCTCGTGGTACCGTCTCTTCTCCCACATCTGCTCAAACGCATCGGCCAGATCCCAGGCGCCAATCTCCTCCGCGTCTTGGAACTTGAGGAACTCGTTGCCGCCGTGGCCGGTCATGTAGACTAGGATGTTGGAGCGGTCGTCGGTGAGGAGACGTTTGGACCGGGGCATCTCCTCGCCTACGCGGTCGGTGAGGAGGCGGATGAAGTTCTCGACTGTGACCTCGTAGCCGCGGTAGTCGACCTCGATGTTGTCGCCGTAGAGGTCGACGGCGCGGTCGGCGTTGGAGTAGACTGTGCCTGGGAAGGCGTTGCGCGGGTTGCAGGCCATGTCGTCGGGGAGCATCAGGATGATTTGGGAGTCGGGGATGCCGAGGCGTTTGACGGTGCGGTAGATGGAGAGGACGTTGGCGAGGTGGCGGTAGTTGAACCAGAAGCGGGAGGTGCAGACTAGGACGGCCCAGTTGGAGGTGTGTTCGGCGAGGGAGGGGCCGGCCAGGAGGAAGGCAGGGAGGAGGAGGGAGGAGAGCTTCATCTTTGGTGGTGTTGATGATGTTGGTGGGTAGGTCGTGGTGTTGTGGCAAACGAGTGGACGATGGTCGGGATTCTTGGCGTCTAGAGTTGGGACGAGTCTCAGGCGGATGGAAACATTGACGCCCGAAACAAAATCACCTGTTCTGGTGATATCCGTATCTGGTGGTGGTGGTTATTTTCTTCTGTCGACGTTCAACGCCATGCCATCAGTCAGTCAGCCAAGCCAGGGGGGGCGTCAGCATTGGAGCCGACACACGTCGCGGTCGTTTCACAGTGCCAAGGCCAATCTAACAGATGGCCAAGCATTACATAAGCCATTCTTTTCTCTTTCACAGATCTTAAACCGGGGACGGAGATTTCTCTCTGGCTCTGGGGCGGGAGCACCTGTGAAACACGAGCCCAGCCCCACAAGCCTTTGTGCCCACGGTGTCTTAGCGCAACAGCGGTGCTAGGATTTGCCGAACGCCGAACTTGGGAACAGGGGTGGTTTTACCATAGCTCCAGGCCCAGAGCGGCCGGCCTCGTGTTTTGCTGCACCAGAAGTCAGCAGGAGGAGAAGAAAAAAAAAAGGCGAGGCCATTGATCACACGTCCCGATCTCTGTGGGGAAGAGGCCGGAGCATGTGACGACGTGACGACACTTTTCCGGCAGCCCAAGCAGCAACCAGACCGCGGGGCAACAATTGGAGAACTGGCCCCCAGTGCCCCCTACCAAGTAAGACCCTGGAAAACCACGCTATTTGGAGTGGACATCGCATGAGCTTCTTTTATATACTTACCTGATGGATACACACAAAAGCAGCAGCAGCACCTTTGACTGACATTGACACCAAGCACAACCTGAGCCCTTCACCTGAGCAGGTGCATACATCTCATACCTACCTAGCATTGCTTCGCATCGCATCACAGCACCCACGCCATTACCTACTGCTGTTCGTAACCAAAATCAACCTGGAAGCCGCGCCATCAGTTAGCTGCCCTGCACGGCGGTTGGCTCGAGGAACAAGCTGCATCACCCAGCATCAGCCATCCGCCCCCCCCCCACAGTCCAGTCCACACACACAGCCCGGCCATCGCATCGACACCCCAGCGACAAACAAACCAGCCCGCGAACCGAAACCTACAACTACAAGCCTCTCCCTCTTTCCAGCTCCGTCTCCTTTCCAACTCCCCTCCAAACACCTTAGCAGATCAGCCAGACTTCTATTTAACCAACAACGGCTCGACACAAGCCCGCCCCCCCTTTAGCCCATACACTATCCTGCGGCAGTTGTCGATCTAATAACTTTATCCCCGCTTTCCCCACGGTTGCTCGACCCAGGATCCCGTCTCCAACCCCACATCGTGACGTTCTTAGTCGGCGAGAATCTCCACGGCCTCTCCGGTGGTAGTACTCATAAGGGTCTGTTCTGGTGACACTTGTCCAACGGCCTTCCACACTTTCAGCTGCAGCAAACAGTCAAAACAGTAATTTATCATCATGGGGCGCCCACCGGCGTACCTGTTCGTGGTGAGGTAAGTTGGTTGCCATATCGTTTTTTTGGAGGGGACTCTCTGTTGACGTAGTGGTTAGACACGGGTACCGGCTAGATGCTGCCGACAAGCAGTGGCATCTCTCATCGCCGGCTCCTTACGACCCACCTCTCACTTACAGCGGTTGGCAGCAATGCAAGAATCTGGGTGGCCGAATTGCCTCGATTCTTCAGGAAAGAGTAAAAGAAGACGAGCTTGAGGCGAGGATGAACCCAGATCCAAACAGGAAGCGAAAACGGTACAAGGTGGTCTTGCACAGTTCGCCGTTTCTTCGATGCATCCAGACTTCAATCGCTATCGGCGCGGGACTGGCACAGGACTCGACCCCCTTTGGACCTCCCGATCTGGACTCGCGGCCGCCCACTCCCCCTCCCGCACTCGAGGGACGACCACGGCCACCAAATATCATTACTGACCCGCCACAGAAACCTGTCAAAATTCGAAAGTCTGTTTTACGACTGGACGCATTCCTTGGAGAATGGCTTTCGCCCACCTACTTCGAACTCATTACCCCACCCCCCGAGTCTGTTATGATGCTTGCTTCTGCCAAGTCAGAGCTCCTTAGACGGGAAGACTATAGTCACTACCCACCCTTCAGTGGCCATCACCATTCCAATTCCCAAGGTCACCTCTGGAGTCCGACAGGTCGACCAAGCCCGGCTTCACCACCTAGTGACGGAGGATATGATAGCCTTGGGAGCATGGTTACCCTGAGTAACGCTTTGCCTAGGAGTCCCAGCATCGGCAGCCAGAGTAGCATAACGAGCAGTCTGAGCACGAGACCCTCTACTCCTAAAATCGAGCTCGGCGTCCACGGATACGTGTCGCCGGTGCCACACTACGCTGTTAGCAACAACAACACGATCCCACCAGGCTATGTGGCTCATGCCAAGGATGCGTGTGTAAAGGTTGACTACCAATGGGACTCCAGAGGACCCCCTCTGGACTGGGGTGATGGTGGAAGCTTCCCGGAGGAGTGGGCCAGCATGCACAAGAGGTTCCGCAGTGGCGTCCAGAAGCTGGTTAACTGGTATACGACGGCGGAACATCCCACAGAAATGGTGACGAAGTTTGCTTTTCAGCCTGTTAGGAGAGGATCGGATGGCACCGACTCTGAAGATGATGATGTCGAGACGGAGGCGGTTGTCATCATGGTGTCTCATGGTGCCGGCTGCAATGCTTTGATCGGGGCGATTACTCATCAGCCTGTGCTCATGGACGTCGGCATGGCCTCCTTGACCATGGCTGTACGGAAGCCCGAGGTTCATGATGTGGACACTACCAACGTCAACGACCTGCCGCCTGTACATCAGTTGTACGACCTCAAGTTGTTTGCGAACAGTGATCACATTAGATCGCCGCCTACAACACCCAACCCTTCCCGATCTCCCTCGGTCTCGGTGGCCAGTGTTTTGAACGGTCCTCGAGGGCGACACATGTCGTTTTCTTCAACTTTGAGCAACTTTTCCTGGAACGACAACAACAATTCCCGTGGGTCGTCGGCAAATATGGCTCTGAATGGGCTTAGAAGGACCACTTCGAACACATACAGCAGCACACCAACAACTGGCAGCAAGCTCTCTTATGGTATCAACAGCGGAGGAGGCATTACTGTTGGGAGTGGCGTCACTTCTTTCACGGCAAACAAGGGGTCAACCTTTGGGCATAGGCCGTCGATCGGTCTCTGGTCTCCAATCTCTTCTCAGCCGGAAGAGGACGAAGATGACGATTTCTTGTTGCCCAACTTTGGCGATGCGGACCGGAAGCCAGCTTCGTCCGAGACGTCAGAGCAGGTGGATGGTGCAGCAACCCCTACCCCTGTTCCTGGCACTACCAACAACCTGGATTCGTTCAACCTCTCTGTTAGTCCTAGAGGGACTACCGAAAGGATCCCCACCCCGTCATTTTCTCCCGTCACGACTCCCAAGGCGGAATCGTCGGAGCAGCTCGGGGATGGGCCTGGCGGGCTGTGGGGTGGCAACGGACCCAGGCCCCCTGAGGATGCAGATCGGTTGAGAGATACCAGCTGTACAAAGAGACGGTGGACTGTCACTGAGCGGAGTTGACGGCTCGGGAGAATATTGGAAACACCCCTGCAATGAGCACGAGTTTGTTTGTATCATTCCCCTTTTGTTGCTGTTTTTTATCATAGCGTTGTTCAAAAATTGTCTGGTGGAACTTGAGATGAGAGAGCGTTGTATTTTCTTCTTGGACTATTCACTTCGTTGATACCTGGCTGTGAGCTATTTTGAGGACTACTGACTTGTTCGACTTATCTGTACTTTTAACTTGGATAGGATGGTGAGAAGGGGTACATGAAAAGGAGGAGGGAGCGGGGGAGAGGGATGATTGCATGGTGATGGGATTGGATAGCGAAAAAGTTTGTTTGGGATTTTGCTTGGGGTTGAATAGGTACCTAGTGTATGAGGGTAGCAATATGGATGTAGTAATTATTTGCCCTTGTCTCCGCTTGTGCTGGTGGGGGGTTTGTGAGTGAGTGTGGCGAACTATCGTCCGATGTTCTGGGTGTATCTAGCCGGATTGATCTAGGGGTGTTTGATCGACGCGGAACGTGGCCGAGCCACATGATGGCAAGCCAGATCACGCTCGACAGCGGCCTTCCAGAAGACTTGTTGTGGGTGAGTAGAAGGTCCGGTTTGGCCATGGGTGAGTTTTTTCTGAACAGGCTGAAAAGGTGCCGTCCGGAAAGGACTGGATAATTGGAAAAGGAAGATGTCATTCCCGAGAAAACGGTATTCTAAACAGTTCTGTGTGCTCATCAAGAGTGGTACTAATACAGAGTTTGCCACCCCAATTCCTCCCAATGCTTTCCCCTTCCCACCCCTGTTGCAAAGATCCAAAAGAAAAGACGGCTGTCAGCCGTGGTATCATACCCTGATTCTCAACATCAAAAAACCCATCATCATCAAAACATCGTTACCTAGGCGCTTGAACCCATCATAACATCGTACACTTTTACTCCCCCCTAGTCAGTATCAAAGAAACTCCCACTCCTCTTTATCCCCGCCCCCTCATTGCCCATCTCCCCCAAATCAACCCCCCCAACAGCCCATCCGTCCCCCCCCTTGATCATCCCCCCCCATAACCACCACCCCGTCGCCAACCCACCCCCCAAAACCACCACCGCAACCCCCAACCCAAGCCCCAGTCCCCTCAACCCCTCAAACACAACCCAGTTCCCCGTCTGCGTCCCCATGACAAAAACACCCATCATAACCTTGCGGTAAAACTCCACCCCAAACCCCATATCAACTTCATTCCTCATCTTGACACCCAAGTTCCTGCTCGTGAAAGCAGTCGACTCCCCAATCGTCACCCTCTGAAGCCCGTGCTCCAGCGTCGCAGCCCCCATTGCCAAAAGTCCAAAGACGAACCCCACCGCCGGGAGGTTGACTTTCGCGCCTGTTGCCATGAGAGAATCGGGATCGGGAGTGAGCGAGCTGCTGGTGTGGAGGGAGAAGGTCAAAATTCCGATAAACGAGAGGACTAACCCTACCGCAGTGACGAACAGGTGGGTTTTGGGGGTGGAGGTGAAGATTGTGGAGTACTTCCGGTAAAAATAGTTAAAGGTTATGACTGGGATGAGGGAGAGCAGAAACGGACCAAAGAAGAACAGGCCGATGGAGGAGGGGGGGAGGCTTAAGGGGAGGGGGTGGAAGATGAGGGAGAGGGAAGACGAAAAAGACCAGAGGGCGGAGATGGGGAGGAAGGAGACGAGGAAGAGGAGGAGGGTGGTGGGTGCGAGCATTGCTCTGGGGGCTTGGAGGAGGAGGGAGGGGGAAATAGGGGTGGAATAAGTGTAGGGATGGAGTTTGGCGAGGTAGGTACAGGCTGTTTCCCAGGAGAGGAGCCTATAGGGCGCGAGCGGGAGGGAGGTTTTGTATCTGCCTGTGCCGGTGAGGCCAAAGCCGGAAAGGCCGGTCCCTGGTGTGGGAGCGGCGGAGGCGGCGGCGGAGAGGGTGTATGCTCGGTCGAAAACTGTTTCTGGGCAGCCCAAGGCGATGGCCGGGATAGCGAGGGCGAAGAAGCTGCTGAGGATGGTGAATTGCAGGGTGAAGCCGGCGGAGGATTGAGAGGCGACGCCGCCGAGGATGGGGGGGAACCAGAGGGTGGCCGTGGTAGTGATGGCGTGTATGGTGATCTTGATGTTGCGTTCGTGTTCCTTTTCCTTGGTCAGTTTCATTTCTTCCTGAGAGACGAGCAGGACAGAAACTTACAAAGAACGTATCCTGAATACTCCCCAACACCAGCGCATCCCACGCTCCCCAGCCCAGCCCCTGAAACACCCTCGCAGCCATACACTGCCCATACGCACCCTCAAAACCAACATTGGTGCTCCACACCGTCCCGATGAAAAACGAGATCAGCGACCCCAGATAAAACGGCCTCTTCCCAACCATCCTCGCTGCAATTAAACACCCCAACCCTGTAATGGCCGACAAAATCAGCGGCACACCGGTCAACGCGGCCGCAGCCGTATACGACACGCCATATAATTGGGAGACCTGAGCATTAACCGTCATAAATATCGTCTTTGTCACCCCTGTCATGGCAACCATCAACATGAGTGACCAAAAGTTGACTTCTTTGCGCCATGTGGGCCAGTTCTGTCACACAAGTATCAGCATAATCCTTCAAAAGGCCAAGAGGGACAGTCATACCAATGGATCATCCGGGTCATCACTCGGCTGAGGGACCAATTCCACACTGCTATACTTCCCCTGCCCGTACTTTATCCTCCGCGGCACATTCAACGATGACGCCGCCGTCGAAGTCCATGACATTCTCGGTTTTGAGTCTGTCGTGGAAACAGGTGGAAGCTCCATTGCGGTCGCTGCTGATGTCGTCGTCTTCGCCGTAGTTGATGTCCCTGGTCTGGTGGGCGGGTTCATACCCAGCGGCACCTGTGGCCTAACACTCAAAGGTAATGGCTTCGGTGGAGGTGGTCGATTTGGTGCCGGCACGCTTGGTGGCGGTACACTCGGTGGAGGCATGCTAGGCGGTGGTAATGGTGTGATGGCAGTGAACCCACTCGCATTCGTCGTACTCCTCGATAACCCCCCTCCCAACTTTGATACCGGCCTCGGTGGTAATGGGCGATTTGGCGGCTCCGTCGGACTAGTCGAGTTCAACGATGACTGTGATGGCTTCTTCTTGGCCATCATATGATGCGGTTCCTTTGCTGGAGGAGGCGGTGGTGGGAACGACTCGATCAATCCCGCTGTGCTGCTCCCATCGTTCCCATTACTCCCCCCTCTGAGCCCCAGCTCCTTCCTCAGGTCTATCCCAAGGTCCTGTCCCATGGTGGTGATGATAACGACGGGATGACACCTCTACTCGCTGAGGAGATGTTTTGTGATAAAGGGTCGTCTATCGTCGCTGTCCAGCAGACGAGACGAATGTTTGCTGTGAGATGGCCACGAGGAATGGTCAGACTAGAAAAGGAAAGGGGCCAAAGAGGACAACCAGGGGAGAGGCTACCATGGCATTATACGGGTACCAGCCTCGGGTAGCAGTAGAGAAAGAAAAAATGTGATGTGGGCAAGGGAGGGCAATCAAGCACTAAGCATTGACCTCACATTCTTGGGTGGTCGTGATAGGGTTGAATGGTAAGCTGTCGATGCAAGGCCACTCTGGCCGCATGATGGCAAGGGACAAATATGGGCTCAAGAAGGGGGGGAATATATTCTGGTACTGGGTGGAAGACTCCAGAGTGATGATCTGACCTTCAGCCAAGGGGCGAAAACACTTGGTGGTGATCATGGTAATACAAGCCAACTGCGGCTCATAAAACCCGAAGAAAGAAGAAACCATCTTCCTTTGTGTATGTCATCGCTGACAGCGTCAAGAACAAGGCAGGACAGCGACAGGCATCCCCTTGCCTGCCTCAAGCTCCCTAGCGAACCAGCACGACGCGTGGGAAGGGCACTTGTGGTACATACACCAGTACCTGGTCGCGATCGGGGTCAGATCCAAGGTCCCCTGGAATGGGACGGTGATGGAGGTGATCAGGCCCGCTTGGACCAGCCAAAGGGCGCCCCTCACACAAGCCCGAGCTCACGAGTGCAGGGACCAACAAGCAGCTGAAACGTTCAGTGACACAACGCGGGGTTGTTGTTGTTGAAGATGTCTGTAGGGAAAACAATGTCTTGGTAGTCGTCATTGATTCTCAATAGTAGGGATTTCTTCAGCGAGATATCTTCTGGCTAGGGGGAATGAAAATCTCAGAAACCCTTCTGTCAATGTGCCAGGGAGACACCTAGAAAGGGACGTCGTTGAGAGCTGCCCTGTGCGAGGGGGAGATCGGACCCGAAGAGCGGGGTCGCGCTAAGGGCGCCCCGCTATCCGCCGTAAAGATGTGGGGCCACAGCTGAAGAAGAAATGGAAGCGGCTCTTGCCGGGCTGTCAGGCCTCCTCCTTGCCTTTGCATTTTCGTGCCTGCGCATGCCGTGCCGTGCCATCAACCATCGGCCATTTTTGACCGTGCCGTCGCAAACTCGCTCTTTTGATGCTTCTTTCTCCACTGACTCTTCACCGCCGGAACACCGTCCAGTCAGCAGCGCTTCTGTTAGCTGTCGACGCGTTGCTGAACCGCAAACATCTGACTGAAGGATTTGTCAACTCTTGCCACGGGGGATTATGGCCGTCTGTCGTGGAACGTCTTCGGAGGAGAGTTGGGACGAGGAACCCTGAACACTTCCCTCTTGTGTCGAGGGGGTGTTACAGGTCGCCGAAAGAAGCACTGACCTTGCTCGGGTATCGGAAGGACGCTGTTGAACAAGTTGTAGAGTGCGGTCCGTGCGTGGAAGGTCGCTTGGCAGGGAACCAGTTTTCTCGAAACAGCTTCCAGCTTCGCTTCTTCAAGCTGCTGATACCCTCATTCTTCGGCATTTTATCTGAAGAGAGCCCAAGATGCTCTGCAAAAGTTGCACAAACCACGGCACTGATCCCGTCTCGTCTCGACCCGTTCTCAGCATAAACATGGCAGTCCAACCACCAGGTAAGTCGCTCACACAAACCCGTCTCTCAAAAATAACAGCGGCTTGCCACAACTCCCCCCTGTTCGCCATTTGTTTCTTGTTTCTCCTCAACCCGCAAGGCATGATTTGTCCGCCCTTCCGGACGTCACCTCAACCAGGTTTCTCAACCCGTCCCTCTCTTGTACTTGCACAAACAAGAACCACAGAGATGAGCATAAAAGTGATGAAGCTGTGGTTGTACCAGACCCCAACGCCGATCATGCACCGCTCTGCCCGGCAAACCACCACGTCGCTTGACTTGAAAGGGGACGGACCAAGGTTTGTGCAAGTGATGCCAGTTCAGCCTGTTCTTTTCGATCTACATTGATGCACTGCAAACGCCTCCGTTTCTGAGGATGCGCCAAGTTCATCCCTATCCATAGCGCCGCGCGGTATACATGTGCATCGTGGTATGGTCCCCGACTGCGGCCTCCATATGGTCGGTCGTGTCTCATTGCACCGTGTCCTGTTCGCCTGCTGTGCATCGTGAACCTTCTCTGTCCTTCGGTCAAGTACCATCGCCCACCATCTGCAGCCGGACCACAGGTGTGAGGTGCGAGCTGAGATGGAGAAAGTCCGGCGCGGCGGGCACAGCGGTCCAGTAGAACACTTGGCTCCGGTGACGGGGCACAGCTGACTGTCCTTGCTCGTAGAGGTAGAAACCTAGATATTGATCACCCGGAATTGTGAGTGATTGTTCTCTTGGCAGCGCAGGGGAAGCAGGACGCAGAAACACAGCTTCGCTTTGGTTCATAGTGCGGCGATTTCCCGTCTAGAATAGGCTGCTGAGGCCTTCCCAAGATGTTGGTGCCGTCAAACTGCTCCTCGTTTCTGATCATCATACCGACACGGGATATTTTTGGCGTTGCTATTGAGCATCAAAACCAGGTCATCCTGGCTTAGAGGCTCAATAAACGGCCAAATATCCCACGCCAGGAGCGAAACAACACCAGAACAACTCATTCATCTTAGTGTTGTTCGCTTCCAGTACTCGTTGTCCTGATCGTCAACTGTCCTAATCTGGTCCGGGTAGAGTTCGCCTTTGTTGTTCTCTATTCCGCCATGATAGCATGGCCGAAATGATCCAGACGGTATTTCCAGGAAAGCGCAAAACCAAGCCATCAAAAAGCAGCAATAACCACAGCCCTACCTTCTTTTCCCTCCCCATCAACCTCCCCTTCCTGCCTCTCGGCCCCCTCAAACGCCTCTAGCAACTCCCCCGTTCTGACGACCAACTCCTCAAACTGCAGCCTGTACGCCACCGGCAGTTCCTCCCCCTCCGCCACCAATACCGGCCTTTCTATTCCTGTGTCCTTTTCTTCAATCTTGAACTTGAGTCCGATAGTCTGCTTCGTATCTGCCCACAGTACCTCTGACTCTGCTGTCCTATTTGACGATGCCGTCGACAGAAAGTTACGTTTAAGACGGATAAGCCCCTCGGAGATGTTAACGTGTGACAGAAAAAGCCCAGGCTTCGGTCCGAGCTTGACTAGATTCGTGATAACGCAGAGTTGAGAAAACCCCTCATCAGCATCAAGGTAGATATCCTGATGGGGAACAGTTTTCTCCTCCTCTTCTTCAAGTTCAGGTCGTCGTCGGGGATAGCGCATTCGAGGACGGCGGTTCTCGTCTTGGAGAACGGGTTTGAAGTGGGAGTAGACTTCTCCTAGACTGTTCCGCAGGGCAGAGTCGGAAGACTCATCGTAGAACTGATCGGTTGATAAGTATTCGCAGTAGAGGTAGGGGGTGGAGATTTTGGCGGTGGGGTGGTAGCATTCTAGGATGAGCTTGTGGCGGCCGGAAGGGGAGAGGGAGACGGCGAGGTTGTGGAGGCGGTGGTGGAAGATGCGGAGGGCGATGGAGGAGAAGTGGTGGGAGACGGCGGTGAGGGGGAGAAGGTCGGAGGTTGGGAGGTCGTTGAGGATTGATAGGAGGAGCTGGCGGGGGTTAGAATGACAGTGGGTAGCACAGAAAAGGGGAAGATGGCGAAGCTTGCCTCGTTGGGGAGCGAGTTGAGGGGGGTATCCGGAGGCATGTCGTCAGGTTAGGTGTTCGTGCTCGTCTGGATGTTATCAGGCACTTCTCCGATGTCTTTTCATAGACAGCTTGCCTCCACAGGGCTCTCTTTGCTCTCTGACGCAACAGACATCACGATGCGCGGTTGATAAGAATGGCAGCTAGGTACGATAACGATGTGGGGTAGGTACGTCAGTCAAGCTTCCCGCTATTGTTCCCGCGGCCCCACTTCCCCAGATGCCGAGTTCCACCCCAGCCACTTGCCGGACAAGGATCCGCTGTTGTGTCTATCAACGACAAGTGATCTTCAAGATGATATGGCAGTGGTTATCAGTTTCTGCTGAGTAGATAGTCTCATGATGAACCTATTGAGAATTTCTTAAAGTAAAGTCAGCATCTAAAATACGCCTCAATACTGCTGAGCTCTCTACCAGGATCGACTATCTGTCCGTCTTACTGTCCTGGGGAGCATACTGTGCATGCCCTGGCGGTGGCTTTGGATGTGTGATGGTACTCGGCTCATGTCAGGGCCATTCCTCTGGAGAGGCATGTCTTGACCTATCCACAGTGGCCGGATCACCTGCAACTGTCGAAGTGAAAGGAAGGATTAAGATTTAAGAGTGACATAGGTAGGTACCTACCTACCCCACCGGTTCCCATCGGTCACATATTTAGAAAATCGGTGAATCTTTTCGCCGTATGAGGAAGGTCAAGTGTGGAAGTCAACCATCATTCAAGACCACATTTCCGCAATCACGGAAAGCGACAACTCAGCCTGGGTTTTGGGACTGCTGGATCTGTCCGCAGCAGAGTGTTTGTTGTATGTGACGAAGGCTGCCTGAGGTGGTGGGCGAAGATGCCCTCATGATCTGGTCTGGCGGGAGGCCTCCATCTACATGTCGTCAGCAAGTAAAATGTTTGAAATCAACGTATAGTCAAGATTTGATTGTCATGAGTAAACTTGGTGAGAAATCTCCGTTCTGCGCGCTACATGCCTAGTGAAATCGTATCGTCGTGAAACCCAAGCCCATACTGGAATTCCCATGAGAACCTCTATCATATGAACTCCAAAATACAAAATCCGTTTCCTATGCTGCCTCACATCAAATCACACTGACCATTATCTGCCACGACCCTGAAGACTTTTGAATCGGGGACGTATTTCATGGCGTGTAGTGTCAACATCTCCTCCTCGCCAGCCACTTGAATATGAAACGTGCCCACAAGGCTGAACCCCAGCCAGGTGTATAGGCTGTGGCCCATGGGACTGGCCATGACTGAAATATCTTTCAGGCGCTCTTGATGAACCATCTTCATCCCCCATTTGCAGAGCGAGGAGGCATGACCACGTCGCTGAAACTCGGGCAACGTGGCAAGAATCTGGAGGTGAATCTGGTCGGGCCCGATCTTGCCAAAGAACATCTTGTAGGCTCGGATTTGACCCTTCCAGAACTCCTGAAAGTGCTTGTGGTTCGCGTCCCGGCGTGCCCTGCCTCCCTGCCTTTCCACCTCGGTGACAGCTGTTTGGTTCGGTGTATTAGTGTGACGCTTCTACGTATAGTTTATTGTTACCTCTGGTGGGAGATCGAACGAGGTTTTCGGTGGGAGAAGTGAGCAAAGAACATGATGAAAGACTTGCGATCCTGGGTTACATAGCCGGGCCCGTATCGCTTCTTGTTGCGATAAGAAACGTCCCAGACGCTGAACGAGACCACCCGTCTATCCTCACAGCCTGTCTCCAGGCTGTCCTCCACTACCATGACCTGCCAGTCGTCGTAGGCCGGATCAAGAAAGTACTCGAATAGCAAGCGCGTGAATTTGTAGTGATCCTCAGGATACTCATGGCGATGCGGAAACCGATAATCCCATTGCGGATCTAGCGGCATCGTTCTGATGATGACATCTGTAAGAGCCTCGATGTCGGTTGGGAGGCCGGGTCTGGGCTTCATGGTGAGGCAGGGCAATGTCAATATTGACAAGGAATAGTGAGGCTAGGTGCGTTTGCAAGTTTGTTGGCGTAGTGCTGCACGCTGGGAAAGAAGGAAAACCAATGAGCAAGGCGACCGACCGGTCCCGGAGCTATGAAAGGGCGAAGCCGTCTTGAAAAAAAAAAAAAAAGCTTGAATGTGTCACAGCCTTAAAGCTGCCTGCTACTGCGCTGCCTCAAGAGCCTCATCGGCCAGCACCGCTCTTCTGAGGAGCCTGGCTTATGCCACGATGAGGTGTGGTGTGCGTCGCGGCAGATTAGCGTAAATTTCTGGTCATCATGTGAAACACTAGAGAGCGCCGTGTTCGTGAAGAGCACCGGAAGGGTTGCTGTGTCTTCCTATTCCATCGTGAAGCAAACCCCTCTAGGTATTTTGGGCTGGGTTGGGGGCGTCTTCGTCATGTCTGAGCCTCGTCCGTGCAGTGGAAATTCTGCTTGGTAGCCGCAGAGATGGGGAATTGAAAAACGGCTTGTACTACCTTACACAGCTAATTTGGGCATGGCACTTTTCGCGTGGTCCCCCCTCATGGTCCTGCGTAATCTGTATATGAGAGCCTGCCGTGTCGCTTTTGGTGTCTCTTGCCAGATCTTGGCTAACAATTATATCCTCGGGAGCCTCTTTTTAGGCGCGCATCGTGTTGTGAAGCCTGCATAAAATTGACGACGGCCGAATCAGCTTCGCGGTAGCCCTGCAGCTAGGCCGAGAACAGAAATGAGGTGAGCCAGAAGAGCAATCCCACGTTACCAGGGGACCGGGCTGGATGATTGGGCGCGCCATTGCGGCCTCCAACGCCCATCCCCTTTTTCCCACCACGCCAAATGCCATCTGCCATCTCAAAGTGTCGCATCCCGCTACCCCGACACAGCATTTGCGGCAAACAACCCGCATCCTGGATTCCTGGATTATGACAAGCGTGCGATGCTGACGCGAATACGACTCGAGTCCTTTCCTTGTGCTTGTGTTCCTTGACATTGATGAACATGGAGGATATGGTCACAGTCGTCGCCGTCGCCTCCGAGATGGACTCCCGTACCGGCAGCACAGATCTCGGCCCCGTGTTTCACTTCGGCGAAGCTGGCGATCACTCCCCCTTCTTCGACCCCGCCTTCGGTTCCTTGATTTTCTTTGACACATTCCACACGGCCTCCGACCGGCGAGACTACCCACTTGGCCCCGGACCAAGTGCTTATTCTGCGCTTGTGCCGTCGAACCATGCCTCCTTTGATACCCAGTTCCACGGCCCCGGGACCAAGATCATCGCGGCCCGAAATAGCGACCACAACCCCGGCAACCCACAGTCTTATCCCGATGCGCCGCCTACCATCTACGCCGAGGGTCAACGAGCGGACATTTACGACTTTGAGTACCTCGAGTCGAATGTCGGCCCACCATTTGGAGGAGGCCCAATCATCGGCCAGACAACTCACCTTCCTCAATTGGAAGGTCCGTACAGCAATTGCGATGGCTTCTTAAGTCCGGATCTGAACTCATCCTTCGGCCCTCTGGCTCATGCTCTCTCTAATGGATACCATACCGGATCCAGCTCCGACTCCAGCCCCGGCCCCGACAGTCCAGTCCCAACTCTACTGGGAGTCTCTCCGTCGACCGAAGTCCGGCATAGGATCAATCCTAATTCAGCCTTTGACCTCGATACATCACGTCGTCCCTCGATAGCCAGTACCGAAATCAAATTCGAGCACAATACCGGAGCTAGTCCATCGCCGCGACCGCCGAACCGCAAAGGAGCAGCCAAGAACTCGGCAGGTTCGCTTGAGATCATCTTGTATAAGCCGAGTGGGAAGCCAGATGGACGGCTCTCCAAGAAACGCCCTGCCTTTGACGAGGTCACCACTGGGAGCAGTACGCCCCAGACCCTCCGTCGAATATCGCTGGAAGATGAGAGTGGCCAGGTGAAGGCTACCATGACTACGTTTGGGAAACGCCCCAGAATCCGGACTCCTTTTGACGAAGAAAAACGCCGACGCACAGCCCTCGCTCGGAAGGAAGGTGTATGTGCGCGATGCAAGAGGTCAAAGAGACAGGTTTGTGGCCGATACCCCACGGGATTCCTTGGGTCCACATCGTTAATACTAACCTGGTTCTCAGTGTGATCTCGCCGCCAAAGGCCTCTATGTCAGCTGTACCCTGTGCACGTGCACCAAGATCTACAAGAATGTCCCTCGCATGCCTTGCTTCCGATCCACCTTGGTCGACATCATGTTCTTCCGTGCCGGTATGAGCGCGGTTTCCTCGGCTCAGAGAGTGCCATGGACTGACACCTTTCTAGGTCCTGCAGCCAACGAGCCATTGTTCACCAGACGTCTTGTCGAGTTTAAGCTCGAAGATATTTCCGCCCCCGATGTCCCTGTCCGTACGCTGAAACTTAGTCAAAGAATGGGTCACCATCGTTTGACCGTGTATGCCTCCGAGTTCAAGCCAGAGCCCACCGATAAACTCTCGTATTACTGGAAAGATTCAGCCGGAATGATTCACGAGATGAAGATACCACCGTTTACCCTCACCAATCTGAACAAAGTTCACGCCCATTTCCGGCAATACATTGACGCCGCCAAAGGGTCCTATCTCGAATCGTTGAGGGGTCAGCAGGATGACGGTTTGACTTGGAAGACTGTTTCAACGGCAATGGAATATGCACGGAGAAAACCGGTATGTCCATAACAGTTCGTTCCCATTTTTGTCGCGTGGCTAACGACAGTAGGACTCTCTCGTTGCCGATACTCTCGATATGTGGGCCGTTTCCCGAATGATCGAAATCCCATGGGAGATATGCGGAGAATGGACAGACACGCTCGGCATGTCACCGGTCCAGAATCCTGAGAACCCACACAAGGGCAAGATCCCGATCCCACCGATCATGGACACGCTTCTTGATCAGATTGTCATCAGGCAGTTTCTGCAGCCGTTGCGTGAACGGGTGATCAAGAAGTTCGAGCAGCTGATCAGCCCAGCACGGCCGGAAGTGTGGTTCGAAGTGTACCTGTCTGCTTTTATCATCCTCAACCACATTGAGAGACTGGCTAAACATTCGGCATCCCATGCGAGACTCCACAGCATGCCGGTATGTGTGACCATAACTGCCTCTGTGGATGTATAGCTAACAGTGCCGACAGACCAAGTACTCCAACACTTCGTTCCTCGAAGGGGCATTTCACACCGCCAAGGTCATCCTCTCGCGCTTCCACTTTGTGTGCAACGGGTCTGCGCCCCTGCGGCTGGACTGGAAGAAGGAGAAGACTGCAGAGCTGGCCAAGCTGCAGCCGAAGGAGGTTGCTCTGATGGAGGAGACACAGGCCATCATACGACGCAAAGGTATGCATTTTCGAAACAATGCAGTGACATGCCTCATGACTAACGATTTCTCAGAGAATGATGTTTTGAGCCTGCGAAAGACGCACCAGTACGAAAGTCCACTCTACTGGTGCCATCAGCTGTATTTTGAGGACTGGGACACCTCCCCGGTGCATATTGTCGGGGAATGAACCCGACAGGAGGCTTTTATCATGTTTTATACCCATGAAGCAATTCACCTAGCAAGCGAAGGAGTTTTGGAAAGTAATACGGGTAATATTTTGGATTTTATAGGGGATGAACTGTTGATATTGGTTGCTCTATATACGATTTTCAGCAACATAGGGGCTTAGACCTTTTTTTTTTTTTTTAATTATTAACGATGCACATACTTTAGGACCTTTGTGGAAGACGCTGGATTAGTCGCTGTGAAAGCTGTTACTTGAGGCTTGAAAGTGGGACGACAAAGAGCCCCTGAGAAGACCCCGAGAAGAGCCGCTTTTATGAACTGGACAAACGAAATGTATAGAATTGCTAACGATTGAACACTAGCAGATCCACAGGTTATCCAATGAAAGAAACACCAATTCCTCCATGCTGAGTTTGACAATCTTGATGCCCTCTCACCCACCTCACCCAGGTCCCACCCCTTATACCTCATGATATCGCTCTTCCTCTCACCAACTAACAACAATTGCTCTGACACCGATCAAGACTGATCACTCCACATTAGCATCTCCCGACATCAACCCCACACAGAGAGGAGGACCGGGTGGGGGGTTGGAATAACTTACCAAAGCATGCAAGGCGCAAAGTTGTCCACCGTGAAGTCCTTTGCGCAGTTGACACAGGCCAGCTCCTCCTTGTAGCAGGCGTCGCAGCTGGAAAATTCGCAGGCGTCTCTCTTGTTGACGGGTATCCTCTTGTCGTCGATGCCGGTTATAACCCCAGCTCCTGCCGGCGTTTGCGGTTTTGGGTAGATGAGATCTCTCTTGTCGGATTGGGAGTCCATGATGCTGTTGGATGTGACTCTTGTGGGGTCTATGCCGGATAACACCCCGGCTCCTGCCGGGTTTTCTGGTTTGGGGTTTATAAAGTATCGCTTGCCGTTGGTGAAGTGGTTGTTGCCGGACTGGGAGGGGCCAAATCGACCGCCGGAGAGCATTCGCATCCGCTGCTCGGAGATGGTGTGGGAGAGGGTGGGGGTGAGGAGGGTGAGGAAGGGGATGAGGGTGGGGAGATGCATTTTGGTGGTTGGTTTGGACTGAACGTGGGAAGAATTGAAATTGAAGTTGACCTTGGTGTTTTGAGAAGATGAAATCGTTTGTGATGAGAGAGGTGATGAAAACGAAGAGGAAAGACAGGGGGTCTTTGTAGTTTCTGTCACTACCTCGTGGCAAGGGGTCCTCGGCTTCGGGTGTATACAACATGTCAACGCGTGTTGTGTTCGTTCGGACTTGCTGTCAAGTCTCCTCCGTGCATCCAAATGACTGGCGTTGTGCCTCCTGTCAAGGCTTCTCCGTGTTTCCAAATGACCAGGCTGATGAAGCTATGCGTTGGTGACACCATTGACGTTTCCGTAGAATGACCTTTTGCACAACACTTCCACACTGTACCTTACCTTAGTTCATTCATCTTACAAGACCGTCAATCGCGTGGCGGTTGTTCGGCTCGGGGAATACCTCTTTTCCCTTGTTCAATACAGCAACTGCCAGCTGTCTTTTGCCATCATTGTGCGATCATGTCAAACGTCACGACACACTGTACAAGTGTGGCACTCCACCAACGCACCTTGAGTCGGAGACATTGTAGGTAGCAGAAATCCCGCAATCTGGATTCAGCTTCCAACCTACCCCAGATTCCAGAGGTGGCAACAAAGCTGTGTTGTCTGAAGGCAGGAGGCCATGTTTGATTCCTCCCTGTATGGTACAGGTCAGAGCTTGTCCACGTCCTCAGGACTTTCATTCTCTACAGTGATGCTTTCTCTCCGGACGTTTCTCCAGTTGTGCAAAGTCACACATCTTGGTCACCTTGGATCGGAACGGGAAGGGTGAAGCTCGAGAGTCTGTTTGCCCATCGAGCCGGTTCGAGAAGTGCATGTAAAACAATGTAAGATTTTAGGGGTCCGGTATCCGCGAAACAGACTCGATGAACTCATGATAGGTTGTTGGTAAATATAGACGTTATCTTTGACAGAGAGAGTTCCTGACACCTTGTCCGCGATCCACCTAGGTGGGTAGTTGCATCATGGGATCTGCTCGGTCCCACACAAATTTATTCCGGTCCGGGGTTCCCAGATCGGCGCCGGCCTCTTGAAGAAGAGTGCAAATCTCGTCGAAGCCCTCTTGCTTCGCGATATCCAGAGGTGTGTAACCTGCCTCATCCTTCCGGCTCAATTGATTCCCATCCATGTCTGGACTCTCTGCACCCGTGAACCTTTCTATCAAGACCTTGACAAAGTCTGTGTTGCCGCGTGCCACAGCCATGTGAAGAGGCGTGAGTCCGTTTATGTCTGCCCAGGTTATCCAATCAAGCACCAAATCTCTGTCAACAGGCAATAGCTCGAATATTTCCATATTTCCTGACCAAATAGCAAAATGAATATATCGCCAATGTTCCTGTACCGGAAGCCAATACTCGTCTCTTCCCCACCATTGGCTCACGGCTGTCAAGATTGCCCTCGTTGCCTCGACGTGTCCTCCCAGAATGGCTCTGTGTAAGGGTGTAAAGCCCCTGTGATCACGGGAACTGAACCATTTCTTCGCGACACGAGTAGGCTTGAACCGCCGAAGCTTCTCGATGTGATTGACCAGCCCCATTTCGGCTGCACAGTGAAGTGGTGTTGACAAGTCAAGGGCTGATTCACTGTCATACTCGTTTGCATTGCTGTGCTCCAGGATATGATCCAAAAGCCGACCCGCGTTGGGGTTCTTTGCCGCATAATGTAACGGTGTCCACCCTATCAGGTCACGGGTGTCAATCATGCTTGGTGCGATCTTTAAAGCCTCAAGTGCCGCTGGGAAGCGCGGATCTGTATTCGAAGCCATGAGCGCGGCGGCATAATGGAGAACCTTCCATCCCCAAATGTCCCCTTCACTGATGTCCTTTCCCTCGAGGAGTGCAGCATTCATCTCGTCTTGAGAGCCGCTTCTGAAAGCTTGGTGTAGCGTGCTATGTTGGCAATACCGCAGCATGCGACGAGAGTATTCCTTCCCCTTTTCTCCTCTCCGGACATTTACGTACAAGGGCCAAGCTCGTATATGATGGTCAGGATCGAGACGATTCTGCCAGATGTAGGATAGCATCCAGTAAGCAAGATCCTTGGCGTCGTTATAACTCCAATTCTCAACGGCATGCATCGTTTCTTTAGAGTATGGTAGTCGAAAAGGCCTCATCTTGCGGTATTCGAAATGAAAAAGCTTGCCCTCATTGCCACTTTGGAAGCTCTTACATGGTATCAGGTTGACACAGCTCCATAGTAAGGCCGATGTCCGTTTCCTGAGACCTGCGCGAAGAAAGCTTGGGGCATGTTCGAAGTGGACGACAGATTCCTTATCCCGAAATCGAGAAAGAAGCCTGGGTACCACCTCATCGCAGCGTCGTTGATGATGGGCACTCAGTAACATATTGCGGAGAACCGTCTCAGGCTTTGCGAGATTGTTGTTTTTGCTGAGTGAGGGAATGATTGCCAAGTACGCTTCCTTTGGCGTAAAGAGCTGGATCTCCTGCAAGAAATCAACCAGGTTGGAGACGTTGATGTTGCTTAACATTCCACTCAAGTGATCTCCGGACTTTTCTTCCCACCATGTCGAATCATCGTTTGATATCTCGGGAACAACATGGGATAGCCCCTGCATGAAAACTGCATAGATATGCTGTGTGTACAAGGATGGCAAAGATGTCGACATCTCTGCCGCGATGAGCTCGGGCTTTTTTTCGGCGTTCCATAGACTGCCTTGTACCAAATAGGAACTCGAATGTGCGCTGCCTCCGAAACCAACTACACGGGGTGCTGAGACTTTGCGAACTTGTGATGTGGAGCCCGATGACGAGTCGGATGAGTTGGATGAGCCGGGCGAACTCGATGAGGGCCTTGATTCGTCTCTGTTCTCCGTAGGAGCGGCAGGACTGGCCGATGAATTCGTTGCTGGGCTCTCAACTTTGGTCGAGACAACAACCGAGCTAGCGATATTTGCAGGAAGCCAGTAGTAAAGGTCCCTGGCAAGACGGTATGACCATTGATCAAGTATAATAAGGCCGGGCTCTTTACCCATCAGCCACTGATCTGCCTGCGTTGGTTTGGCGTCCGAAGGCCCGCTTTCACCGAGAACGTTGGGTGCTGCATTTCTCACGGAGAAAAGCCATAACGACAAAGCTGCTTCAAAGACACTGCCTAACTGGGTAGCCTGCCACTTTCCATGCTTTCTCTCGGCTCGCATCTCGATTGTTCGGTTGTTGAAAGCTTGATGTTGCCATGTGAATTCATCTTCATCTTTCAGCAGCAGATCCAGCGTTTTCTCAATCGCGCTAACGAGTTTGATGGCTTCGACAGCTCCGACTCGAGGCCAATGAGATGGGAGCCCGACCAAAGAAGCGAGGCTAGCTCGTGTCTGAAACAGTCCCTTACTGTTCATTTTAGCCGTCAAGTCGAGACTTTTGTCTTCTGAGGAACCTGGAGGCATATTTTCCACGTCCAAGCTTTCCTCTATATCACCGTAGGGCCCAAGGTTAGAAGCGACCCAATCAAGCTCGAAGCCCGGATCCAAAGGGATGGCGTGGAACGAGCTGTCTGACTCTCTGCGAGCCCAGGCTCGGATAGCTGTCATGGCCAACGTTGCGATCAACTGAGCAAGCGCAGCGGACCAACTCATACCCCGAAGACCAATGAACTGTACGACAAAACCGACAAGTCCTATTGAGACTCCAATGATTGTTTCTGTTTGGCGGAAAGCTTCAAGACCTTCATTGATGATTTGACCTTTGTTCGTTTTCGTGCGTCTACTGACAGTATCGGCGCGTCGAGAGGTTCGCAAGACAAATGGATCTCTGTCAGCGTAAAGTGCGTATGACCCAAAGGTCTGATCGCTGACCGTTGCCGCCCTCTGGATCCAAAGTAAACGCCCGCTCGTCTTGCCCCCCGCTCTAAACTCTGTTTCGATGGTTCTCGACTCCACCACGTGAGCGCAGAGAGTGAGCCCGACAACTAACAGCAATGTCCCGCTTAGGGTACAGGGAAACGCGTAGCGCTCGGCCGGCTCTTCGTCCTTGAGTAAAATAGAGCCAGGCTCATGAGGCCAGTACGCAGTCCAGCCACAGAAGGCAAGGACCGCAAACTGGAGCATCGTGCCAAAGACCGCCATCAGACCGAGTTCGAATTTGGTGCTCCCATGAAGGTTCAAACTGATGTTTGGAGCTGCACCCGACTTCTCGACCAGGAGGAAAGAGTTCTGCGGTTGGCCACTTGATTCTTCAAGCTTGAGGGGCGGCTCGCAGACCCCTGTCTCGTCCAGGTTAATCTGTCTCTCTCTGTGACGGTTCGGTGATAGCATAGCGAGGAACGACCGCAAGAAACTTTTCGATGATGTCTCCTCTAACTCTGGATGTTGGAGGACAGACCACACGACGTCTGTTGTTTTGGGTGACGTGGAGGGCAGTATCATGAACTGGTGGACGGGCCCTGTTCCAGCTACGCGTACCAGACCTTGACCATTCCACAGCTCGCTGACATCTGGTGAAGTTGAAGACATCAATTCCATCTCAGCGCTTGCCATTGGCTCCCGGCTTCTTCCGATAATTCTTTTCATCCAAAGCGGACCACCCACGCGAATAGCGGCGACGATGATGGTGACTATGCCGAGTGGTGCCATCGCCAAGATGACATTGTCTGCCCACCCTAGTGATCCGGTCATGAACTGTTCGGTCACACGCTCGCCAAAAAGGGAGAGAAGTCTGTTGCTTATTCAGTACTCGAACCGTGAAAAATAATCAAGACAGATTCAGGGTTGGCATACGGGCCGAGATCACTTATCAAATCATTCGTGAAGTCCTCCGGATTGCTCGCTGCTGTTGCAACTTGAACCAAAGACAGCAACCAGGCCCATACAAGGGGGGCACTTCCGATAGCTGCCATCCTCGTCTGCGTAACTCGATGTCCCAAAACCAACGCAGGACTGAAAACAAATTTGAGTAGGTTGATCACCCAAATGGTGAAGGGAAAGTCTTGTGAGAAATCAGAAATAAAGAACAGGAAAACGATTATGTAGAGTCTGGACATGGTCTGGTATGATGTCAAAGATTCAGTCGAGAGCATTCAGCCCGCCCCAAATTGGCCCGGCTATCCCCTTCAAGAGGGTGGCTTGATGACAAGCGGCGAGCTGGCGGCTGTTAATTGGTCCCAATGCTATTGACAGCAGCTGATGAACGAAGTGGCTGCTAGGGGAGGGAGAAAACCAAGATCAATTGGACTGGCTTGCCGGCCGAAAACAACCTTGACACCAAAAAGCCGATCAAGCGCCAACTTTTAGATCTTTTCCTTTTTCTTTCCGGCCTCTTTGTCTTAGATACGAGGTTGATGACTTTCAGCTTGAGATTAGGGTTAAGGGTAGCCCCTGAATCCCCCCTGAAGGCATTGCAGCGCACAGACATCACACATCAGACCGACCAGTTTGACGAGACTGTACAACAAACAAGTCATTAAAATAGAAGGTAAACTATCAAGAACTGTTAATCATGATGTAAAAAGAAAACGAAAAAGGAAAAGCTCTCGTGTACTCCCAAATCCCCAGATCACCGAACAAGACGCAAACACGAGACCAAAAAAAAGCAAGCGAGCGACCAGCACAGCACCATCTCCCCTCTCCCCCCCACAACACCCCCAAAGCACCCACAAACCTAGCACTCAAGCACAGCTAGCCCGTCTATACTTGACCCTCAGCTCGGGCGGGCTCCTCTCAATATCCCACACCCTCTTAGCCCTCCACTCATGATCCCCATAACACTCCCAGCTCAACCTCTCCAGCTCCCTCGGCGTCTTCCACATCAGCTCCTCATTCCTCAACCAAAGCCTCAACATGTGCCTCCTCTGCTCCCCTTCATCATGAAAGCTGCTCCTCGCGTGCAGCATCGCAAAATTGTTGAAAATCATCATGTCCCCCTTCTGCAACTTGATCTCCACCTTGTGCTTCTGCGCCGCAAAAAACACGGCATCCAATGCCTCGGCTTGTATCTCGGTCATGGCAGGGACGTCGGGGTGGTGCGGGCTAAAGTGGGAGCCGGTGAGGGGACGGCGGGAGAATTGAAACGCGGGGCCTTGGCCCTCGAAATTAAAGAGGAGAGGACGGGTGTGGTATTGGCCCTGCCAGAACTCGTCAAAGATCCAGTCGTCTTTGATGAGGGTGTGGATAATGTCCGGGCGGGTGGCGGCGAGCTCGTTGTAGATTTGGGCTGAGGAGGCGAGGAAGGACTCGCCGCCGTATCTGGCAGTGTTGAGGGCGTAGAGGGAGAGAATGTCGCAGAGGTCGGTGTGGAAGGGCTGTTTGTTGATGTAGGTTAGCACCAACCTAGAGATGCATGGGGTCAGAGAAAGAAGGCATTAATACCTGAGCGCGAGCAACATAGGGGCTGTTGGGCATGGCACCGTGTTTCTTCACGTCTTCGACCACAGCCTGGATGTGAAGGATCATGCGGCCGTCAAAGTCCTGCATGCCTCGTTTCTCGGCGATGTACGAGGTCACGCCAAGGTAGACGAGAATGTTCTCCATGTTGGTCCACTTGTCCGGCTGGAGACCTCGCAAAACGACAAATCCGCGGCCGTTGTGAATCTCCTGGGCAATGGCCTCGAGTCTTTCCTCGAGACCGGGCAGGGGGAAGGTCTCCTTGGAAACATCATCAGGGCCGAGATCGCCGGGAAGAGCTGTTAAGTTCCATGTTAGTGATGTCATGCGTGATGGAAAGTTTGATGTTGACATACACTTGAAGTGAACCAGTGCCTCGTCAATCTCGGCCAGGTCAGCTTGGTCAAACTGGACAATATATTCTTTGCCATCGTCAGAGAAGTCACTACCGGACCAGGCCCGTGCCATGTTAAGCTGGGTCGGCCAGCCGGCCGGAACGGTGGTGGGGCGATCAGGGTAGAGAAGCTTGAGGGCCTCGACGCGGTTGAGGAAGACCTTGCGGTCAGGAAACCAAGAGATATCAGGACGCGGGATATCTCCGGGAGCAGGGGCCGGGGTAAGATCTTTGTTGGTGGAGAGCTTGGGGGCTAGGGCCAAGGGGCAGGCTTGGGGCATGGTGGTGGTCATCTTGTTGGTTGCTTGTCGGTGTTGGGGGCTAAGAGTTGGTTATTGGCGTTCCTAGGGTGTTTGAAGTTGATGTTGGTGTTGATGTGCTGACTCTGGTGTTTTGAAGTGTTTTCTGGCGCGGTAAAGACAAAGTTGACAATTTTGAAAGCGCTTGAGCGTTGCTATATGTTGTTTGCAGAGCTGAGTACCTCGATGGCTTGATGTTCCAAATGTTTCGCTCTTCATCGACGAGTTGCCCTCATTATATACACGTTCCATCACCCAGAGCCTTGCTGTTTGTCATGGTGTCTCGACACCGCTCATCATCGCCATTCTGACCATCGTCGTCCACTATCCCGCCCTACCACCGCAATGCAAACCCTTTTCGATTTCCGTGATGTCGGCACCGTCCACGACCGCAGAGCCTCACGCTCCCCGGAGCCCGTTGAAACTTGAACATGTTCGATCGGAAGCACTTGAGTGAACCAAGCCTCCGGTAGTCAGTATGCCGGAGCATGTCTTGGCGGCTGCGGCTCCTCCTGCGGCTCACATAGTCTGGCCAGTTTGGGAAATTCGGTGAGCCCAAGCTTCTGGACGTCAGCCAATCACCAGCATCTCGGGCGAAGGCTTCCTGAGCTACTACAGCAAGCCTTTTGCAGTAAAATCCGATTGGACGTTGCGTAACGACAATCCACGCTTTGCAATTGCAGCAAACTGTGGGGCCTTGGTGGTTCGCAGATGCCGCGATGCCGGGTCGTGTGGGAAGGGGAGCCAATTGCCGATGGCAATGTTACCACATTGATCACAACTCATAAGGCTGTCATATGTAAGGTCTGCTGGCACCCCGGAGGGTCATTGGTGCGTTTTCGAGAACCTGGGCCGATGTTCGGGACAGTGACGATGTTCAGCAGCAGTTTACGGACGATGCAGTTGCTTGAGCCTCGCCCCGTCCAAGAAGAGCGACCTCAGCTGGCTCTAGTCACGGAGCCTTGATCAATGTGGGGTGACAGCCGGTGACACTGCAGCAGGCTGGTACCATCTGCTACCAAAACTGGAATGGCTCCTTAGATGCCGGGCAATCATCTCGACTTCTCTTGCACCACAAGCAGACAGTTAAACCACGCACCTCATGCGGCCAGTTCTCAGTCTCCGAGACCCAGTTGAGCCGCATCATGCAGACAGATATCTTGCGCCACTTGATATGTAAACCTGAAATGGTGACGGTGAGGATGGGCACAAGTGCGAGGGAACTGGCCACTATCCCGTCAGGAGGGAAATGCGAGAACCTTGAAGGTGCCAGCAATGTTCCAACAGACGTCCCAACAGGCTCGTCTCGAAAGCCAAATGGCCCCGTGTGGATTGCGGTTGTGTCACTGCTCCCGCACGGAGTCTTCTTCTCCACTTGGAGGTTTGATAGACGTCGCCAAACCCACCCGGTGATCCCTCCTGCCTACCAGTCTCATGGTTCCGACTAGGTAGCTACGCTCCGTAAACTATCTGATGATCGTATCGCGAAGGTCAACAAAAGTTAAATGGTCGATACCTGGTAGTGTAGACCTGTAACGCAGGAACTGACACTATGAAAAACATCTTTTCATACCTTACCCGTCTTCACTTTTCAAGGTACTAACGTGCCCAACTTTGTCAACATTCTCGCAGCCTACGTCATCGGCACTGTGGACCATAAGCTAATCTGAGCGAAGCCGGCCCTGGGCTCGCCTCGGCTCCGGTCACCTCTTTAACCCACTGCTCGGCTCAGGGCTATTCACTGCTCAGGTCGGCTCGCAAGATCAATGATCTTATAGAGGTATATCATTACTATCTGCCTAAGCCCCTGAGCCGAGGGGCCTACAGGCATGGTCTGGCACACCCACCTATCCCGACAATATCTGGAGCCCATGATGAAAAACATGGGCGGAGAAGAACTATAAATACCGACCCCAACCAACTTTCACTGCTTTTTGTCTCTTCTCTCGATCACCAACACCACCAAAACTAGCCTCACTCCACCACCACCACTCCACCACTCCATCACAACCGTCACCTCCATCATCACCCTCACCACCACCGCATCAATTCCACCGCCGCCGCAGCATCCCGCATATCTCAGGCGCACAATGTCTCCCCGGGGGTGTTTACCGGTGCTATACAGCTGGTAAGTTGTTTTTTCTCATAACTTTGGAGAGGACGATCTGACCGCAACCTCGCAGTCTGGAACAGGACAGATCCTGCTGTCATAGAGCTTCCAGGTTTCTTGCACGATAGTTTACGATGTTGCGTATGCTTTTGGTTTTACCCCGTCATTTTAAAAACCCTTTGTGGTAGGTACCACAACCACAGGCTCTATCCCATTTGTACCACGAACAGACCTAACCTAGCGACAGATTCATTAGCGAATTTACACAGACCTCGTTCATGTGGGCATCAGAACAATTGCAGCATGGCACAGCGTGCATGTACGGGAGTACCTTTGAGGGAACAAGGGACTTTTGGAGGGTAAGGTGTTTTGGAGGCCAAGCTATGGTGTTTTGGGCGCATTGCAATGTCTTGATTATGAATACCAGATATTTGAACGTTAGAATTCAGGAAAACAGGAATTGTTTCTATAAGCCGGCGGTAACAGACCCTCAAGTTCAGCCTTGATTTGCAGAGCCACAGTCTTGGAGTGATACCGATGATGCTGGGTTTGCCCACCCATGAACCAAAAGTTGTCGATTCCTCTTTGTCGTTTCCACAACCCCCTGATCTCCCCCTCCTCATCGACACCAAACGTGGCGTCAACCGTGTTCGCGATCTCTCTCGGACCCAGCAAGTTCGAATCCTGTTCCTCCCCATCAGCCGCGTTCTCACCACCCAAAACCTCAAACACTGTATCCCGAGCGTTCAAGTCGGAAAACCCAGTGCACCAGATAATACTGTCCGCCTCCGCCGTCTTTCCATCAGAGAGCCTCAGCCCAGTCTCCGTGTACGCCACTGGCTCAACACTCGATATCACACCCACGTTTCCCTCCGCGATCACCTCCAAGCCACCGATATCAACATAATGTCCCCCGCCTCTCTCCACAAGATTGTGCATCAGACATGCGTCGGGGTGAGCACTGTCAATGACCGGGAAGCCAGCCTTGGCCACCCTTTTGTATCTGTCCGGCTCTTGAGACGCCAACATGGCAAGCAATCCGTGCGCCATGTTGCACTCTACCCACGTGGGAAACGACATCAAAGCCCTGTCACATGTTTCTGTGTCTAGCTGGTTGAACAGCCCAAAGCCACGCGGATCCATTACGTACCCTACCGGGAGGACATATGTCGGGGAGCGGGCAAGGATTGTTGTGTCCAGGCCGGCGGTCTGGCAGTCATTGAGGATGTCGATGGCCGTGTTGGCTGAACCAATGATGAGGACAGACTTGGCGCCCTTGTTTTGAAGAGAGACCTCTGGGTTCTTGTACTCGTTGGAGTGCAGGCTGATGCCCTTGTATATTTCCTTGCCTGCAATATCAGGGAGTCGAGGCTTTTGCGAGGCGAGTCCCGTTGCTTGCACAAGGTGTTTTGACCTCACTGTTCGTAGACCGCTTGGGGTCTTCAACTTCACGGTCCATCGTCTCGTTGCCTGGTCGTATTGTGTGGACTGGATCTGGGACGAGGTGATCATGTTCAAGTTGAACTCTTTGACATACTGACGAACTTGGTTTGCGAGCTCGTCTCGCGTTAGTAGATGTGAACCTTTGAGGTCTTCGCCGTACGCTATAGAGAAGTCAGAAAGTGGGAGAAAGAGGATGAGAAAGGCGTTGAACCTACGCAGATAAGGCATGTCACACATTGCAGTCGGCACGTGGAACTTCAAGCTATCGTAGCGGAGAGCCCAGTTGTCGCCTGGGTTGGCGTTCCGGTCGGCCATCACGCTTTCAACCCCAAGAGCCTTGAGGCGAGAGGCGAGGGTTACAGCACTATTATCGAGTAGGTACTCAAGTCAGTCTTTAGATGCTCATGTGAAAAAGACAAGCAAACGGCATACCCATTTCCACCCCCAATAATAAAGACGTCTGTCTTCATATCATCGCCACCATCTGCTAACGTCGAAGGGGTACGCAGAAGAGTCTCATCTTCTGGGTGCGCATCCAAACTCTCGAGTCTTGTACTCAGAACCCAGATCTTCCATTCCAGACCCCCGCTGCCTTCGACAGGCAGCAGTAACATGCGTCCAGTACATGTTGCAGCGGGAGAGGTTGTCTTGAGCGACAGACTGCAGTCGAAGAATTGCTGCATCAGGTTCATAGTGTTAGATGAAACTCAAAGGCGAAACATAGTAGACTAGGTACTTACCAGGGTTGGAGAGACAGGCAGGAAATGGACGAACTCAAGACCGAAACCATGAGCACCGCGCAACTTGGTGGTTTCCAGCAGATGTGCTGCTATCACTGCCGGTGTTGAGAAGGTTCGCAGATGGTAAGTCAGCGCCAATGAATCCTTCCATAAGGCCTGCTCAGCAAATAAGCAGTTGCTAAGAGCAGTTATGTCTCTGGTTGAGATTGCCTTGTTGAAGGCTGTTAAGACATTGTTTGCGATCTTTGCTGTCTCTTCTGGCGTAAGGGATGCGGGGTCGAGAGCCGTCACAGCAACAGTTGGTAGCGGATGTTCGGCCAGTTTTTGACGCAAGTCAGCGGCAGGTGGATAGGCCATTTTGGATAAGGTACTATAGATATCAAGCTATTAGCGAATTCTCCTGGGAAATAGATCTTGGAGACTTACCAGGTCTCACAATGTGGAACGTTGTGTTGGGGAATCAAAGCAGCTACACTTGGAAAGTATTGTACCAAGTGCTACAGATAGGTACACGTGCTTTTATACACAATGAGAAGAGCCATGCCTCGGATGTTTGCAATTACGATCAGCAATACGGTCCGAGAGCGAATAGGGATGTTCTACATTTGACTCGGTGTGTGTGCTTTTCTGCCCCATGTGGCTGCAGAGTGACTAGTCAAACTTGGACGTCTTTGCGGGGTATGCTCGGCACTTTCTCTGGGCTTACCATCCATGAATACCTGCATGAATGGGAGCGAATAAGCCAGGCGATAACACAGGGGGGGTTGGATCGTCAATAGAGAAACGCTATATATAAAGTAACTGACTCTGAAAAGGTAAGGTAGTGAACCATGCGATGAGAAATAGTTCATAGGCCTGAAAAGATAACTATCAGAAGGCTTATTCTCCTTTTGAAAAGGCACGAGTAAAAAGTCATTATATGTGCTACTACTCTGACTTACAATAGCAACCATGCTATCCAGAATGTAAGAGTTCAACGACAATGAAACGTGCAACAAATGATGGACAAGATAATTGGATCCAATTCAATTCGCTAACTCAAGGTAGAAAACTTGCTGAAGAGCAGTCGTGTCATCACTACAACACTATGTATAAAAGAGCAAAACAAGATTCATCATCCTTCATCACACGTTCCTCATATCCACGGTGCCGGCACCTCCTTTCACGACATTCCTTCCATCCCTAACCCTTGACTCTGAACAGGACAAGACCCCTGCCGTTGGGCCCCTGAACCCCTGAACCCCTGAATCCACCTCAACAAAGCAACCACACCACCGGAGTTCAAGTCCTTAAAAGACAGCAATAACCCCCAAAACACCAGCAACACCCATCGCAACACCACCAAATCCATTCTCCTTAGCACCAGCGTTGGCAAGCACAGGCGTGAAGGTCGGGCGAATGGAAGAAGTAGCAGTAGGAGCCTCATCATCGCTCTCATCATCAGTGTCGATGCCGTCGTTGTCAGTATCGGTGTCCTCGCCCTCAGTGGTGGTAGTGGTAGCTGGGCTAGTAGTAGCAGCTATAGGGCCGGCGGCAGTAACAGCGACAGGGCCGGTGGTGGTAGCAGCACTGACATCGTCGTCATCGGTGTCAGTGTCATGGCCATCGTTGTCAGTGTCGGTGTCGTGGCCGTCATTGTCAGTCTCGTCGCCGGGGACAACGCCAGGGCCGGCACCGAGATTGGCCTCGTCGTCAGTATCAGTGTCGTGGTCGTCGTGGTCGGTGTCATCCCCCTCGTCGCCAACAACTCCAGTAATAGGGGTAGGGACATCATCGTCCGTGTCATGGCCGTCATTGTCGGTCCAGTCAGTGTCATCGTCGATCACAGCAGGAACTCCGACAGTGGGCTGCCCGGCGCTGATGTCATCGTCAGTGTCGGTGTCGTCCCCGGTGTCGGTGCCGACAACGCCAGTGGAGACATCACCGTCGGTGTCGGTGTCATCGCCATCTCTGGTGGTGAGGGTGTACCGAGCAGCGACGGGTTCACCGGGGTTGAGAGGTCCATGCGGATGAGCAAGGACGGAGACGGAGAAAAGAGCCGCGAGGAGGAAGTTGCGAGTAAGCATTTTGGCGGTTTTTTGGAGCAGTGAAGTGCGAGTGTTTTTGTAATTGGTTGATGTGAAAGTTGGGAGCTCTGAGTAGAACGAGAATTGCTTGTTTGTGTTTGGAGCGACTGTGTCTAAACGAGTGAGTCGATCGATGGTGAGCAAGAAGAATTGGAGCTTCAAGTTGATGGGATGCTCGTCTTAAATACGGTCTTTCTCATCCAAGATCAGCAGATATTCTCGTCTTCACTATCTCGTGAGGTCTCTGAACTGGAGCCAAGATCATGGCTATGCCTTCTGATGGCCTGGCTAAACCAAACAGCCAACATCCCAGTACCCTGTTGACATGACTATCCAACTACACTAACTACTTCGACAGCCACTCTTGGTTTGTGTCCGCCATCAACGCCTCATCACCGACCCCACCGACCATAGTGAAGCATAACATCTCAGAACATCACGACGAATACAGCTAATGGTCGCGCGACCTTAGCCTCAAAATGACAACGCAAGCAATCAACGCAACCCAACGAGATCTGAAACGATAAATAGATCGAAAAACGCCCTGTCCCGCATCGACACGAGACTTCCAAGAGTCTTGGGAATGCAGTACAAAAATAGAGCTCAACCGGGAAGCCAGGTTCTTTTCTCAGGACGGAGTATCAGTCTCACAATGACCAATCCTGTTGGGATGTTTGCACACGTGCCTTGCTCCCAGCAGGCAAAGGTGTACGTATCCCGAGGAAAATAGTTCTTCAGCTCGCACTTGGCCCTCTTCACGTTCTCGCGCCTTGAACCTTTTTAGTCTCGGGACCATTACGTGGCGCTGGGGATCCAAAGCTCTGGGCGGGTGGGCTGGCTGGTCTCGGCAGTGGACCTGCGAGGTTTAAGTGTCGCCCGCCATCCCGTCAGGTCTTCCGGTTTGGAAAGTTTGCTGCAGATGTGGAATTTTGGCATTGATAGGGAAGATAATGGGTCCTGAGTCTTGATAGGGGTCTGGGCGGTTTTGCACAGCCTCAATTTTTGGGGTCGACATCGATGACGACGACTGGAGACAAACAAGCACACCGACACTGGAGAAATAAAGCTTGGGATTTCTAAATATGATCTACCAAGCTTTTTTTGACAGCTTCGTTATCGTAATTGCCGGTTGATCGTTCGTGGGTGGCCAGAGGACAACGGGCAAAGCCAAGATGCCAATGCGATGGGGCTTGGCTGCTTGGTCTGGTTGTTCAGCTCAACAGTCGAGATGGATCGTCGCCTGGATTCAGGCATATCAAGTGATTTAATGTTGCCAGTGCTGTCAGAAAATGCATGACCTGGACGGGAGATAAACCTGAAGCTGAGAGAGTCTCCAAGCCGAGCAAGTCGTCCTGGTTGGGCTGTCCAAAGCAGGTACATACCTAGTTGTCAGGTCGTCAGAGGCGAGGCTCTGGTCTGATATAAAGGGCCAATTACATTCCGACTACTGTATGCCCTTTCAGTATCTCCAAGTGGCTGGCCATCCACTCAAGATTCCGTGCCAACCGTCCCCTAGGGCAATACCGGTGGCGTGAGCAAGTGCACACATAACGATATACTAGAGCCATCCTCCAAGTTCCAGACTCCAGACTCCTGGTGCCATCCATCCCTGGGTATCTTTCTCCTTTATCCTTCCCAAATATTGGAATGAGATCAACCTCATGAACACGGACACTTTTCAGTGCGAAATGAGGATGAAAACATGAATGTCGTGCCGCGTACGTAAGCTGTGCCTCTTCCATCCTCCACACCTGTTGTTGTGTCAATACATGTCCTGAGTATTCATGTCGGCATCACCATGGGTATCAGTTAGCCTTTGTGAAAACATACCCAGACAACAGTTCAGCCCAGATGGGGCAAAAGCAAGGCCACCTAGGCCATAGTGGACATGTTCTTGGTGAAAATGGCACCCACGAAAGCGGCAAACAACATCATAACAACCATAATGAGAACTGCGATGACAAAGAGGCCCAACATTGCGCATTGGGGGTCCAGCCGAATTTCTCGCTGGGGAAGCTCTTGCTGTCTATTTTCTGGCGCCGGATTTGGGCCCTGGTGTGCGTCCTGTTGCGTTGTGCCGCGTTGCTGTCTGTGAACGGCCACAGAAAGGTCACTGTGGCGCCTCCTGAGCTCATTGTGGTTCCTCACAAGCTCCGCATAAACTGCGGGAGATTGCCGAGTAGGCGTGTTTCTTGATCTTGTAATCTAGGTGACAGTCATCGCACTGCTCATCGCTAATGACAAACCAGTCCGCAACCTCGTAGACCTCTTCATTGGGCCTGGGTCTCTCATTTTCCACAGAACAAAATATCCCCCCTCCATTTTCCTTTGCGGCAGGGCAGAGATACTTCATCTTGGGGTAGGGATGATGGCATTTCGCTCTAGTAAAGAACCAGAATCCACAGCCACAGGCAGGATTGATGACATTTGGCGGGTTGGATTTTGCGATGAGCTCAATCTTTGGGTCCATATTTTTCGGTTTAATCCAGCTATCTTGCTCGAGGAATGACTCGTCAGTGTCTTCATCCTCGTCAAAGTCCTCCTGATACAGCGAGAAGGAAGCATAGGGACTGTTGTATGGTTCAGGGTGTGTTGTGCGACGAAGGGCAAGCCAAGAACTGTTGTCCTCGCAAGGAAGCTGTTGGCTGATGCTTGAATGCCGTCCGTGTGAAATTTGGAGATTCAGGTGAATTTGTCGTGAGTAGACGAGGCGGCGGGCGTCAATGGCATTTTAAGATGAAGTGTAGATCCAGTACCAGTAGGTACCGATGTTTGAAGGAAGAAATGTTCGCGAGGGGGAAGAGAAAGAAGCACTGAATACCTCAAAGTACCTATGATATGGGCCCACGGCTGGATATAGGCGTAGGTCACAGGTAAAAGATTGAATTGTCGGATGAAGAAGAAAAGAAAAGAAAGAGGAAATACACTATTCATGATATCCTCTTGTACCCATCAACCCCTCCGGACTTCCCCTACAAAGCATAAGAAATATCCACCAAAATTGTCCGAACTTTCTCGTATCCTTTCGTCGTATTCCAGTGTGGATGGCGTCTTTGATTAAGGTTGGATGCCTATTCCAGTTCTAATACGCGCCAAATCGGGACTTTCCTTCTTTTCCTGCCCTTTGAAAACTCCACTTGCACCACACACAGTGTCAGTCCATTGTAGCATGGCTGAACACAGTATCTGTTCCATGATACGAGCCGACTGAGATGCCCATGATAGCGCAGCCGTCTTCTGAGACTAAGATGGCATTCTCCAAATGAAAGCAAAGGCTTTTCAACACCGCAAAAGGATCAACTATCAACTGCAAAGTATTTTGAAGACTTGCTGGTCAACTGCGCTTGTTTGATACGGGACCCATCAGTAGCAGGAAGAAGGGGTAGCTCGCTGGAACTGAACATGTCACAAATAGTTGCTTTATAGACTACATTTCAGCTTTAAGAGCGTCGACGTCACTTGACCATCATTCTCACCCTCCAGCTCTATCTCACGCCCACTATACACACTAATCGGTTCATGCTGCTGCTATCTTCAGACTGCCAAAGCCACAACCGTGTCCGGACAAGTGAGGTTCCCAAGATCGTAATTCCGCGTGACTCTCTCAAACGGCGACCCGACCTACAACTTGCTATCCACCCACCTCGGCTTCCTCTTCTCAACAAAACTCCTCACCCCCTCCTTCATATTCTCCCCAGCATCAATCCTCCCATAAATCCCCCGTTCCACAATCTCCGTCGCCATCTCCGGCCCGACCCCCTCCCACCCCATCCTCAACCCCTCCCTCGTAGCAATAACAGCATCAGGACTATTCCCCGCAAGCTCCTCCGCAACCTTAACCGCCTCCTCAACAACCCTCCCCTCCCCAACAACAAAATTCACCAACCCCCACCCCTTCATCTCCTCGGCCGTATAACTCACCCTCCCCAAAAGCGCCATCTCCCCCGCCCTCTGTCTCCCCACAGTCCTCATCAACCTAGGCAACGCCCCAGCAAGCGCAATAACTCCCTTGCCCACCTCCGGCAGCCCAAACCTCGCCTTCGCCCCATCAGCAACAACCATATCACAATTAATCACCATCTCCATCCCCCCTCCAAAACAAAGCCCATTCACCGCCGCAATAATAGGTTTCTTCCCCCCAGACCTGTTCGACAACCCCCCAAAACCAGCCGTAGTCATCTTCCGTGCCTCCACATGCTGATCGTGACCGCTCCCCTCCGGTGCATGAGACGAATCCCATTCTTTGAGATCGGCACCGGCGCAAAACGCCCTGCCTGTACCGGTCAAGATGGCGCAGCGCAGCCAGGGTTGGGCGTCGTACCAGTTCCAAAGGTGGGCCATGGCGATGTGCTGGGGGATGGGGATCGAGTTTAGGGCTTTGGGGCGGTTGAGCGTCACCAGCAAGACATGGGGCGCGGGGAAGGAGATGTCGGTGTGGGGGACGGCGGGAGGGGTGTTGGTGATTTCTTTGGGGAGCGTCATCGTGGTGTTGTTCGTGATGGTGATGATAACAACGGTAAAGGAAAAGGTAGGTAAGTTTGACGGTTGACAACAGTTGTACCTACATTTGAACTAAGAAGATGACTATGCTCTGATATAAGTCCACCACCCCTCACTAACCCTGGTCGGCAACGGCGTCATTCTGTTGGGGTTGGCCGTGGAGGACGCGGTCCCGCGGCGCGGATTGGGTGGCAACGGCATCCGTGCCGAGGCTCACTCGGGTCTCCAACTCCGGCAGGCAAGCAATGCTTGTTCTCGACTCCAACTCCAAATATCAACGTGTCCGTAGAAGAAAACTAACAACATATTACAAGTTTCCTACGCTTGTGAATCTAACCAGCAACTCCTTCACCCTGAAAACCGTGACCCCCAGCTACAGCTGCTCCAGTGTGCTTTTCGGTAATAAATGTACAGCAATGAATAAATCCCACCCGTTTGTCCCAACATCCCAACAATGTTACGCCAGATCAGGCAGGCAACCCGCGCTTCTCGCTCTCTGTAAAGAAGATAACCATGCGCCAAAGCTTCTTCACAAGATCTTCCGCGTCTTCATCCAGAGCCTCGCCGAGGGTCTCAACCAGCTCGGCTGGCTTCTGATGTTTGCGCAAGTGCTCCTCCACCACGTCCACCAGGAACTGCTCTTGCACACCCAGAAACTCAACAACCTTCTTCTCAACAAAAGGCCTCAGCTTATCACGGATGATGCCTTCCTCCAAGTAGTCCCACTTGACATCCCAGGCCCACAAGCCTTCCTTGTCGACGGGAATTTCTTGAGCGAGCGCGCGGACAGCATTCGCAATGTCCTCCTCTGTCATGGCCTTGGTGTCGGTGATGGGCTCAAACTTGATGGGTATAAGGGTGCGCTTCGTAGTCTTGTCTTGCTCGTCATCGTCCAACAAGCCCTCCACCTCGGCAACAGTGCGCCGTGTAGTGGCAGCGCGCTGGGCAACCTTTTGAGCAGCAGCACCGAAAGAAATGGTAACTTTCTGCGGTGCTGCAGGGGCGGCCGCAGGGGCAGCAGGGCGATGGGCAGTCATCGCCTCAGCTTGGCGCTCGAGGAAGGAGTCAGCCATATCCCTGGCATGCTCCATATCGGCCTCAGCCTTGCGCAGCTCTTCCTGTTCCTGTCTTCGGTCCATCTCGTCGCGTGCCGCCTCCTGATTGTGGAACGCGGTCCGATCTCGGATCCATTGACTGTGATCGCGGTAGTAGAGGTGGACCTTGCGCGATGCTTCCCTCTCGTCATCCCAGTTTTTTTCCTTATCCAACTGATCCTCTTTCCTCCTAGCAAAACCTTCTGTCTCAACCCTCTCACGCTCACGTTCTCTCTCCAAGGCAGCGGCGCGTTGTCGCTCACGATTAACCCACTTCCGCTCCGCCTCCAAGTAAGCTTTATCCTCCTCTGCGCGCTGCTTGGAAAGCTCGCGCTCGTAGAGCTCTTCGTCGTCGGCATCTGTATCGTCGTCATCTCGAAATTGCGGCCCGTGACCATTAGTGGTGCCTCCGTTCACAAAGTCAATGCCCCGGTTTTGCCCTCTAGGACCTGACGGCGCATTGGGTACACCACGTGGGCCAAGAGGAATGCTGTTGGAGTTGGCACCTGGCGGAGGAGAGTCAAGTCGAGATTTCCTCGGCGCGCCATTACGTTGCCTCTCTTGCTCCTCAAACTCTTCTTCTCTTCGAAGCCGTTCCAGATCGCGACGATTGCTCCGATCTCGGAAGGCAGCGATTTCGGCGGCAACTGTAGCTCGCATTTCAGCAGGAATATCGGCGAGGTCATCCTCGGGCGCAATAGGGATATTGATCACTTCAATATTGTCGCCAATCCCATTCATGCCATTGCCCATGGCGGTATCTCCTTCAGCATCCCTGTCACCGCCAGCTCTGGGGTAGAACAGGTTCCGAATGAAATGTTTGAGAGATTGCCGAGCCTCGTACAACCTCGCGTCGTAGTTGGAGTCATCAGGGAGTGCTTCCTTCCAAGACTCAATGTACCTTTCGGTACTGGAGTCTACCACAACCTGCAACTTGACTTTCTCAATGTCCTCGAATTTGTCGTCTTCGTCGGCGGGAGGGTTCTCGATCGGCGCTTGTTTCTTCACGGGTACCTCGACGTCTTTGAGTAACTCGACTGCGAGGGCAAGTGATTCAGGGTCTTCGTACTGAGCAAAACCAAACAAGTCCCCCTTGTGCTCTGACAGATGGGACTGAGCCGAGCCCCATCTTTGCACCCTGCCAACTGCGTTCAACAGCTTTTGAATTCCCTCTTCGCCGCCCACGCCACTCGGAATCTTGTGCACGAATATTGTTCGCAGTCGCTCCTCGGGGGTGGGTGGTACTAGTGACTGTATATTCTCTCTCATCTGCGCCCGGGACTGGTCGTGCCTGTCTGAACCAAGACCAAGTCTGGCTGATGTGGGGGTATGAGAATCTCTTCGATCGGTCAGAGAGGCGCCAGGCTTGAGAGGCGGGACGGTGGGGCCGAGGCGAATCACCGGAGCGTTGAAGTTGATGTTGGGAAGATTGGGCGGTGGTTGAAAGGATGCAGGCAGGCCGCTTGGTCGATTAGCTTGAGCAGAGAGACTAGACTGCTGGACACCCGGGGGTGGTGCCATTCCAGGGGCAGAGGACATGCCTGGAGGGGGCCCTGGAGTAGATCGGTTAGCAACAGCGGAACATGAGGCTGAGGGACGACAGCATACCTAGACCGGGAGGTGGTGCCATTCCAGGAGCATGAGTAGCGCCCGGGAAGGCAGCATAGCTGGGAGGAGCGCCATAAGGCGGGGCTATAGAGTAAGAAGTGTCAGCATCAGCTACCAAGAACGAGGCTGCGATGAAAGTTAAGGATCGCGGCGAGCAAGGCTGACCCACCTCCATAAGGATTGTATGCCATCGCCGAGACGTGGCAGCGGGGTTGATATGAATGAAGCTGTGGTCTCGAGAGGTGTTCCTTGGATAATATTCTGGCTTGGCGCGACAATCGTGGGGTATTGTGATGGGAGCTTGGTGAATGATGCAGAGGTCAAATTTGTTGTCTTGACAGCGACTGGCAAAAGTTCAACTCCAACGACCGACACAGCTAAGTGCACGGTCCATCGCCATGGCGGTACTTGGTACTTCTGGCCCACCTTTGCAGTGTCACAGCCACGTGACTTGGCAGTGAATGAAGTCAAGAATACCTCAATGGTTGCTCCAAAACTCCATTATCAAGAATATAAACGTCCTTCTGGATAGCTATCAAGATCTGAAAGCCAGTCAGGGAAGCATGTTTGAGGTGTGCTGCCTCTAGTAGGCTCTGACATGCAAAGTGGGAGAAGCACCAGCCACACATCAAACAACGACACCAGCCACAGCTACCAACCAATTCGGAGATAGCCGTGCCGAGCGCGCGACTTCAAGAAAATAATTCGAAACCTTTGACAGTCCTGAGCACCTCAACGGCAGCGCCGCGGATATCCGTGATCAATTGCGTACGCTCTCTCTCTGTTGGATCCCTGCTTCGTCTGCCATAGATACTGACATTCCCTCCCTCAGAATCATGGACTTCCGCCCACTCGCCCAGATCTGCCGCACGGCAACATCATCATCAACCAAACCATCACCCCTCCTCCTCAACCTCACCCAAACCTCTCACTTCTCCACCGCCCGAGTGCTCCGTCAAGAAGCCACCGCTGCCGCCCCTTCACCATCCACCACCACCACCACCACCACTACCTCCCGCCCCCAACAAAAAATCCTCGGCCTCGCCTCCAAACTCAACCGCACCCCCGCCCCTAGACCACCCCCCCTCAAAGTCGACCCCTTGTTCGGTCCCTCCTCTTCCTCCTCCACCGGCTCCCTCTCCACCTCCCGCTCCAGCCTCTTTAACCGCACCGTCGGCAAAAAGGAAACTCAAGTCTTCTCCGCCATCATCAACCGCGACGCCAAAGAGTCCCTCAGCAAAGAATCCAGCGGCACCCTCTCCAACCTGACCACCGCCTTGTTCATGACAAACGCCGGCCTCCAAACCCCCGACATCCGTCTCCGTCCTACCAGCGGCCGTACCGTCCCCGTCAAGAGCAACGATCCCGCCAGAGCGTTCAAGGTGCTCAACGCGCTGTGCAGACACAATAACTTGTCGAACACGGTCAGGGAGCAGAGGTTCCATGAGCGGCCGGCGCTCAAGAGGAAGAGGAAGCTGAGGGAGAGGTGGAGGACGAGGTTTAAGGATGGGTTTGTGGCGGTTATCGACCGGACGATGGAGTTGAGGAAGCAGGGGTGGTAAGGGCAGGACTGAAGGAAAGGGTGGGTAGGGAGGGGTGTAGATCTTGTAACAACAATAATCACGAGAGGTCACAAAAATAGACTGTGTTTGGTATTTTTCTTTCTGGTATTATGTATCATCTGCCTTGGCCTTTCGCTGCCCATCTTGGGAGGTGTATACAAACTGCAAGATATGCAAACTGCAAACCTCAAAAAACAACATCCATCCCATCGCTATACCTAAAAATCACTCACAGCACAATTCCTTCCCCTCATTACCGGCGTGCCCACCGGACTCGTCGCAATCTTCGGTCTGCTCATAAACACCGCCTCATAATCATCCTCCTTCCCCTCATTAATCAACTCCTCGGCAATCAACAGCGTGGTGTTTCCCTCATCCTGATAACTATCCTCTCCTTCCTCATCCAACGAAGAAAAATATGCACTCCTCGGTCTTCCTCCCTGATTCTGGGGAGTGGCGGGCGCCGCTTTGGCCTGCCGGAGGGATCTCCTCCGCTCAATCTGAGCTTTTTGCTTGACGGCTTCAAAGTTGGCCATGGAGCGGCGGGTGCGGGAAACGAGGTCTTCGTAGCCGTTTGTGCCTGTCGGTGGGGAGGGGGGGGTGATAGAAGGAGGTTGGGGTTGCTTTTGCGGTTCGGGGGCCGGGGAGTCGAGGAGCAGGTCGTCGTCTTCGGCGGAGACACGCAGGTTGGCGTGGGAGGTGCGCCGGGCCATGGAGAGGCGGGTTCGTTCGGCTAGGGAGAGGGTGTGCCTGCTTCGCTTGATCGGGGAGGGGGAGGCGTTGCTGACGGAGGCGAGGATTTGGTCGGCCATTTCCTGGGTTGGAGATGGCAACTCTTCTGGCGAGGGAAGTTCGGGGGAGAGTTGTGGCGCAGGTAAAACGGTATTCCGTGTTGGGGTTAGGACCGGCTTGGGTGGTGAACTGAGACGCCTTCGTGGGCTCTGAGTGGGTGTGGGTGTCTGGGTAGGTTCCCGTCTTCTTGGTGATGGTGTATTCGATTTGATGGTGGCTGACCGGCGGAGAGCGTGACGGGAGGGTGTTGTTGGGATTTCATTCACGTCAATTTCATCGTGGTAAAACGACTGTGCCTTTCGAAGAACCGGCTCAAACACCGGCTCAAGCTTGATCGGGTCCCGGCGCGGAGGTGATGGGCGGACCGCGATTGGCGTTGGCTCATGGTCGCTAATGTCTGAGATCTCCTCGCTCTCGGACTCGACAACGCCGTCCAAATCTAATGGCGGGACTGCCGTGGGCGCTTGTTGGAAGAAGGATGGAATGTGGGGCGCGCTGGGAGTAATGCCATCCAACTCGGCCTTGAGATTCGAAATCAACTTCTCGTACTCGTGATCGAAATCGCTCGCCCTGCTTGAGGCCAGCTTCTTTGTGCTTGCCCGTCCGATATGGAGGGTCTCGTGTCCTCGAAATCCAAGATCAATACCCCTTGGTCGTTCCTGTGCTCCAGCCTGTCGTGTGGTAGACCCTGATGCGGTGTCCCCAAACATCCTCTGGCGGAAGCCCTGCCACCTTTCCAGCCTCTCCCTCTGGCTTCTAACACGGTCGTCGAGCTGTTCCAGCAACCCAGGCTCTTTTTCGTCCAGCTCAGCCAACCGATCAGATTGAACCCTCCTCCAAACCCTGTCAAAGGGCGCTGACAAGACTCCATCTCTCTGGGCTTGGCTGTCCCCATGCAGGAGCGTCTCCATCCAGCGCTCGCTTCCCGTCCAGTTGTTCCTAACAGTCTTCCATACATCTCGTCTGGTCTGTTCAGGCACTCCTTCCTCACCGTCGTCGTCTTGGTCTTGCTGTTGCCTCCGCCTGCGTGCAATGCCTCGTTCTTTGTCTGCCAATAATTCGGCAAAGCTGTTGAATCTCTTTCTCAATGCATTCTTTTCGTCCAATGTTCTTTGCAAAGAGACCCTATGCGCCAGGACCAACACCGTCAGCTCTGTCTTGTCCCCAGAATAGCCCATATTCTCCAGCGCCAGTGCTTGAGCCAGTGGTGGACTCATTGGGTCGCGCGAGTTGAGCTGCCTCTCCGCGACGACTTTCTTCAAGACGACCGACGAGAATACCGCCAAGACCTCTTCCAGCCTCTCGCCCTTGCACTCGTCCAGCATCGTCTTGCGCACCACGGCATCTCTTCCCAGGACCCCATTCTTCTTGGCTTGTTCCAATTGTCTCAGCAAGGCGGCGCGCAGGTTCAGCGACTGAACCTGGTCGTTCGGAGGGAAGAATGGAAGCAATTTATTTCTTGTTTCGTCCCTGTCGTAGAGAGCGAAGAGGTGGTACAGGGCCCATTCGACGCATTGGATGCGCTTCTTCTGTCCGCCGGCATCTTTGGTGTTGAATGTCGAGGGAGAGATACCGGGCCAGTCAGGCGAGAGGTCTAGGTCGAGGAGGCGGAGGTTCGTCAGAAACAGCGAGACGTTGGAGATGGAGGTCGGTGAAGCGACAACGGGCAACGAGGCTGATGGGTGCTGGGGCGGCGGGGCAGCTGGGGCAGTCCCACGGATTGAGTTCAAGGTCGTCGAGGGAGGCGGTTTGCTAAGATGGGAGGGCGCACGGGTCGAGCGAGTGCAGGTGGCAATGGATGTGGTCGAGGTAAGGTTCGCCATGGCTGGAGCATCTTCTTCTCTAACACCAACTTTGCAAGATTCCGGGTTCGCTGATGACTGGGCTAGTCCAGTCAGTGAATTGGGGACTGCGCAACCAGTCGCAAACAGAGGAAAACGAGTGACGGTTCCAAAGCGTCGTCTGGGAAAGAGAGACAGGGCAAACTTCAGGCGGTCAAGAGGCAGAACAGCTGGCAATTGCACACACACAATGGACACACGTGGACGGCGCATTCGGCAACACCAAAGCTCCCTCGATCATGCACGTTGCGGGTGGTAAACAATCCAAGTGGGGCCGCTCGAGTCGCATGCGCTAGCCAACAGCACTGCCAGCGGTTGGCCCCGTTGCCAGGGGCATTCAGGGTTAGGGTACATGATCAGTCATGCTTCCAACCTGCTCTGTCTCAACATGCATCAACATTCACAGGGCCCAAGTTGGCCATTTGTTCGGCCAGATATTTGAACCTACTTGAGTTCCGGCTACTTGAGCTCAAGTTTCGAGTGGGGTTCCTTGGATTCAACGCCTCCCCATCACCAAGAGGACGATGGACCAACAAAGTCATTTACGAATAACAGGGGATGAGGCCTGCTTAATAATACCTAATGCAATGTCTTATTGTACTTGGTGGTTTCTATAAACCCCTCAGGGTTCTTTCCTGGCCCTCTTGCGTCATCGTCCTCTCCGTTGCCATTGATACCTGAGGACCAAGGCGTTGGACGCTGAATAGGGGCCTTTTGTTTATTGTTCACATTGTTCAGGCAGCGTCCTTTTCACAATGACCATGAAGCAGAGCTCGCCGCCGAGAATTCGCTGCACTACACTCCGCCCTTCTCCTTCATATCTCTTCCGATTTTCGCCAAAAATCACAACAACCATCAACAGGTCACCCCAGTTCCATGAACCAGTAAACCTCTCTCTTGTTGTATCTTCAGACTCAGCGACTGACAGTTCTCGCATAGTTTCGTGACTTACATTGTGTGAACAAGAGCCATGGCCGCTCGCCACGACTATCTCGCCTACAAGCACGACACCAGCTTGCTTCTTCGCTGGATGATACAGACCTCCAACAACATCATCAAAGCACGCAAGGCTGAAATTGCCGAACTCCAGTCGCACGAACTCAACAAGACGGGTAAAATTAGGGTCGATGGGATCGTCCGGTTGTGCCGACTCATTGCCAAGCATGTCACCAACGTCTCACCATCAATTTACCGACTCTTTCAGTCCATAATTGATGCCCGGACCGCCAGTTATTCAATGTTCCAGAGGGTCGCGATCCAGACTCAAGACAAAAATGTTGAGAAATGCAATTCTACCCACAAGTTCTTCATCGACACCCTCGTAGCGGTCTTGGAGGCCCTCGGGAGTACGCCTTCGAAGCCGGGGGCATGCCAGAATGCGGATCATGGTACTTCATCAGTTAGCAAAGAGGAGGTGGAGCAGCTCATCTCCGTCAACAGATTTGTCCCTCTCCAGAATGGCGAGTTAGATGGGTCTAGCGACAAGGAGGTCCCACAACAGTCATCGACGACCCAACCACGCAAACAAGCCCGTCCTGGTAGAGCAAAGAAGGGCAAGAAAGGCAAGAAGCACAACCACAAACGCCCAGAGCCTTCCATCTCAGAAGGAGATCCCGTCAATCTTTCACTGGAGGATTACAAGCTCATTGAAGAAAACGTTTCGGAATGGGGGTACATGTGGGCTGCATCCGATTTGGCCCGAAACTGGATACAGCTTCGCGCTCTCTTCAAGAGGTTTGGCGAAATGTCGCATACAACCACCTCAACATTGCTATTGGCGGCACGCTCTCCAACTCCGCCATTGCCATGATCCAACGACGTTCAAGAGCGATATTTGTTAATTTTCCCGACCATGATTCATATGGCAGCATCATGAACGTAGTCACCTGGGGGTTGCCTTATGAGTTGCAAGGCAAAATGTTATCACACTTGTGGTCGTTGCCCCAATTCCGACCAGACAACTTTACGCCTTCCAAAGAGATATGTGTTGATGCCAAAGAGCAGTTGATGGCCTATTCCTACAACTATCTCGTCGAATTCATCACTGATTTCCAACACACTCGCTCTGGCAAGCCAACCAAGCGCATGCTCGCGGAACTCAACAGCTGGGACCCCAACCTCAGCCTCCAGACGGCGACAAAAGAGGAGTGCCTGCTGTGGCGAAGGAGCTACACGATCAATTGGCTGTATGAGATGGTAAATACGGTTTCAATGTCACATCCTCAACACCGAAAGGTCCTTGGGCTTCAGGAGTTCTCAGCCTTCGTCACCCTCGCTATGCAAAACCCAGGAACCCACTTTCGCCACAAGATCCTCCCTCATCATGTGTTTCAGCTGCAGCTGATCATGGACTCCTTGACCATATCCCGAGGATGGGCCCAAAGTTTTCTTGGAGGGGATACGCCAGCATCACCAGCGGACTCAATCGATCCGCAACATGTCATCAAGGACGAGTTCCTGAATACTAAGCGTTACGGGACAGCACTGTTCCACGATATGATGCAGATATGGAATATAGAGAGCCCTGAGGAAAGGCAAGCATTTGATCCCAAGCTCCAAAAAGAAGCATCGATTTTGGATGACTTGATAGAAGGTCTCCATGGGTTTCTTGGACAGTCCAAGCACGCCAATGGATCAACTATAGCTCATTACACGATTTATCCAAACACTTGAAAACGGACTTTGGGCCTACTCGCCCTTTCTTTGCGGTGTCGGCTTAAGTGAAGGACTGGAACTGACTTACCGAGTCATAATGGGACTTTGGGACCGGAGTCCAGGACCCATCGTTCTTGTCCATCTGCACAACATAGTGTGCCGAAAAGGCTATCTCAAAGAGCCCCTGGATACGCTCCGTCTGGTGGAGTCTCAGTTTGCGCGATGCCTGTTTCCTGATGGCAAGGCCCTGACTTTCCACTTTCACAGGGCGCTGCAGCGGATGGTCCAACAGTTCGCCACACACGATTCCCTCCGTGTTGAATGCTTGAAGGCACACCACCAAAGGCTGCTGAGCCAATGGCCGAACGAAGATATTGATCTTCATGCACAGCTTGACGGTGGGGCTTGTAAAATCTCCAACGAGAAATCGGATTTGGTGCTGTACAGAGAGGCGAAATGGGATCTTGATCGCATCCATGATCGGGATCTCAAACTGCATTCGCTCCTCTCAAGAGCGCGGCTGTATCGCATGAACAGAGTTCTGGATCCATCCACCGGGTAGCAGCGGCTCCGTGATACTGAGCTGAAGAGACGACTCAGCCACATTGGCATGAGTGAGGAGGAAGTTGCTCATTTCGTCCCCGAAACTGTCGTGCCAGCCAAAGTTGACCGAAGCATGAGCAATGCCAGTCGTCACACTGACGATTACCAGGCCAACACACTATCCAACGAGGACTTATTGGAAATTGTGCATGTGGATATCACCAATGATCTCTTGAGCACTCAGCCTTTCTCGGGCTTGAATTACCTTGCAGTACATGTATCATGCTATTTGTTGTTTAGGGAAATCTACACGACACTCAACGAAAGGCGGAACAAAACGTGGATGGCGGTCAAGAGTTCTTGGAGGCCAGGTAGCGAGAGACTCGCATTGTCGCTGGCTTTCAGGGTGTTGAAGATGGGGGATCGGGATGAAGAGTGTCTATAAATCATAGCTGAGGCATTCGACCCTTGTCGCAACAGGGCCAGTCCTAGAGCGCATATTTACTGGGATCACCTCCTTCTTGCTGATGAGGAGGGTGAGCCGAAGAAAGGCCAATTGAATGCCGATGGAGATGGCTTGATTGATAATGGTGCCTGTTGTGTCATGTAATATGGATCGACATCGCATCAAGAGGTAGAGGGGAAATAATGGGCAAGGATTCACCCTAAACCCTATTATGATCCCATAGACCTTCCACCAAACCTCTTTAATCCTCACAACACCCCTTTCTCTAACGACAACTCCATAAAAGCAACTCCTGTCATCCGCTTGTCAGCCTCAATCTTCCCAAGCAACATACCCCGATTAATCACCCCCCTACCTAAACAGCCCCCATAAAAACACACAAATCCGAAATCAGGCTCGGGCAAGGAAGTAAACTGCCCCAAAAAGGAAGATAAGCCACATACCGAAAGTCAGTCTCATCAATCGGCACCGGGCACAATGATCTTCTATTCTTGCATCCTCTACCAAGCGACACATTTTACGGTACAGTCAATGTCATAAACCCACAAAATCCTTGTCTTTTGTAAGCTAACAAGGTGGGTATGGATGATTCAAGACAAAAGCCAAACAAAACAAAAACCCCTTTTACCCCTGACAGGCTGGGTGTGGGCCCCACTTTTCACTGACCATCACCTTAACTTACATGTAAGGTACAATAAACTCCTCCCGATACTACAACATTCTTCCAACCGAGTTCCCTTGCACCGTTCCCATTTCTTTCAATCGACATTGGGCTTTTCAGGGTTCTAAAGATTGGTCCTTTGTGGGGAGATAAACCCCTTGCCTTGGCCCGTGGCCAAGGACGTCTTTCTGGTACGACACTCTGTCCTCCTAGGAATTATTCGTCCAAGAAATTTCCTCAGAAGAGGAGGGAAAGGCTCCAGAAGGCTTCATGGCATAGGGTTCAACCATCCGCCAGTGTCGGCCCATGACCAACTCGTAAAATGACTCGAATGGTGCCAGTCTCGTGATGAAGTATGGTTCTTCGTTTGATGTAGCAACCGACGATCGTTCGTTCACCGGGGTCGGCTCATCCATCGAGTCATTGCTCGTTCACGGGGTTTGCTTATTGAGGAGGGTCGTGACTGGTACTTCCTCGGGCAATGTTTGCTCGGCCAGTGTTGTGGACGGCAATTTATGATATGCCCACAGTCTTGCAGCTGGTTCGGCGCTGGCGTTGTTGTTCCAGTAATTATTGTTCCAGTGGTTACCGTCATCATAACTTGGCGCAGGATCATGGAGAGGCCACATCGCGGCGCTCACCCTATCCACCCCATGCCAGAACCGGTTCCGCCAACTCTATACCCCCCCTCCTTTTCCCACTCCTAGCTTGGATTCCTCTGACCAAAAGAGCAAGGGTCTCACCCAAAGCCACACACAACCCCGTCCCTCATCTCGTCAAGTCCATCCCAGATCTGTGTACCCCGGTGGAAGAAGCTCCAGATAGCCTCAGCCTGGCAGCGATAACTCCCAAATCTCACCACAATTTTCCTAATCGGCAACTTTCTCCGTGGTTGAACCCCCAAGGCTGACTTTCCTCCCAAGCCTCCACCTACCCAGCTCCTACACCGGCGGCTAAACAACCGTGCCAGCCATCTATTATTGACTTTTCGGACCGTCCCCAATAAACACCAAAACCCTGTCATGTCTCAGTTCACCAGTTGTAGCTCCGTCAAAAACATCCGTAGGAATCTCATAAACCGGATTCCGATTCCTGGTGACCATAATCCGCCCATCCCCAACCAACGCCCGGGGCCCGTCGGCCAACACCTGCATTCTAGTGTCCTGATTCACAAGCGCACTCCCCCTTGCTGGCGAGATCCTGCATCAGTGATTGAAGAAGCGGCTTGCGCTTTTCCGGTCGAAAAAGGTTAGCTTCGCCGCCGAGGTGCTGTGGCCGTGTCAGGGCGCGGGAGCGGGAGCGGGAGCGAGCGAAGGCGCGGCGCTGGTGTTGTCGAGCCAGAACGACATGGTGAGCTCGATTCTTGATTTGCATTGTCTTTGTTCGCAAGCGGTTATCCAGGGCGGGATGCCTAGATGGGTCTGAAAGCTTGCGCTGCAACGACTGAAGATACAAGTGAAGCAAAAGTTCGGAGGGAAATGCCGGCGGTGGTGTCTTGATATAGGCCTTGATTGGGGATCGGACTTTCAAACGGTGAATTGACTTTGCGACGTCAATCGCAGAAGGGGTGATGATGGCGTCTTATCCTCTTGACAGACCCCTGGGTTCCACACTCAATTCGAATGTCAGCTCCACTGAGCCACATGATCAAAATGTACTCGACGATGTTTCCCAACGCGAAGCGTGTGGAATATTGGAGAGGAGGGACAAACCAGCTGGCTTTGCTTGAGAAAAAAATCCAAGAAAAGTTGAAGAAGGGGTAGCGAGGTATACACCACCGAGCTCAGCCGTAACCAAGTTACCAACACCAATAGCATGTTGGTGGGACTACGGCAGCAGTGTAGTCGAGCGTGCCTGAGGTACTTTTATGCCGACATTGGATGTTTTGACGGCGATGCCTGCCTCGGCGACAAGTCAAAGAATGAAAGAGGGGTGTTTGAGCTCGACAGGCACACAACCTTAACGACAACAATCAAGTGAATTGGAAGGGCAAAAGAAGTGGATACTTGTCTCCCGGGCTAGAGCAGGCGAATGTAATAGGCATCCTACTCTTTTCTAGATATCGAATGAGAAGAGTCACCCTGAAAGCTTGAAAGCCTGTTTAGTCAAATACGCAACTTCGTAAGGTAAGCATCTGCAATAGCAAACATCTCTCATAGTAGTAGTCATGAGGCCCCGCCCTTTGAAGCCTGACTAGCCAGAGATAATAGCCGGCTGCACCACACATAGTTCTTGTCGATGCCTTTGCCACCAGAAACAGCGAATTCCGAGCCCATTCTACCGCTACACCTTTCATCAAGATTCAAGGTAGCATGAGAACTTTTTGCGTCGAAAGCTCTCACCTCTACCGAAAGTTGCAGGCTGCTTTTTCCACACGTCTTCTCCCAAGAATGGGTGCCACGTCATATTGCAGGGACAGCAGCTCAACACGCCAGTCATTCAAGTTCTGGATGACCCGGTGAGATGATCGTCGAAAATAGCATATTTCTTGACCAAGCTCATCAACGGGAGAATTACACCTTCGAGCGGTGGTTGAGGACTCTAACGAGGACAAACTGTGATCAGACCAAATCGATGAGGAAGGCACTGGAGGACAAAAGACCCCATTCAAAACCGTCATACTGGCAGAAGATTCGAGCTAGCAACATAAGTTAAAAATATGTGGCTTGCCAGCTTGCTGATATTCATATCCTGTCTTGTCTCACTGTCCCGATGGCCAACCAGGATGCGTCAAGGATCACAAAGCCGCCCCCCGTTACTTGGCATGTTCCAGCCAGCCAGATGTCAGAAAAGCCGGCGGCAGATGGTGAGCTGCAAAAACCCACCGTGAAGCATCGGGAGACGGTTTCAAAACCAACGGATCTGGGTACTGATCAGCAACGGTTGCGCAAGCCGGAAGCCAAGCATTCCTTGAATCAACACGGACCAGCCATGACATCTGTGCCAGAGGCGGGGGAGACCGCAGGACGTTGTGGAATGGGCCGCCGGTTTCGAGCGCCGTCTTCCACAGCAAGCGCCGCCGAGCTGTCATCAACAAGTCGGTTTCGAAAAGTCTTTTCTCTGCTTCGGGAAGGCTGTCAGAAGCTTGTGGTGTTGCAGCGAGACGCCGTTGGTTCCAAACGCCGCTCGTCCGTTGCGGTGGACTTTTAGCAGCTTGGCATATCACGTGAGAGGTTCCGCATTGGTGGAGATGTGTCGTGTTTGTGGAGACTGATGGCTGGTGCACTGTTTTTGTTATTTCGGGTACGAAGCCAACCCGGCCAATCTCACCGCAACATGCCGGCCGCTAATCCACTCCTGTCAGCTGTTGGAGGGCAATAATTCGATCCAAATTTCGTGTTCTTGTCGTTTGTTCTTGGAGAATTTATGAAGATATCGGAGGTCCAAGATATCGATGGGTTCTCGATGGTGATGCAATGCCAACCGGAATCAGGAGTTTCCAACCGCAACAGAAACTTGGAATAGCGCCCAGCTCCGGGAAGCTAGGACCAGTGGACTGACCACTCAATTGGATCGACTTTGGGACCTGCAGCAATCGCTGGTCCAATCCGGCATTGGCAGCCAAATGGCAGATCCGCGCGATATCCGGTTTCCAGTGATGGCAGCGTGCTAGGGTTTAAGTGCCTAAAGAAGACACGGACAACTGGGCCAGACCGTCTGCTGCCAACCTCTGCCAACCTCTACCAACGACCATTGGCGCTTGGCGGTCTAATTAACGAGCGACAGACCACCCTTGGCCCACGCAATGCAGCTCTTGGATCGAGTCTTGGCCTGAGTCTTGGGGTGGCTATGCACCCCCTTTATCGAGGTTTCGGGATTCCGGGGGTGTGCCTGTTTTAATCTCCCTCTCTCCTGAAAATCCGCCTCCATCCCTCTCTTTTTGATCCGAAAAAATCATTCCAACAAACCTCTTCCTTTTCAGTCAATCGCTCATCGACTGCTTCTTCACCCCCCAGGCCATTCCGCTCGTTTTGGTGGCCTTTTTCAACCACGCTATACATTTAATTTTTTATCCAAATAGACGCCCCTGAACCCGACTGTTTTCCATACGAACCACAATAGGATCCTGATATCGAATTCACCACCACATCACGCCACAATGAAGACCACGACTGTTTTGTCCGCGCTCGCGGCTGCCGCTGCTGTGAACGCTACCCCAACTGCCACTCTCCCCCTCAAGGCCCGCCAGACGGAGCTTGAGCCCATCACTGCCACCGGCAACGCCTTCTACAAGGGCAAGGAGAGATTCTTCGTCCGTGGTATCGACTACCAGCCAGGTGGTGCTGCCGCCAATGTCGACCCTCTGGCCGATCCCAAGGTCTGCAAGCCCGACATCGAGAAGTTCAAGAAGCTCGGCATCAACACCATCCGTGTGTACTCGACCGACAACTCCAAGGACCACGATGAGTGCATGGAGGAGCTCGCCAAGGCCGGCATCTACGTCGTCCTTGATGCCAACAACCCCTTGTACTCTATCAACCGTGACGACCCTCACACCTCGTACAACGCCATCTACCTCCAGAGCGTCTTCGCCACCATTGATGCCTTTGCCAAGTACAGCAACACCATGGCTTTCTTCTCTGGCAACGAGGTCATCCACGACCACGCCAACACCACCCTCACTGCCCGCTACGTCAAGGCCACCGACCGTGACATGCGCCGCTACATCAAGGCTCGCAAGTACCGCAAGATCCTGGTTGGATACTCTGCCGCCGATGTGACCGAGAACCGTCTCCAGACTGCTGACTACTTCAACTGCGGTACCGATGAGGAGCGCAGCGACTTCTTCGCCTTTGTGAGTTGACCGATTTTGACCGGCCCCGAGGTCGTTACACTAACATGATGCAGAACGATTACTCTTGGTGCACTAGCAACTTCGTCGAGTCCGGCTGGGACCAGAAGGTCAAGAACTTCACCGGCTATGGTCTTCCCATCTTTCTGTCCGAGTACGGCTGCAACCACAACGTCCGTGACTTTGGAGAGCTCGAGTCCCTCATGCACCCCAACATGACCAGCGTCTACTCCGGTGGTCTCATGTACGAGTACTCCGAGGAGCCCAACGAGTATGGTATCGTCAAGATTGAGGGTGGCGACAAGGGCAACGGTTTCGACCAGACTGGCAAGCGCACTGAGATGCAGCCCGAGTTCAACAACCTGGTCAAGGCCATGAAGGCTTTCCCCGCCCCCAAGGGTCTTGCCGGCGCCAGCACCGAGAACAAGGCTTCCAAGTGCCCCGAGAACAACGACCACTGGATCGTCAGCACCGTCCTTCCCGAGATTCCCGAGGAGGCCCTTCAGTACTTCGAGAACGGTGCTGGCAAGGGCCCCGGCCTTAACGGCAAGGGCTCCCAGTGGGCTGGCCACGTCGCTTCCAAGAGCCCCGAGTTCCCCGATGGAGATGCCCAGGGCAGCACTGGCGGCTCTGGCTCCGATGACAACGAGAACGCTGCTCCCCGCGGCGCTGCCTCGATCCTCTTTGTCTCCGGCCTCGTTGCTCTCGTCGCCGGTGCCATTTCCCTGTAAATAACGCCATGTTTTCTTGGGTGTTGCTTTGTTTTTTGGACATAGGATACAGTTGAAGCGCTTGTGCTCTTTTTGGATAAAAAATGGGATGTTTTTTTTTGACAAGGTTTTTTTCTCTGGGTTCTTACATGAGCGCATTATGAACAGGTAATACCCGGGACATTTTGGTATCTGTTTCAGAGGCGGGTTTTTCGGCTGTACATGTTTGATAAAATACATGAATGTGATTTAATGCTAATCGTACCTACATTACGCTTCTCGCTTGTGCTTGATCCTGTTGTCGTGACTTCCTTCTCATCGCAGCAATCTGAGAATTGAGGAAGGGACTATCACGTGGACTTGCTCATTTCTCGTCCTACCTCTGTCGTCTTCAATTCCAGGTTTTTGGCCCAACCGACTCCCAGCCTGTCACATTGCGATTCAGCACACCTTCAAGGCCAGGACAGCCCTATCAGATCTCGTCATGGCGACACAGATGCTACTCGTCTTCGGAAGCATACAGCAGCTTGGGCAATTACCCCGCTGGCACCCGACTGTGGGCCTCACATAGGTATGGTTGTCCATAAAACACTGATACAGGACACTAGCAGACGCAAACCCCTTTCTGATTTTACATTACGCGCGACATCCAAAACAGTCCTCAACCATCATCGAACACATACATCATGACTTCACAAAGCCCCCAATATCAACACTTTGTCCCTCAGTTCCTCCTTCGTAACTTCTCTCACCCCTACAAGCCAGATGGACCAACCAAAGGCCGCAAATTCCAAAAGGGGATGTTCCCAAAAGACAAAGTCGTTCGGCACGTTGATTTCGCGGTTGATCCGCCTGTTATTCGTGAGAGTCCCGTCAACCGGATCTTGGGACTGTTCAACATGTACGACAACCCGAACAAGCCAACCGCTTTGCAACGAGAAGTCGAGATCCTGTTCTCCAAACTTGAAGATCAAGCTAGCCAGATCTTCCGCAAGATCAGCAAGGCTTTCGAGCAGAAAAGTACCGTGGTTTCAATGTCACGAGCTGAACGCGATCTCATGCGCAAGTTCCTCTTCCTCCTCATGTACCGGAACAGAGGGTTTCATACCCGCTTCAACCATGTCACGCCCGACGGGTACAACGAGGATGATAAGGAGCTTGTGCGCGAGTACATGCGCAAGAACAATATCATCACGCCACTGGATGTGTGGCTCGACGGGATCAAGACCATCATCGAGCTCCCTATGGATCCGGAGAAGAAGTGGCTAGGGGTGTTGATGGGCAAGATGTACCCTCAAGACGCCATGTGGTTCTGGTTACACGTTGAGTTCTCCTACATGGCTATTCTCACCCCTGCAGAGGATGGCGACGAGTTTATTCTGACCGACAACGCGTATGCGATATTCGAAGGCCCCAATACTTCTGCGCTGGACGCGGAGACGCAGGAAGTCATTGATACTGAATATCTTCCCCTTCATACATTTGCACCTATTTCACCCAAGCTCTTGATCGTGCTCCGAGCCGACATATTTCCCGATCCCCTGGAAGACGCTGATGAGCGTGTTAGGGAGGCGCGGAAACTTAGGCGATTAGCATGTCGTGCCCCCTTGGAATCCCCAGGCTCGGAGAAGGTTCGCTCATTGCTGGCGGACCTTCCCATCTCAAAAGCTCGAAACAATTACACGGTGATCGTTGATAGCCGACTTGAGCTCAAAGCCGGGCAGCCTCCTAAAAGACGTCAAACAGACAGATTCGACTTCACCATCTTCCCTGTCAAACAAAACCACGTCAACATGATCAACGGGATTATTTTGGACAGTTGTGCCCCTTGTACAAGCATCGTGTTTGAGTCTCGTGACGCCTTTGCCCGCACACTCGAGTGGTATCTCACTGCACCTTGCAGCATGGGCAAAGTGTTGGGTGGTAAACACAGGGAGATCCGCCGCCGGGCTTTGTTCAAGTTGGAGGCCATCTCCCGAGCCTTGGGTTCGCAAAAGGAAACCAAGTGGGTAGATGTAGAAGAAGTTGTGATGGACAATGTCGAGCAGTGGCGAGCAGAGAACCTTGACAAGCAACGCAATCTTGTACGGCTCATGAACGCAGATCTTGACGGTCTATACGAAGGAGTTCACAGGCAGGCAAACAAATATGGAAGACCATTCAGCTCGAAGTCTTATGGCCCATACTTTCTCCTTGGTAAGTCTTCCATGACTACGCTGTATTGGTCGACGCTCACGGTGTCTAACAAACTATCTCATACACAGGTGGCTCACGGTATACAGCAGAGGAGGACTTTGCACAGGCTGACTTGATACGAAGATTCAGAATCAAGATTGACCTCTGGTCTAAAGGGATGGTTGATGAAGTTATTCGGCAGAGAAACAGGGACTTGATCGAGACTGCCTACCTTCGGCTCCCGCCACGACGTGTTTGGATGCTCATCAAGCTGATCAGACTGATGTTCCTTGCCGGTCCGGATAAGCCGGTAGACCTTAAGCTAGCAAAAAGCGAATTCGAGGGTCCGGAGGATACGATTGCACGGGGTATGTCCCGATGGGAGTTAAACTTTGATGACAGTCAAGGCTCACCGACCATAGTCCACCATCTTGTCACACCCGAAGTCCTAAACGACCTTCTCTGGAGGACTCACATCAACGACATGTATTCGAGACGGAATCGTGGCGTTGACATTTGGGCCAGGCAGAACGGCGGCTGGGATCTTGCAGCGTGGGAGATGCCGTTTTTGCATCACATACGGGGTGCGTAGAGTTGCACTCAATTCAATGACTGAGGAAATTATAACTGACAATGTCATAGGAAGCATTAGAAACTGCGGTTAGGCCACTCTAACTATCAACAATGTGGCAATACTGACTCTAGCGTGCCAGGAATACCTGCAATCGAGAAGTTCGGACTGGAAGTTCCCGGATCTCCAACCCCCGCTTGCACCATTGACACTTTTAGGGACATGAGACCGACGGATATACGCAAGATAATTGTCGAGCTCAATGTGAGGAAGCTAGCAGAGTTGGAATTTGACTCTCTTTTCGATAACCAGGTGGAAGGTCACGATCTGTTGATGGAGTTCAAAAGGCTGTTCTTCCAGCTGTCATACCCAACCCCACCCTACACGTGGTTATTGGAAATGGCAGTTCGAGCTGGAGTGTTGTGAAGAAAGTGGTAAACATTAAGCAGTCGTTCTTACTTTTCATAAATCATTACAACAGTCTACCGATCCATCACTTCATAATATCCCAAGCCGTAACCCCCGTCTTGACCTCGTCACCGCTTTTCCTTCTGACCATACTCTCATCTTCCCCCTCCTTGGCCTTCTCGGCATCAGTCAGCTTCTTCTTCCGCTTCAGCTCAGCCCAAACGGAGACACCAATCCAGATGGCGCCAATAACACCTGCCACAGCGGCGTACACAGTCTTTTTCTGGTTCGTGGCTTGGGATAGATGCAGACCCAAGCCACCAGTGATGATGCCGATGATGATGCTGCCCCGGCCGTTGGCCAGGTGGAGCTGGGACCAGATCTGGCGCTTTTGCACCTTGCGGAACTTGAGATGGTGCACCACGCCGAGGACAGGCTGGATGAGGAACAGAACGAGGAGGACAAGGCCGAGAATAGGGTGGTAGTTTGTTGATGTATTCGACAGCTATCCCTTATTAGCATAGGGTGAAAAGGGGGGAAAAGGGGGGGACATACCAAAGACCCAGAAGGAATCCTGATCATGTTGACGAGGTAAATCCCCAGCGCAGCACCGCTAATGTAAATGATGGTGGCCAACACCTGGAAAATGACATGCACCCAGAACCCCCACTTCCCAGGCAACACCCGGAGAAGGATCGACCCAATGGGGAAAAGAACCACCATCGCCAGCGAGGCGAGGATCCCGTGGATGGTGCGGTAGTTCACCGCTTGTTGCGTGTCGAACGGGGCGCGGGAGTTGTTGTTGCCATTGCGGTAGCGGTAGCGGTAGCCGCCTGCGTTGCCGGTGCCAAAGTAGGCGTTTGTTGATGACGCCGAGTTGGAGTTGGAGTTGGAGTTGGAGTTGGAGTTGGAGTTGTGGCTGCCGGAAGAGGAGGATGTGCCGTCGTTGTCGTTGTTGCTAGGGTGGTATCCACTTCCGAAGCCGGTGCTGCTGCCGCCGCCGCCGAAGGAGGACCCACTTCTACCGCTGCCGGAAGAGGAGGACCCACCACCACCGCCGCTGCTGCTGCCGCGGGCTGCCTCAACGGCGAAAGCTAAGCACGCGACGAGGAGCGCGATTTGGAGCAGGCGGAGGGTGAAGAAGGTGAGGGACTTCATCTTGAGACCAGCACTCACTTCTACACCGAAAAAGAAAAAGTATGTACAATGAAGGTGGTGAAAGAGGTGAGGATTATGATAACCATGGGCGTGCCATGGCTTTTAATTAAATCTTATTTTTGACAAGCTGCCGCAGGCACCCAACGTGGTACCAAAAAGGTCCATCAGCAGCACTGCCTGACGGGACCTAGACCGCATTGTGGCATGCCGGCCGTGGGGATGGGAACAGGGGTCTCAGGGGCCTCCTGGGTGAGGTGGTGGGTGCGCATTGCGGCGCGGGTTAGGTGGTGCTGTTTAGTCCGGTGGGGTTGGGGTGATAGTTCCGGGCACTAATTGTTTGTAGTTAGTGGGAAGAGAATAGCTGAGGTGTCACTGGGGATGGCATGTGGAAATTGCAAACTGGAAGCTGGAGATATTTGTTGATCGCAAGCTGGAGTTTTGGAGATTCTGGTCTGGGACTTTTGATGGGATTTTGAACAAGTTTGGTAAGGTAGGCAGCTGGTAATGCGATGATCAAGATGCGACAGGCGCTAAGACTTGAGTCCGAAAGCTTAACGTCCATTTGCTCTGGTCCCCGGGCGCTCCTGACAGGGGCTTAGTATCACTGGGGAAAAGGGCAAGAGGAGGGTATAAAACAGTCGGTTTATTGTGGCTTCAGATCCTTGTGATGGCACCTGTGAAAATCATCAGTTTGTATTTTGGCTGGTCTCGATATGTAAGGATCTTTTATTCGGCGCTAAGTATTTCAAGGAAAAATGGAAAAGAAAGAGGATGTGATGGATGTTGGCTCCCTCCCACTAACAATTCTTTCACCACTATATCGTGAGAAAAAAAGAGCAAGCTAGCGCTTGACTCTTGGCAGGCGTTTCTTTGGCCTTTGCTGTCCCGGCAGTTTGTATGCCAACATTCATTGGCTGGATTTACGCATCTCCACGCATAGGGCAGGTGCAACATGTGCTTGCATTGCAGGATGTCGGGTCTGGGTGCACTGTCGACTTGAATCCGAATCGAAGTCGCTATCTAATCTATTCGAGGCATCAACTGTCGTCACAGTCTGACAAAGGATTAGGGGGCCAGGGACAAAGAACCCTAACCTTCAACACAAGCGTAGTGTTCATAATGCAGTTGTTAATGAACAATTGGTTGTATTTGAAACGAGCCACAAAGACGCCATGATAAATCAGCAGTATTATTTAAGCCCACCTCCCCTTCCCAGTTTCGACTCAAAAACCACATCCATCTTGACAGTAATCTACCCCCACAACAAGCTGACGTCTCATACACCTGCAGTGCAGGGAGACGATAACAAAGCCAAGTGGCACGAAACCTTTGTCGAGATCTGCTAACCCCCCACACAGCTATCCCCCTCCCCAAACTACAGGTAAGTCTAAACTGAGAAACCGTAGCAAAAATGTGCAAATACTTCGACCTCTACCTCCACTGCCCCCGCTGCCGCAAAAACTCCCCCGAACAAAAGGTCGAAGTCGCCCTCTGCCAGCTCGCCAAATACCTCCCCGCTAGCGTAAAGAAGAACGGGGGCATCCGCGATGATCTCAAAACCCGCGAACTCACAGGAGTCTACGTCGAGGAGGGGCTCTGCGAACAGTGCAAGAACTCACCAAAAAGCAAGCCCAAGTTTCAGGCTTCGGGCGCTGAGTTAAGACTCTTCTTTGCGCAACTTTGGCGTCAGCACCGCGAGACTGAGATACAGCTTGGACCGAGGAAGCAGGAGAGGCAGAAGTTGGAGATCTCGAAGGATGGGAAGAGTATGGTGTTTTAGGAGGTAGGTAAGTATAGATAACATAGTAAGTGAACCGCTGAGTGTGGTTTACGCGTAATATTATCTTGATTAAATCCCAAACTATTCTGAACATACCGTAGACTGATACTGTTTGTGCCAAGTATAACCTGGAAATTGTTTGTTCAAGTAGCTTCTTACCTACAAGGAAACGGTTGGGAGCTTTCATGTGCTTGACGTGTAAATTTGCAACTTCTTCAAAGAAAAATTGCTTCCATTACCATCTGTGACGAACCCCTATCCAGAACCTCTGAAAGGGATACTGGTTGAAGGCGCTTCTGAACAATCCTGGTTCGGTACAGCTAAACAGTATATGACAAATGGCTTGTCTCGATCACAACAGTCTAGATACCAACGATTGTGACTTGTATTGCATACTGCGGAACTGTCTATCTTCACCAGCCAGTTCCTCCGTATATATAGACCTTAATCCTCCAGGTACCTCCGTACCTGGCTCACCTTTGCTCACTGGTGATCCGGCTCACCTCTGCCAAGTGGTGAGCGCCCTATCGTCCTGCAGCCCAGCTGTTACATTTCACTTGATTAGCCACCACGGCCTGCTGCAGTCTCCGCTCTGCCTTGCTATATGGTTGGTCTGTGACACCTTCAGCCGCCAGTTGGCGTGATTTGTCAGTCTGCGGTGTGATGACTGAGCCAAGTGCATACTATTTGGTGATATCGTATGATGTGGCTATTCGCCACGAGCTTAAACCTAACGGATGCCCGTCTTTACCTTAAGTACTCAGGATACTTACCTTCTCAAGGCAGTCACCATACTCATCGACAACTTGAAGCAGTCGAGCTCCCTAGCTCTATTCATCAAATCTTCATCGATCTAGTTATCTACCTACCTTGTTCGGTATACCCCGCCCGCCTGCTATACACAAGGTTTCAAGCCCAACATGAACCCAAGCGATAACAACTGGGATCCGTTGAGACTCATCGATGACCCCTTCGGCTTTGAGACTCGAAAGAACAAAAGGTTTTGGTATGCCTGCCGCAATGGTAAACTCAAGAAGGCCAGAAGGCTTTTGAGGCAGGGGGCCGACGTGAATGTGGAGAGACGTTGCTTCATACTAAAACGTGGTCATCGAGATGAGGGGTCAGACTCAGAAATGATCAGTGATGATAGCGGCGCTGACTCGGATGCTGAAACTTTGAGAAGGAACCCCGAAGGCTTTTGGGCAGCATGCCGTGGTGGAAACATGGAGAAAGCACAACGACAGATGTGGTACTACAAAATGAAACGCAAGCATCCTGAACTTTGGCGAAACCACATGCCAGAAGATAGCGACTGGGACAGCGACGACGAGCAAGAGGACAGAGACAGTCAGAGGGAAAACGACGACCGATATGAAGACTTGGGAAAGGTCTCAGCGCTTTATGTTGCCATTAAGCGAGCTCATTTCGACATCGCTCTTCATCTCCTCGATCAACCTGGCATTGATAATCTTGCCAAAAAATACACCGAAGAGAAGGAGACTGTGTTGCACAGAGCTGTAGCGAAGGAAGCAGAAGACGTTTATCAGAAACTTATCGAGCACCGACACGACCGCAAACTTGGCGAAAGTAAGGACAAAGAAGGAGATTCGGCAATCCAAATAGCAGTAATATTCGGCGATGTCGTTGCTACCCGTGTATTGCTAGCTTCCAGATTTGGCAATCCGCACTCTCTAGAGAGCCTTCTGTCTCTGGTGGCCTTCAACCACCGGTCTAGACCGCCGAAGAATGTTGACGTCGCTCGGCTATTACTCATGAACGGGGCGAGGCTTGGTTTGGAGGACGGAGACGGTAGGTACCTTACCTAAATACCTCTGTTCTGGAGTTTGTAACATGACCAGATTTGCTGATCTCTGAATAGGAAAAACTACAGCCCTGCAAACTGCGTGCGAAAGAGAAGATGTAGGTATGGTGAAACTGCTCCTAGCCTGGAAGGCTCCACGTATACCAATTGGGCGTGATGATGCATTGAGACTGGCGGGCGATGAATTGTGGCAGAATAAGGACGAGACCAAGCCAGCGTGGAGCAACTCAATTTCAAGGCAACACGAAATTTCAGCCAACTTCAACATTGAAATAACATTTTCATGTGCCGTCGATGTCAACGGGGATGGCTCATATACCCGTAACTGGACTCGATCCATGCCAATTAAGGACTTTATGGGGTAAGCTCAGAACCTAGGTACTCGAAGGTTTGTGAAACGTCACCGTTTATTAATTCACGAGTGCAGCACACGACCTACAGAAGAAAACTTGCTCACCCAACTCGAAGAAGAGTTTGTCAGCGACACGGAGGATGATGGAGCTAACATAGAGCCCGAAGAAAACTTGCTCACCCAACTCGAAGAAGAGTTTGTCAGCGACACGGAGGATGATGGAGTTAACATAGAGCCCGAAGATATCGTGCGATGGATTCATATCCCACACACCAATGTGAGTAAGAACCAGTACCTTTTTCTTGACCTTCAGAAGCGTAAGAAATACGGGGCATTTGTGACAGAGAAAATTCTACTCCCGCAAGACTGATGCTAACTGCTACATCAACACAGATGACATGGGTCAAGGTAGGTAGATACCTGGTATTTACCGACTACCTACTCTTACGGAGTTGGCGTAGCATCCTTGAGTTCGTGGCTCACAAAAAGGTTAACAGGATGTTGTTGCCAAATTATGCGAGTCTTACGGGGAGACCGAAAGCGAGAAGCAGTACTACATGTCCCGCTTTGTCGATGCCACAGCATGTGCCCGGAACACCGCAGGTAACAGCTACTGTCGTTTCCCTCACGTATGTCTTTTTTTTTTCCACAATGCCCGGGATGGTAATGACGAAGAGGCTGACCCAACTTGATTCCAACCTCAGGTACAATGCCAACATAAAATTGATGGAACCATAACCTCGTCAAAGATTTCCCTTGTCGTAAGTCATCATGATGGTCTGCTTCAGGAAATATCCAAGCACCCACCTAGTAGTTAATTACTGTCATTTTGATATCACTAATATGACGGTTCACTAGGTTCCATTTATTGACTTCGAGTCTGAATGGTATCTAAGCCCACATGCAAATCTCCCTTTTCCCGTTCTCCAGAAACAAAGAGACCTCTGGGATTTGGAGAGTCAATTCGGTCCATACAACGGATCTGTTGGTCTACAGCGCCCAGAAACCTTAGACCAGGCATACCATGATGGGTATACGGCTCTCAATCAAACAGACAAAGATAAGGTAGTGTACAAGTGGTTGAAACTACGGAATTACCCACCGGGCGCGATACCAACGACAGAAGCACCAGCCGCAGAAGGAGCAGGCACAGCCATCCCTGCACTTGGAGGGGTGAATCCTACTATTCAGAACGCAGAAGGCCCAGAACCTACGGTGCCGGGCGTAGCGGCACCTTTCGTCACAGAGACTGCCATCAGGACAGCTGGAGGAACCAATCCTCCTACCGAAAACGCGGAGACGCCTGAAACAAATAACACACCACTGAAGCTTCTCATGGTTCGTCAGTTGTGGATGTGGAAACTGGACGAAAGTGGGACTTATTACTACTGCGTCTGTGCTCTTGCGAATAACCTGTTGGCTAACACCTAACTAGGAACGATTCTTACAGCAATGCCCCCGAGGTGGGATGGCGAATCCAAAGAGACCCTGTTTGAGATAGTTTCGCGGTGTTTGCCATTACACGCTTGGAGCACCCCTCACGCACTGGTTCAACAGATCCTCCTTCAATGTCTCAGGTTTCCTGATGAGTTTGAACAGTCAGGTCTTGGATATCACATCTTGGATATCTTTGAGAGCTGGATAGCGAAACAGGAGAATGAAGAAGTGGGGCTTTTTAAGGATTTTCGCCGATTCGTCGAAGACCATGACACCGACAGAGAGAACCACAGATTGGATCATGAGTCTCTCAAAATCGGAGGAGAGGTTCAGATCATTTACGAGCTTAAAGACGTTCTGGGAGAGCTTGCCATCCTAAAGCAACTATTTACGAATCAGAGAGATTGCCGACTAGGTACCACAGCACATGTCCACAGGGCGACGGGAGCATATCTTACGAGACTTTTATCCAGCAGTCCAGGATTCGAGCCTTTATTGACCACGTCGATAGACTTGAAGCCAACGCCACCAGAGTTCTCGCAGCGGTGGGTCGCATTTGCTTTGGGGAGTTAAGGACTAATGGCTGACGATTTAACCGTATAACTCTACTTAGGTGGATCATCTCGTCAGTGTCAAACAAGCTCAGGGCTCTTTTATTGTGTCGAAACTCGCCAACATCGAAGCCGTGAAGTCCCGCCAACTGAACAACTACGTGTTGCTTCTTACCGCCGTTACTATCGTTTTTGTAAGTTTCATTCACAACTGACGTTGGTCCAGCGACTATAATCTCTGCACGGTGCTTATTTTGGTGGTGATTATCGGCATAACTGGACTTGAAATGCATCTACCCTACGATACTAATAACACCATACCTAGACACCTTTGGCGTTTATGCTCGCCCTCTTCGCAATATCGATTGAAGGTTTCCCGCATGACGATACCGGAGAGCCTTTTTATAGGTCTTCCTGGATCACAGGTCGATTGTGTGAGTGCATACATGTACCCGAGACTTGTGTTTGACGTCCTCCATAGTTTGATACTGATATCTGTGTCTATTGGGCAGTTGCTGGGGAGTTGGTCAGTCTTTTTGCGATATCTTTAGGCTTTTTGGCGATAAAGAATGCAAACAAAAGAGATGAGGAAAATCTCAAGCAGCGGCTGAGCAGGGAAAACTCCATTGTGCTCGCAGTTCGAGGCATACTAGAAGGTCTCCGTCAAATGGTTCATCCCTCGACTGCACACTTTGCACAAGATGCCCAAGGCGACCAAAACATCAACAATGGAGTAGCTCAAACCGATGAGGTCCCTTTGGCCGACAACAACGGTGGAGGAACTGAAGCTACCGGGGAGGTCCCTCCTGCTCGGGAAAGTCCTCCACAGCTTAGGCAACGCGGAGCATGGAGACCGCTGCGTGGTAGACAGCAGGGTGAACCAGACTTGGAACATCAGGGGGTACCTAGGTAGTTTTTCAGGACAGCGACAACTTACCTGAACCACAGTGGGAGCTTCGAGTGAGTAGTCTGAGTGAAACCTAAAGATCACAGCCTTGGAGGTAACGCGGTGAAAAGAACAAGAGAGGGACAGCAAATTGAGTTGAGTGTTTTGGGTTTCTAGGCACCTTCACCACGATAATAATTGAGACACCATACCTCAAAGGTACATTAATAGGCCTTTAAACTATCTTTTAAGGCCTTTTTACTATCTTTAAAGGCCTCTTGACTATCTTTAAAGGCCCTTTAACTGGCTTTTCAGGTATGTATTATGGGGTTACTTGCTGTTGCTGTCTCAATTATTTTGTAGTGAGGGTGCTAGGATGTCATTTGGGCTTTGAGAATTTCAACATCTCTTTCAGAGTCACACAAGATACCTCTGGTATCCAATTCCATTGAAGAGTTGGCAAAATAGACGAAAAGGGTTTGAGGCATATTTCAACAGCTACCCTACGTGTTACTCGTTGAGGCGTGTTAGCAGTTTTTGAAAGACTTTTAATTACCTCAAGGTGTTATTGGGAATATCATCCTGTCTTAACCTATGTTACAGTGTCAATCATGTTGTCTACAACTCAACGGTATTGTAGCCTTTTATCACCACAGTAGCCCCAAACAAGAGATCAACTTCTTTAATGCAACTTTTGCTGGTCGTTCTCAGTGGATGTGTGTAGATTCTACCTTACAAACATGTCTCCTTCGTGTCATACCCCCTCCATAAATCCAACATCAACCAAATGCAATCTAAACCCTACCCCTGAGTCTAACCTCCACCCCCTTCTGCCTCCAAAACCAACTATTCACCGTCTCCCACTCCCTCTCCCGATCCGCCAGCGTAACCTCATACCTATTCAGAACCGTGGCCACAAGCTTATACGTTTCCACCAACGCCAAGTTCCTCCCCAAACAAATCCTCGACCCAGCCCCAAAGCTCAAGTCACAGGCATTCCACTTTTGCATTCTCTTTTTATACTCCTCATCGGTCTCCCCACCTTTGACATCCCGCAACCACCTCTCAGGCCTAAACTCGTCCGCATCAGAACCCCAAACAGTCTTGTTCCTGTTGCCAATATAAGGATTGATACCAACGGCCACCCCGCCAGGAACAAAGTCGCCGTTGGGAAGGGTGAACCCCTCAGCAGGGACATAACGCTCAAGCGGCATAGCCACAGCAGGATGAACACGGAGCGCCTCCCTGACCACAGCCTCGAGGTAGGGCAGCTGGCGAGCTTGAGAGTAAGGAAAGGCGTTGGAGTTTTCAATCCCCGCTGAACGAATCTCCCCTACCAGACGGGCGTAGACGGCTGGGTTCTTCAAGACGTAGTAAAAGATGGCTCGGATAGTGATGGCTGTCGTGTCTGCTCCCGCGATGAGGTTGACGAGCAAATACCCAAACACCATGCCGTCGTGGACGGTGTCGGGATGGGTATTCTTGGAATCGATAAAGTGTTGGAGGTAGTCGGGGACCTTGGGGTTGAAGTTCTTGTCTTGACCTTGCATGCGGGCGATGAGAGAGGTCATGGCGATGTTGGTGACGTTGCTGAGGTTGGGGGGACCGATGCGGAGGATGGGGTTCTTGTCGAGGAGGAAGTCCAGCCAAGGGATCTGGCCGACGGAGGCGAAGTAGTCGAGGGATTTGTCGGCTGTGGCGATGGAGCTGTCAAAGTCGTGACCTTGGGTCATGTAGCCGAAGGATTTGGAGAAGGTGACCGAGGTGATGAGGTCCCAGGCATCTGGAGAGGAAAGACGAGTTAGCTGCCTGTGTGTGATTGAAGGGAGATGAGAATGCAAAGATAGGTAGGCAGGGGAACTGACAGAATGCAACCCATTCTCCCAAATCACAGGTCCCCTGACCGCCTTTGGCAAAACGATTGTCGAGCTGTTGCATGAGCTCTCCGAGAACGTTGTCCATGTGTGACTCGAGGGCCAGTACACTGCCGAGAGAGTAATGCTTGACAATCGGACGCTTCATTTGAGCGTGCTCAGTCTGATCGGTGGTGCTGAACATATCTATTGTGTTGTCAACCACAACTCCCAGGACGTCCAGGCATTGAAGGCAACAAACGGTAGGTAATTTTTCCATTGACGAGGGCACTGTTGTTGTGGTAGAACTCGGTCTGAGAAGTTTCGATGTTAGTAAAATTGACGGCATAACCTCGTTGTAGGTAGGAACACAAACCTTGCGCCATTTTCCATCAGTGCCATACAACACTTTGGATAACTCGGGGTAATCGAGATCCAGTAAGTTGGGACCAATGCGCACCACTGGTCCATACTTGTCGTGAAGCCTCTTCATGGTCAACTCATACTTGCCGGTTCTCACATGGTAAAGACGCCAGAGGTTTGTGTATCCTGATTGTGACAGTATGATGAGCACATGCCGAGCATAGGGTGGCTGACTGAGAATGGGCAAACATACCGGCGAGGAAGGGGCCTGGATACCCACGCAATGGAGATGCAGCCCATGAAAATGTGAACCAAAGAAGCAAAGTGACAATGGGAGCAACAAGCACAGTCACAGCCAGTCTGGCCAGAACACGACTGTCTAAAGTGGGCAGACTCCCGTAGCGGAAAGCAACGAGTGAATCGAGGATTCCGTTTGATGTCGACATCCTGATGTTGCTGCGTGTGTGAGAAAAAGATACAACAGGCAGCCCAGCTTCGGAAAGAATATCCAAGGACAAAAGTTGCTTTTCACGAGGCAGTTCCGGTGTATAAAGCCCCATGAGCATGCTTTCTGCCCCGCCCCCCCCCCTGACATTTCCCCTGATTGGTTTACCCCCAACATCCCGATATCATTCCTGCCCCCTCGCTCACTTAGGTTCGGTCTTTCTGCTCGCAGCGAGAAGCCCACACAGTGCCGAGAGGCTGACTGTAGTACCGGGAGAGGGGGCCAGATGTGGTGACGGGGCCCAGGTCTAGCGGCACTGTAGTGACTGGGCACAAATGTTGATCTGAAACCAGCTATCTCGTACGCCTCAACGCTGCTTCATTTAGAAGCAAGGCTATATTGGATGCCTTATGCGTGTGGTAGCCAGACAAATTGCACATTCGGGAAATCAAACGCGTAACATCAAGCTAATATTGTCTGACTGCTCATCAAGCTGTGGCCAGGAGGGCGTCAACCCCTGAGGCGGAAAGTCAACAAATTTCGAACATGTCATCTCACATTGAAAAGCAGGAAGAAGGGTGAGAATGGGGACAAACCTCGGATATACCTCCGTGATCAACCACGGCTTGCCTGATTTGGCAGGGGAACACGAGCCTTGGGTTCATGCTGCCTGGGACAGAGAACACTACCTGTAGATACAACAGTGATAATGTAGCTGCCGGCAGTTTGATCAGGCAATAGTTGGACAGTACCAGACTTTCTTCGTCCAAAAACTGTGTAGATCTTGCAATGAGACGGTGGGGCAGTGCGTCTATCCATGAGGCCCCTGTGTTACATTGCGTTCTTCAAGGCCTCGGCATCACTAGCGTGGGTGGCTTTCCAGGAAATAGAACTCCGCTTCTGACAGCGGGTGCGGCCCTCCCGTTTCTGGTCTGTGTCACTCTGGGGTTGGATCCTTCGCCTTACCCTCCCGTCCTTGGCAACGGGGAATCTTGTCCAGACACGCAGGTTGAACTCAATAGCAAGTCCTGATCAATGACTGTCAACTCTCTGGGAATGAGGAGGTTGACACAGTACTTCCATTGAACTTCCCTTCTGTCATATCTAACGCCACTCTGGCACCACTTCGAAATTCCAAATGCACAAAAGAGGAGATACTTAGACGCCACAATCCATTGCAGTCCCCGGCAAGGAGAATCTGGCAACCCGTTATTGGGTGAACCGAAATGCTGGGTCTGAATACTGTTTGAGGTTCCGCTCCTGGCCCGGGAAACTTCCCCGACAGCCCCTGCCATGCCTGATCATCTTATACATCATATCATGGCAGCAGATCACCCAGTTATCCTGGCACGCACACTGTGCTTTCTTCAGTTTCCCAAATCTTCACCGGCTTCTTGCATCTTCCCCGCTTTGGAAGTCAGAAATTCCAGCAACTCCAGCGAATCGTCCTCCTCCTCGCCCAACGCAATCGATGGTGCCTTGCGCATGTAAAATGGAAACTTAAACGCCACGCTTGGAAGAAACCGGCATACTCCCAGTCGACTATCGCTTTTATGCGCAACGTCTCAGGGTCAACGATTACATTGTGCTGTGAGCAGTCACCATGACAAAAGACGTAATCTTCACCGTCTTTTGCCTCCGACTCCTTGCAGGACGACCAGTTGTCTTCTCTGGGTGATCCCCAAGACACGATACGGAGGGATCACAATCCCGGATGGTCCACCGAGGCGCTTGGACTTGATTCCTTTCAACTTAGCCAGGTGTTTCTCCAGCTCCACATGAGCGGCGGCTTTCTGCGTCTCGTCTTTCAAGTCTGACATGTTGACCCCGTCAATGTTTTGAGATATCAGGTAGGAGGCGTCGTCGTCTTCAAAGCCGCAGTATATGTCGGGGACAGGGATGTCGGTGTGCTGCCGGATGAAGCGGAGCGCGGCAGCCTCGTTCATGAGGAGCTCTTTTCGCAGTCGAGGAACGTGGGTTTTGCCTTTCCAGTTGGTGATGAATTCTTTTGGTCGGAGGGACCTCTTGATGAAGGCGTTGCCGCGAATGTAGTACTTTCTTTCGGGTGTCACAGCGAAGCAGCCATCTTCTCTGGCTGGGTGCGGTTCTCGTGGCTTCGGGTTAGACATTGAGCTTCGGAAATGACAAAGAACTGTTATTGCTTTTTTTTTGGTGCCCGGTAAGTTTCACTGAGTTTTCCGTGTACAAGTTGCGAAGCAGCGAGGTGGAAACTGAAGGATGGGCAAAAAAAGAGCGCCATTACAAAGGCGGGGAAGCAGGCGGATAGCGAAGGCACAGCACTTGGAACCCAAACGCACGTTGGCAGTTTCAAGAATGCTCCATTGGGTATACAACCTACACCAGACGATTCCAGTGATCCCATATCTCGGTATCACAAAGATCTGTCCAGGTTTCTGGGTCGTACACCAGGCAAAGTATCTCTTGGATATAAGATGTCCAAGAGCCTGCTTGTGAAGCAAACTTCTGTCAATTCAGAACCTACCTACCTATTCAGCATTGCATCAGAGGCCAACTTGTCAAAATCATCTAGAGCATATACGGATCACGAACGCCCACCAGCCTCTCAAATCGAAACAAGAAACGTTCAGCATGCCTTCAGAGGTCTATTCTTGCAAAAACTGCGGGACCGAAGTCTCAAGCACCCAACCAACGTGTCCATCATGTGATAAGGCCCCTGCTTAGATCAACGGGGAGATGCCGGCAGTCAGGACTGTTTTCAACAACTCGCATAATCCTTCTGTGCATCTCTCATAAAATGAACCCGCTTTAGATGCTGCAGACTATGCTATGCACTCATGTACTAGGGTAGCACAATATAACCCTGCCGTACTTTACCATACCTTGCCTGTGCACGGTGCGGAAGATCCCCCCACAGTCCCGACGGCAGGCAAATCCAAGAACAGGAAGTGTCAGCGAGAGACGTTGCTAAGTGGTTGCCGGTTTCTTCAATACCTACCTGTCACTTTCCGTTGCATACCTGTCAGCTCACGTAGGTAGGTACTTTGCTTTGTTTTGCTTTTTCTCCTGCATTCTGGATACCCTGCTGAAGAACGTCCAACTCGATGATGAACAGTCCCTTGCACGGAGCGGCCGGCACTCAACTCGCTTCACCCCCATGCCACCCAACCCCTGACGCCGCCAATACCCGTTTGATTCACTCAAAGAGCTAGACGACATCGAGGACACCGAGAACCCGGTAACCCGGTCGATATTTGCGCGCCACAGTCTTGTCTGCTTATCTGACTCTTTGGTGGATTCGCTGATCATGTCAACGGGCGAGACCCTGCGGCCTTCCATGAACATGGATAGAAACCGGTATTGGGACTTTTCCTTCAGATTTCTTCTTCTGGTGATCTCTTGCTGAATCCTGGCATGAGATATCTCCGAGAGTGGCATCAGGGGCAGCTGCGAGTCTTCGGGCACAATCCGTTATGTGACGACAACCACAACAAAAAGGTAGATGTCTACACTGTCGTCTCCCGAAGATTAAAATTTGGACGACCTCAAGTCGGTAAGAACAAAACAACTCACACCTACAATATATATCCACTTGTTGACTTCAATCCGAGAACGAGTCATAGCTGGAAACCAAATTGAGACCGACATCAACTTGCCTTCATCATGACGCTCGGAGGCGATGGCCCATGGGCTGTCTCCGTCATGTGGATACTTACAGCCCTTACCTTTGTCTTCGTTCTCCTCCGTATCTACACCAGGGCCTACGTGGTGGAAAGCTATGGGCTGGATGACCACGTCTACAACTTCGCGTTTGTGAGTTTGCCTTTACCCAAAGCTCCATCGAACTAATTCTGACGTTCAACACAGGTTCTCCTGCTGTGCTACACAATCATGACAACCATCGCAGCCCAATATGGCTTCGGCCAAAACATGTTCGACATACAGGAAGTTGAAGACCTTGTCAAAGCTATTTTGTTCGAGGCAATCGGCCAAACATTTGCGGTGGTCGGCATGGCGGTGGCAAAGTGGTCGCTGGGTCTCTTCTTGCTGCGCCTTGTCACGCAAACATGGCACAAGGTCGTCATATGGATTACGATGGGAAGCTTGCTGGCAGCGTCTATATCTGTCTGCTTTGTGTTCTGGCTGCAATGCTCGCCACCGGCTTACCTCTACGACAGGAGAGTTCCTGGGGGTTACTGCTACATCAACACCACGCCAGTGTCGTTTACCTTGTGCAGTACGTCTTCTCTCCGACTGAAAAAAGATTCCTTTCTGACAGATTGAACAGTCCTCTGCGTCATTGCAGACTTCTTCTTCGCCATCTTCCCATGGGTCTTCCTCTGGAAGCTCCAGATGAACCAGCGGGAGAAGATTATCATTGCTGCAAGTATGAGTCTTGGGTTGATCGCCGGTGCATGCGGTATTAAAAGGACCATTGAAGTCCCCAATCTGTCAAGTACAAACTACACCAGTAAGCCCTCCCTAGTCGCCTCTTCCCCTTCATATTTCGCTGACAATGGTCGACATAGAGGACACAGTTGGTCTCATTGTCTGGTCCGCTGCCGAAATCGCCATCACCATGATCTGCATTGGCGTCCCTGTCGTCCGCCCCCTCTACAAAGGCTTCATCGACAAGCTCACGTCCCGCGCCACCCGCTCAACATCCGGTTACAAGAAACAAAGTGGTCCACGATATGGGCTCAAGACATTGGGGGGGAGCACCATGCCTGGAGCGAGTCGGTGGCAGGCTGAGACAACTGAGGGGGAGGAGGGTGATGACAAAGCAAAGAAAGCCGAGGAACGGACAAGGCAGCTGAAGATGGGCGTGAACGGCCCCTTCACTCATACCAAGGCTGTTGGTGGGAGGACCATGCCGGCTAATAGGAGTGATGAGGAGATTTTGGGGCAGGAGTATCGAGAGAACATGGCGGATGACGTGGAGAATGGAAGTGGGAGGGGTAGTAACATTCAGGTTGTCGAGACTTGGACTGTTGATCGGTCGTCACCGGTTGGGTCGCGGGGGAGGTATTGAGTTGTCGGTCTGCCGCGGAGGTGACCATCAGCAGAGCCGTAGCCCGGTGTTGAGATGTCACAATATTGTATCTTGATGGATTTGTTCAAGCTTTGTAATTCCGAGATCCTGTCTGCCTACCTAATCACAGTTCTCGGGGCTTTTTTGATGCTTGATGCTGTTGGTTGGACTTGGCTACTGATGACATAATTCATGACAACCAACAAACTCCGCGGCGCCGGAGGATCGATCCCACCATCATTCCCGAAATGGTGACACTGGGCTCAGAGTCCTTGAGCTCGGCGGAGCTATGTCATTGTTAGACTTGGAGGTGAGCAAACACTCTCTCTTCACGATTACGTACCTCATGAATATATTAGGGGAATTATATCGAATCAAGCCCTGCACTTTGCATGTGGTGGATGAACTGTACTGTCATGATGACTGCCGATTCGGCTGGTGGAACCATGACAGATGTGCCCGAAGTCACTTTGATGTCTGCGGTAAGATAACGCCTATTGTGGCAAGAGATGTTGTTAACGACATCCATGTGATCCGGTCAACCAGCTACCTGCAAAAGGTATATAAGGGATGTCTGGTGCCTACAACAGATCAACCCTTCACTATCAACATCTTCAGTATCACATCCAACAACATGGCTAAGCTCTTCATCTTTCTGTCCGCCTTTCTGGGCATCCTCACTACACTGATCTCAGCTCAGTCCAGCCCTTTCGAAATGGTCACCCTCGTCAAGATTGATTACACCACTGCCGAGCTAGCTGAGCACTACCACCGCCTCGACGTCACCTACAAAACCATCAACGCAACCGCCATCAAAGCTGCCGTCCTGGTCCCGAAGAAGCTCGCAGCCTCCAACAAGAAGGCCGACGCGCCCGTGGTGGTGCATTTCCACGGCGGTGGTCTCATCATCGGAACTAACCTCGAGCCTGCCTTTATTGCCGACTGGTACGTTCGCTAACCCCCCTATTTTTCCCTCCAATGCTAATCTCCATCAAAAGGGTAACCCAACTCCCCGTCTCCACAAACTCCATCCTCGTCTCCCCGCTCTACCGCCTCCTCCCTGAAGCCAACGCCCCAGAGACCCTATCCGACATCTCCTCCTTCTGGTCCTGGCTTCACACCTCCCTCCCATCCGTCATCGCCTCCGCCTACCCAAAGATCAAACCCAACCTCAACCAAATCGTCACCGTAGGAGAGTCAGCAGGCGGCTACCTCGCCGTTCAATCCGCTCTCTTATTCCAGGAAAAAGCCAAGATCAAGGCCGTCATCGCGCAATACCCCGCCATCTGGCCCGACCTAGCCGCCTGGGGGTCTCTTCCCCTCCCTGACCCAACCAACGAAGCTGTCGTCAAAGCCGGAAAGGTCATTGATGAGTACCTCGGTAACCTGACGGGAACAGAAATAAGAACTGACGCCCCCTACCCTGACCGCTGGGAGTTGACAGAGGCGGCGTTGTTGAGTGGGAGGAGCTTTGAGTTTTGGGGGGATGAGACTGCTATTGCACAATCAGGGTTGGAGTATGCTTTGAACGTGTCGAGGCAGTGGGGGGACAAAGTGCCGGGGTTTTGGGTTCTTCAGGGGGAGAATGACGGGATGGTTGCACAGGCGGGGACGGAGGAGTTTCTTGCTCGGTTGAAAGGGGTTCACCCGGGGGTGGAGGTCAAGTACACGCTTAGACCGGGATTGCATGGTTTTGATGCGCTTTATGGGTTGGACAAGCATTTTATTGCGGAGGGGGTGAGGTGGGTGAAGAGGTTTTGGTTGAAGGGGAAGAACTAGGTACCTAAGGTATCCAAGGGATCATCTACCATATCCATGCCTAGGCGTGCCTAACGGAACGGTATACAACTCACCTACGGACAGAAAGAATGAGGAGTGTGGCAAGTTATTATTAAACACAACTGCTGCTTTACTGGAGGGCTCAAGGTCACCGTGACTCATAAGCAAGAGACAAGCAGAAAACTGAACAAATAAAACAAACGCCTTGCTTTCTACCAGCCCAACCGCCAACCGTTCGCGCTTTCAAGGACGACTCATCAAACCTTCACCGCAAATCCACCAAAGACGAATAAACCCGGGCACATTCTCCACTACCATTTCAAGGGTTCTATCCCAGATCACTGGCCAACCACACGGATCTCAAGATAGGATCCCATTCATTTACCATCGCCCCTTGTAACAATCCTCAATTCTCTTCAGGCCGCCGGGCCCTCCGTTTCCGGTGCAGAGGTCTTCTCAGTCCGCTTTCGATCCGCTCCCGTGTTCTAGTCGATCCTGTTCTGTTCTCCCTGTCTCGGGCCCGGTTTGTGATCACGCGCTGGGCAGGATTGGTAGCCGGTGTATTGGCATCCGTCCCTTGGTTTCTGTTCGCAGTTTCGGCCTGGGTTGGTTCGGAACGGGGATTCGACGGTATTGCTGTGGGGTTGGAAAGATGGATCGTTCGATGTTTCATGTCCCTGAAGCAAGGTTCGAGACCCGTTTGGCAGAGCCAGACTTTTGCTTTCTCAGCCCCCTCCTGAAATATTATTCTGGCCTTCTTATTCCCCTCTTCTTGTTTTGGTAAGGCGGCACTGGGAAGTTTGACCAAAGCCGTGGTAGGCTCAGTGGCGGGTACAGCCGCTCGGTCGGCTTCAATTGCGTTGACCTGGTTCATGTAGTCCGTAGCGTTGGCAGCTGAAGGGAATGTGATTTTCACTTTCCATTCTGGCTCTTTTGTTTTACTTTCATGTTGAACTAGTTCGGTCCTATAGGCCATAGTGTGGAGGTGATACTTTTGGCGATTTTTTAGATCGAGAAGCGATTCAAAATTAGGGTCAAAGGCGAATGGTGGGAATCCGTGATAGATCTTGGTTGTTTCTTTGCTTGGTGCTTAATAAGGGCGGGGACATGCATCTGGGCAAAAAGGCCAGCGCAACAAGGCTGGCTGTACTGAGTTCTCCTTCAATGCAACAACCACATGCACTTCGGATACGTATTTTGTCCAATGGCTTTGCTAGGACAGATGTGCCTGCATGCCGAGATGACCCCATTGAACACACCATATCACCCAACGAGACGAGTGAGCGGCCCATTACTAGGTAGATCATCACAGGTGTCACACGTCTACGAACCAACCAACCTCGCTACGGCCCAACAGACCACCTACCTGCACTATAGACCACCTACCTGCACGTTGTGAGCTAGTGGTCAAAGTGAGGCAGACAATCGCAGGCTTCGCGGTTATTAAGAAGACGATATTGGTCAACCTGAGATATTGAGGGACTTGGCAGCGGCCTGAGGCCACAATGCACGGACCACTGGGCGAAGGATAAAGGCGCGTTCTCAGAAGCTGTTTGTATTCCTAGACCTTCTTCTTCTTTATCACGCTCTTCGAGGCCATTGAAGATTATTAGCCTGAATTGAACCATGAGTTCCAAGCCCTGATATTACAGCCCTTGTCACAACAGGCCATTTGATTTGATAGTGCGCTGAAAAGGAATGCGACGAGTAAGGTGGTGCATACCTCCCCACCTTTGCTAGGTCCCGGTACAACCTGAAATGAAGTGGCTACATATGGCGCTAAAAGCACGCAAAAGTCACCTGAAATTTTGACCTGGAATTCAGTGGGAATAGGCCCTAAAATGGCCGAAGCCGATCTCGATCCAGAGGGACTCGACCTCGAAGATCCCCAAGCCTGGATCAGTCACAATTACCGAGAACACCTAATAACCAAAGTTGAAAAATGGAACCCCATCTGGGACCAAGCACCGCAAGCCGATGTCTTCAGCTATTGTATAAGCATCGCACAACTGCAACGCATGCGGATACAGCGACTACAAATACAACTTGCATCAGCTGCAAGAAAAGCATACGAAGGTGCAGATACAGACAGTAACTGGAAAGATTGGGATAAAACTCTTAGTGAATATGGTAGGATACCCCACCTCGTTTACCTACTGCATCTTGCGAAGCCAGGGTGCTGACATTGTCACGCTCAGTTTCTGCAGTCCAAGAACATGACTACATGGAACAACGCGGATCAGGCGGGAGAGACCCTTTCCTGATAACAGGAGAGCGTTATATGGACAGGAAGGTTCTTGAACAGGTCATGCATGGCTTCCAACTTTCGGAATCGACTGATTCGAATCCGACTGGTGAACCTTCGCTACGAGTATGGCAAACAACTCGACGGGCCCCTGTTCCGACACGAGGAGACAACCGTCTGAAGAAGCTTCTGGCCCGGATTGGTATAGCTGCTATCGGGACTGCGTTTCTCATTGTCCCGATGTGGCTGTTGATATGGGTTGTGTGGGAAGACACCTGGGTGGCGCTGTGGTCGACAACCATTTTTGTTGCTGTGTTTGGGGTGCTGATGGCGTGTGTACTGGAGAATGAAATTGCGGTTCTCTCAGCATCTGCGGCTTATGCAGCTGTGCTAGTGGTCTTTGTCGCCCTTGTTGCGGAACAGGCCCGGGGTCAAGATGAGAAGGGTTCATAATCAGAAAATGTATTCTGTGGTTAAACACCATGGCCGGTTATTGGCTTTGAGGGAGACTGAAACTCGATTGGACCTTACGAAAGGGTTAATTATATGTATCTCTGCTACCGTGGTCCTGCATGACATGATACAAATATTTACTTCGAAATGCCCGTATTCTGTCTCCAACATCATTTGGTAGGTACCCTAGATACCTACTTACCGTACAGCTAGGTTGGTAGACAGACAGCACAACAACTCAAGACAGTCGCTGTTCGTGCTCAGTTCTGGTTTTCCTTCAGTGTGACACTGTAAACCATTCCTGCATTTTAAACCATCCCGGACCCCTTCCCTATTTCGGAGTATCATTGAAACTTCCAGGTCTTTAGATGTCGCACCACGCTGTTCCAAATTGCCGAATCATTTCTTGTCTCGGCCAGACCTGCATCCCCTCCCGCCCAGCTGGCACCCCATAGTCCACATGGTTCTTTGAGCCAAAGAGTCTTCTGTCTCTGTCGGAAACATCGTTCGAGTCGGGTGTGTAAAAGCCATTCATTGGCGTGCGCGGCGCTGTTGAAAACGATGCCTAGTCGATTCTTGAGGGTTATATGGTTGACTTCTGTGAGGTGTAGGTATACATGACAATCCCGCTTGACACAGAGGTTGGTGAATTTGACGCAGTCAAAGTACAACGATGCCTCCTCATCGGTTGGAAAAGAGACCAGGATGCGTCGTTGACCGAGCTCAAGTACCAGCTGTATGTTGTATTCTGCCCTTTCGTGTGGTGCCGGTTGATCCACTGGGAATGTCGAAGGGGAGATTTGAGATTTGTTTGCGTCCATATCGTTTCGTGAAAGGGAATAAAAGAAAGCCGACGTGAAAGGTGACGAGCGGGTTGCTAGCAGGAGAAGCCTGCGACCAGCATCGTATTTAAGAAGGACCCAACCTCTAGGACTCAATCTGGTGTGCTGTGGCTGAGTCGTGGAGGCAGCCCAAGGCCCCAACTCATTTCTCGCAAGCGAGTTGTGGCGTTGACTACCTGGTAGGGAAAGTAAGGATAGATGCTAAGGCTGAGAAGGCATCTCTGCCCTAAAATTTGGGCCCATTCTTAAGGCGATCCCATTGTTGGCAGTTCTGAGAGCGAGCTTACTGCGCGCCTACCGGCTCTGAAATAGGATGTTGACAGTCTTGGCGGCAAGGTGAAATTAGTGGATCAGCACTCAGGGGCTCAGGGGCTAGACCCACCTGGCCCCCCTTGGTTGACTGGCCAACCATGACACCTCGACATGTCATTGTCTTGGTCGACCTCTTTGATGTTTCGAAACACCTAGCATAGTAGCTATCTTTGTTTATACCTGATGAAATTCTTAGGGGATGTCGTGGCAAATCACCGAGGGTGCGCATGGATGAGCATGAGGTATGGTAACTGGTAATGGCAGGTGGGTCACTGTAGGTATAAAGACAGTGGTTTAAAAATCGGTCAGGACTTGGGTGCCTTTCATGCTTCAGTCACGCATTAACGTACGCTTTTCCAACTCAAACTCATATTAGCCACTAACTGTGAATACCTGGGAGCTCCATGAGGTCCCAGTATTCCTCAAAGGTTTCAACACAGGTGCCGCCTATACTCTTACCCATAGCTTCCCTCCTCGTGAACCCGTTGCCCATGAATACAAACCTATTTTGTCTGATAGAGGGCCCGTTCCTACTACCAACCATGCCGGGATAACCATAGCCAAAGTCGTAGTCCTCCCACCTTGGATGCCTCATCATCTCCACGAAATGGAACGCACTCCCAGGGTAAATACCAATTACCCTGTCTTCCCCTCCCTCGCCGACTCTTTTGTACCAGCTCTGGCATCCTTCTGTCCACATACTCCCCCTCAGATACGCCTGAGCATGTTCGTTGTACTCGTCCATGACACTCCTTTGAACCTCCATGCACCTTACGCCTTGGGTCTGCATCTTCCTCACACACTTGTAGATGTACATGCCCTGAGCTTGGATAGCCTGCACCAACCCTCCATTCGCAACCGGGGAGTTGGGACCCAGAAACATGAAGTAGTTGGGGAAGCCAGACACCGTTGTGCCAAGGTAGCACTCTGGGTTAGTACCTCCATCCCGGTGACAACCGCTCCATCGCTCCGCAAGTCTCACCCCATCACGTCCCACGAGCTCAAAAGAGGGGATGTACGACGCTTCATATCCTGTAGCGCATACCACCACGTCAAATTCTCGTTCTTCCTCCTCCTCCTCGCTGGCCGAATGTGACAGCATGATTCCCCGCCCGGTAAACGTCTTGATAGAGGTACCTGGACTCCCTCCAGCCTGGTTAGACTGTGGATCGAGGAAGACACACTCCACTCTATCATCCAGCAAAGTCTCCAAGAAATCCTTGCTCGGAGTTACTCGTCTGCAACCAACAGAAAATTTCGGAATCAGCCGTTTAGCGATAATCCTGCCTTTTTCTGAGGTCTCCACCTGAAGTCGTGACTCCATACTCTTTCGACAAGCTTCCTGGGTTGCACTTTGAGGAAATCGCCCACCGCCTGAAGCCCTGAAACCAGCGTTGCGTTCGTTAGTGAGAGCGCGACGGTGGGCGAGAAGGGATTTGGGGTCTGAGCTGAAGGTGAGCTGTGTCGAGGTGGGATAACTGTTGTGTTCATCTACGAACTGCGCAGGTTGTGCTGATGGTTTGGATGGAGGGCACGTAATCCATGTCGAGGAGCGGGCAAAAAGTGTCGTGGTTTTAGCCTCTGCTCGGAGTCAGTACAAGGAAAATTCCAAACAATACATGGGGCCTAGACCTGCCTTTTGCAACTTCGGGAAGTATCTGTACCCCTGAAGAGCCAATGCCAATGATTGCCACGTTCTTGCCGGCGACTTCCACCGTCTCATCCCAGAGGGCTGAGTGGACAAGCTGGCCTTTGAAGCGATCCATCCCCCTAATTTTGGGCCACTTTGGGGTTCTGGATAATAGATGGTCAGAAAAGGAGTTCGCATGGCGTACCTGCAAGTGGTGTGTGATTGGAACGTGAACTCACTGAAGAAAGCCTGTCGCGTTTACCAGTGCATTGCATCGATCCTCAAACTCGGTTCCCTTGGCCATGTCAATGACCGTGAGGCACCACTCTCCAACCTCTTCATCCCAGACTGCACTGGTCACTTTGTGCCCGTACTTGAAGTACTGCTCACAGTCGTACTTGACTGCTGTGTCTTTGAGATAGTGATGGATACTAGAGGCGGTGGCGTAGTAGCTGGGCCAATGTGGATTGGGACAGAAACTGTAGTTGTAGATGTGGGCCGGAGTATCACACTGGCATCCCGGATATCTGGAGCAAAAACGATGGCCTTTTAGCGTCTGCTCAATTGTTAATGAGAGTTGCCAATCTTACCTGTTGACCAGCCACTTGCCACCAAGATCGCCATTCATCTCGTAAACCTGATAGTCAAGGTTCTCCCCCTGCATCTTCTGACCTACAATGATGGATAGGAGTAGCCCTGAATAACCGGCACCGATGCATACCAGACGGAAAGGCCGAGGCGATCCCAATGGAGCCTCCTGGATTTTGTAGCCACGGCTCGGCGTAATGCTACCCATTGTGTGCTGTTGAAGTGGCTTGGAATACGGCGACTCTGTGTGTCCAGGAATACACTCGACAGTGCTGAAAAGAGATTTCTCAAGATCGAGTGTGCACATGGACTCTTCACGAGGAACCGAGCCATTTATACAGCTTGGTCCAAGCGAATAACGCGGGCACTGGCGAGAAGGCTCGACCTTGAGCCTCTGAACACGTGCCAAAACACTGCCAGATGAGGCTCCAAGTACATCTTTGCTGATCTTTCCTGCCGCTGAATCGAGCACCATCCATCATTCGCCCAACATCATAACCCTCAAGAAGTCTGTACAGAAGCCCCCAACGTGATCAACGGAAAGGGAAGAATTCAGATGCACGCAGAGCCTCAGTTTCCCAAGGCTCGTGAACACCGGTTCTGATTTGCTAGAGATCCCTCTCTAACCCCCGCGCATTTCTGCACAAATGAGTATCACAAAGCTACACCAGCGCTTGAAATGGTGCCATCGGTCCTAGTCGAGGGCGAGGCTCCAAAGAAATTCCGGATGAAGTGCTCTCCCGATGCATGCCAAGATGCCATTATCAGTCCTCTATTCCGGGTCAGAATGTTGTCATAACGTAAAATAATGATGCCCAATCTTACTCAGAAAGAGGGGGGAAGATGTGAAGCCAAGAAACTCACCCCATTCGTGCGGACAAATTGGGATAGCTTGAGGTCGCCAGAAGAGGCTCGCCAAGAGAGGATTGGGCGAGAGCAAAAGCCAAGTGAGGGAATTTGTATGGAGCGGGAAGTTATCGAGAGGGGGCGCGGCTCAAAGGATCAGAACACCGGCGTTCAGCAGAGATTGATTCGACCACACTTTGAGGTTATCGCTGTCACAAGCTTCTCCCACCATGGGTCCTTGTTCTCCCAAATCTCGTGCTCTTCGTCGTCAGTGCCAGCACCCCCGTCGTCTGCCTCATGATTCATTGCCTGTTCGGCCACCTTGCCCCTTCGCCTTTCATAACTGTCCAACCAACTCCATGCATGTTTGAGAGCCTCATAAGCAGGAGGAACATTGCCTCTGGGTCCCTTGCATATTGGATCGAACCACGATTTGATGGCCTGTCTATCAAGCTGGTCATAGGCCACGAGACCTCCGATGAAAAGAGCGAAAAGCGGGGTTTGAGCCGTGAACAACGGCCCGGAAATGGGTTGATACTGCACAGTAAGAATAAGTCGAGCGAGAAGTTCCTTGATCACAGGGTCATCTCTTCTTCGACTAGCGATGGACACGATTTTTGTTAGACGGCACTGTCGAATACATGATGGAGAAGGTCAATAACGTACCGGAAAACCCTACATTGCAAGTATATTTGTGCGGCAGCAACGTAGCTCTCACCAATCAACTCAGTGACCTTGGCTTCCGTGTTGACCTTGCCCTTGTCGTTCAGCTCGCAGCTGTCGAGGAGCTCTTGAAATGTATTGTAGCCGTTCGAGAGCGCTGACCATTGCCGAAAGTTGCTGAGTATATCCTTGATGCCGTTGGCGGTAGCTAGTTGTGCCAGAGAGTATGGACGTCTGTCTCGCATGGAGGCCAAATACGTGATTTTGGCCAGGCAATACATCAAATCTGGAGAAAGCCCGGCAAACCCATCGATTCGGCGGCACTCTCGCTCACTGCCTCTGATGAGCCAGTTGTAGCACTCAATGTCGGCACCTGGGTCGAGAGGGTGCACGCAATCACTGAGAACGCTGTCTAGGCACACTCGAATTGCTAGCTGGGACCGCGTCTTGGTAATCTGGGCATTCTTGGGATCTTGGTGGGTTCTAGCTGGATCCGATTGCCCAAGCACTCGTTCGGCCACTTTCGCTCCCCGGTACCATTTTGGAGGCTCCTTCTGTGTAGACTTCATGTTGTCTCGGTTCCGGTCCCAAACGACTATCTGTCAAAGAAAACGTCAGCAGAGTGGAGCGAATCATCACTGAGTCCAAAGAGCTCACCTCGGTATGGCCCAGAAGGATAAGACAAGCAACCAAACTATCCCCGTTACCTGGTAAGCGATTTCTTGTGTCCTTGAGTTCTTGGCTTGTATGCCAAATAGCTTGCTGATGGTGATGGGTAGCAAGTTCTTTTGCCTTGTCTTCCGCAGAGTAGTCAAGAATATATGAAAGAGAAACCGACAACATGGCGTGCTTGACCGCGGGTGAGCTGTCCGCCATAGGTGCAATTTGGTTGAGATAGGCATTGTCATTCTTGACAACTGTTCTCCCATTGCAGACAGCTTCGATAACTAAAACGAGACAGCACACGTAAGCTTGGAATACTCTGCTGGCATGGCACCATTGCGGGGCCAGTCGGGACACCTACAGAATTTGAAGAGATAACGATCAGACTTCTCAAACCTCCCGCTAAGTTGAACGTCACCGAATTGCGGTGGGGGTCGGATGATTTCACTCGGAATCAAATTCCCGGCGGCCCCGTTTCCACCGCCGCCATGGCGACTCTCTGACTCGGTGGGTGGAAAGTATCGGAAATGCACATTAAGCGCATGACCTTGCTCATGACGTGGAGAACCATAAAGTGTAATTCTTGTTTTGATGAATCCGTCAAGCACGATACGACGACCTCTGCACTCTTCAACAATGCTGCGGCATCGGACAAGTGCATGGGGGTGGCTGCAGCTCCCTTCTTCTGATGCGTAAGGATTCTCCAGGTGAACCTCTTCCTGCTCCTGAGAAGATGTAGGGATCTTAGCCGGACCAGCCGGCACATGCTGCCGGGTATGGAGAGGTTCGACCCCTGCGGTATCTTCGTTGAGCAATTCTTCATAGCCTGTTCAAACTTGTTAGCGACTATCTAGCGACGCGAAGATGGCTGGGCTCAACAAGCTCTTGACTTTATTGTACTTACTTCTCTTTCTGCCTTGGTTTGCAGACACGGGGCAAATGGAATCGCTGTGCAGACCTGCAAGGTGGGTGGAATTAAGGTGGTTTCCGAGGCTATCGAGCCCTGGGAGTATGTCTTGGTGTGGCCAGGCGTACAGTTGAGTCCAGTGGAACATCTCATCGTCATCCGATATCATGAAGTTGTCATCCGGTCCGGCGTTTGAACCGTGGTCGTCCTCATGCTGATCATTGGGCGCGATAGCACGGACTGTCTCTTCAGTGTGGCGTGGTGTCCATGAACCACCGGATCGCGCGACCTTGGCAGCCCGCTCCATGGCTATACAGCAGATCTGAATTGCGGATCTTCCTGGCTGCTGTGAACTAGCAAGAGAGAAAGAAGTCCTGTGAAGACGAGACACGGTGTGCGGGCCCGGCGAGCCTGCACTTATCCTTGTTCCGATCAAGTAGCGTCCCACAGCGGTGTTCAAGTACCTACGTCGATGTATTGGTGTGGTAAGCCAGCCTCCATCGCCGAAACGCCTCTTTGAGTGGTGATGGGGTAGGTTACCTTGTACCTTGGGTACCGTGGGATGGGTTGGAGTGGGGCCGGAAGAGAGAAGAGAGAAGAGAGAAGAGAAAAGAGAAAAGAGGGAACATTGGCACATGGTGCAAGGAGGTGGGGCCCTCGTCAGGAGCGGAATCGGAAATGCGGGGCAAATGGCAGCATCTTACGGGAGACAATGTCTCGCAGAAGTCTGGTGCCCAAGGCACAACTGCCCCGACGCGCACTCAAGGCCTCTGACTACTGAACTCCATCAAATTCTGGCCCACCACGTCACTGAGCACGGCCCGCTCAGGAGAGAAAAGAGAAAACAAAGCCCCAAAAACGCTGAGTGGCAATGGCCTGTGACATGTTACATCTGTTTGATCATGAGCAGGCATGCTCCGGCGACTCATTGGTCTGCGCCCTGCTTCGCGAACAGTTCCATGACCTTATCACGGGGTTACAGCAACAAAGCTTGAGTGGCTGTCCTTTAGAGGATATTGGGAACTTCCTCGTCAACATTCTGCACCTGGCTTCAGAATTGGCTCGGTCCGTTGTCAAAAGTCAGCACCTCCGCGACTTCACCACGGACCTGGCTCCATTCCTTGCAAGAGAGCCCGGTCTCCGCAGTACTAAATATCTGGATGGCAAACATGAGGCTTTAAAGTCAGCATTGTGCCCCCTTTTTCCTTACCGATAATATCTTGCACTTTTCAATAATACGAGACGTGCTCGTTGACTCACAAAACTGCACTTGGTAGAAAGATCAGTGGTCAGGTTCGCGAGCTGTCAAAAACGGCTGTTGGTATCTGGAAAAATTCACCAAGTATCCCGTCATCCTTGCACGCTTACCTCCGACCACCCCTTCCGACACCCACACCTACAGGCTTGAGGCCCGAATCGTCCTTGTCGCAGTCCACATCCCTTCCTTTTCGTGACAACACCTCCACACCTGTAGGGTCGAGCTTCACAGATTCTTCAATGGCAACGCCATACGCTGCCGCGAGCTGGGACAGCCCGAGTGTCGAGTCCAGCACTGTACAACAGGAAAGCAACATGGGAGGAGATGAATACGACGACAACATAGAATACGCCGTGGTAACCTCTTTGGAGGAGATCAATAGCCGTGGGCGAGGGGTTGGGCCTTACATATGCTCACACAGAGAGAACTGTAACAAGGGTGGTGTGGACTCAAATGGACGAATGAGAGTATTCAAAAGAAACTCTGACATCAAGTGAGTGGCCTCTTTCAGACAAAACGTTTCACCAATACACTCTGGAATCTGATCTTGATCACGAAGAGCACATCTGGAGAAACATGAGAAAAGGTTCAAGTGTGACCTGCCTGGTTGTCCCAAGCCTGAGAAAGGTTTTGCGCGCGCAGACCAACTGGAAAGGCACAAGCAGAAGGTGGCTCACGGATTGTATAGGGATAGATAGAAATGGCAAGGGACCGGAGTCAGGTTCTTGGGGTGGCAAAAACCATGTGACGGCAAGCACAATGGCATAACGTGAGAAAATATGAGAGAACGCCAAAACATGGAGTGAAAAGAAATTGTACAATGTTTTGGGATTTTATTTTGCGGTAGTTGCGTATTCAAAGTCAAAGATTGTTTGTCGAGTACCCGTAGGTAATGAATACGAATGAGACTCATAAGGGCGCGATCTTTTGGCCTTCAAAATGGGCCTTCTGAACGCTTTTCTGAACTGACTTTCAAGGCCAGGCCATGGCCGGGTCTGAACGTATTTCTGAAAGCCTTACTAAGCAATTAATCCACTAATTTAGAAGCCTATTTTAGAGCCGTGATCTATGACATGGTGGCTAGTGGTGGTGGCTGAAGTGTAAATAAGGCCCTGTACTGGGTGCCCCGGGCGCTGTGGTAAATGTGGGTGTTTTGGAAAGGCAATTTGGAGACCTTATCTGAATAGATTCATAGCGAAAATGGTCTAAGTATATGTAGACTAATGTGGATATTTTCTAGGGATTTGGTTAGCTAGAGCCTAAAATGTACGAGCGGTTTTTTGAAGAATAACTTTCAGGTAAATTTAGCTGTTGAACTGTTTTATGGACAAAAGATTATATCTCTGACTGGTTCAGAATGAATGGACTTAGAAAGACTTTTTGGCCAGAAGATCGCGCCCTAAGTTGCAATATCCTAAAGATAAGGTACGGTACCGCCTTTGAAGACGCCCTACCTGGGTAGTTCACTATGAAGTGAGTCGGCGAAAGACATTATAGAGACTATAGCGCCCGATAATTGAAATTGATGATTAATGCGTGTTGTTGAAAGTAAACTAAATATGGGTATATATTGAAGGTTTTCTCGAGGTAGTGGCCAGATTTCTCCAAGCAGCTCACAAGAATGGCGGTTGCGCATAATCCAACGTCCTACTAAGAGATATATGTAAACTAAGGAAATGGTAAACGAAGGACAAATTTTACCCCCTATGACACAATATCTAGTTGGGGAGGTTTGAAGCTCCCCTGATCTCGTTGATAGCTCGGTCAGGCAATCCCAATAACTTTGCCTCCAGCTCGCCCAACTCAGCCTCCTCAACTCTCATGGCCCTATTCTCTTGGATGTTGGCACTATTTGTGTCTGCTGAGTTGTTCCGTCTCTCCCAATATGGCCTCTGCCCATCAAGAGGAGCCATCAACCTGTACCCCGGCACGGCTTCTTCAGGCATATTGTTGCGGAGCCGAGCGCCGCAATGGATCCAGACATTCAATGATGCTACTGAGCGGTTGACCTGCTGGTGTCCTGGATTGCGACATTTCCTCCCCATTACTGCGTGCAAGAATGTGCGAGTGTGTCTGATGGATGCTTCAGCCCACCGGGGTGGGTTTGGGTGAGGTTGGCTATAGTTGGGAAACCGGTTGCTCAGCTTATTCTCATCAAATCTGACACCAAGATGTGTGTTGAGCTGTCCAATCATCCATGCCAAGGGGGCGAGTACCAGCCCTTCGACTTCATCGATCCACCCCAAGTCGCTGTGGTTTCCGGGGAAATAAACTTGGTGCACATCATGCCCCAGCATCAATGTTGGCATGTAGGGCGCACGGGTTTCGTGCAAAGAAAGGGCATGGAAGGGAAAACGGACATCTCAAAGCACATGAAAGTTAGCGTGTGCAGTTCGGCGACAATAATTGACTGGACTCACTATCTGCCACTTCAGACACAAGGTCATTGGTATTCTGTTGCTTTCCGAGCTTGCAAAGAAATTTGAGTGGCTTTGCCAATCCTGTGACAGGCCAACCAAGAGAACCGACGGTGTCGAAACAGCATAAGGCATCGATGCTGACATTATAGCCTAAACCATGGAATATGTGAATAGTTGAGGTTACATCTTCATTGGCCCCACAAGGTTTTACTTACATCCATATCGTTGCCTGACCTTTCCTACATAGACTCGTTCAGAATCACATAGGCTGCCCTTTTTGCATGCTTTGTACACCTTCTTGTGAAATCGCTCGTCAGGCTTTTCAGGCAAACCAACAATGTCAATGAGCTTGGCAAGGTACCGCGCGGCCCAAGCACCTAGCAGAGAGAAGTTAGCTTCATCGGAACCGATGCTGGATTAGATTAACCTAGAATTACCACGAGAGTATCCTATTAAGATAATTCTATCACCTGTTCGGTAATGTTTGGATAGGCTTCCTGTGAAAACAGACATCGCCGGTCAGCAACTCACACCATGGTCATCGGCAAAACAGGATGATCTTACGATATGCGTAAAGAACATTCTTCAAAGTTCCATGACCACTAACCCCTACAGCGATGCATGGTTAGAGAACGTCTTTGTACTCATGTGACAGATAATTGACACGTGAGACTTACCTCCTTTCATCTTGGTGGAGATGCTTCCATCAGAGCCAACACCATTCAGCAACACTTCGTAAACATTCTCCTCCTCCGAAATAAGATCCACAAGTTCGGACACTACAGTTTTACGACCAGACCGTATGCCACCTGCCCATGTTCCTGAATTCCTTGTGTCAGAGTCCAGCTCGATAAATTCGACAAAAACATAATGTATACTCACCGTTGAATGAGGCTATCCATAGGCGTGGAGGTCGCTGCCTGGTCTGGGTTGTCTGGTATCCCTGTTGTACTGTGGACATGACGACGAATTTTTGGAGTATCTGGGCTGGAAGGGAAGGTCTCGGGGTGACCACGTATGGTATTTGGAATCGTCTAGTTGTCACGTCTCGAAAATGTGGTGTATAAGATGTTGCCGGGCAAAGGGTACGATGGTGATAATAATCTGGGAACTGAAACTTCAGAAAGATAGATGCACTTGAAAATAAAAGACAGAAAAATATGATAAGATGGAGTTGGAGCTGCGAAATCTTATAACGGCACGCGAAGCGTTCATAGTGCTGCATTTTGGGTCATTGGGCACTGACAAAATGGAGAATATAGGCAAGCTTCCAAAATTATCTACACCAGTTTCCTCCTCTTGCTGAGCTGGCCAGCATGACCACAGGTTTAACGGCCTGCATGTGTCGAGGTAATGTGCTGTAGCAGACCTCGAGTCGTGATAAACGAGCGCCATATCAGCGCTCTGGGAAGGCAGGTCTCACATCTGATAGGTACAATGTGATGTTCTCTCTTTTCCCTCAATCTCGACCCAATGGGATGGCTCAGCCTTACTGTTTCTGTGTCGCTAGGTAGCAGTCTGTGTGGAGTAATGGGTAAGGTCTCCAACCAGTTTTTCACAGCTCAGAGATGGGAGTTGACCTCGGTCAAGGATTTCCCTGATGGTCCCTGATTGGATAAAGCTCCCCGCAAGTTCTCTCTTTTGCCCCTTTTGTGCAACCAATGTTCAAGCATAACGCGCTGTTGGCCAAAGCTCAGTGCCCCGCTTGTCTTCTCTCTTTTCCCCAAACTACGGGGATCGATGATGCCTGCCCACGTGCTATTGCACAATTTTTGGTAGCCACTGTTGGAGGTAGCACGGCCCAGAATAAGGAGCCCTGTTTCATCGCTAGAAACCATGAACCCGTAGATGTTAACTTTCGCAAATTGCCAGTTGGAGGATGGAAATACCAGCCACAACAAAGGTTCACGCAGAATCACGACGATCTCGCCGAGAATTTTTGGACAATAGCTTCATCGCTGACACATGGAAAACCCCTCGAAGAGTGAAGCGTTCACTCTTTATAGGTACCTGCTGGGGGATGTTGAGTCTAAAGTTCACCTGTATAAGGGGTTATCATACACCTGAGGCCAGCCGAATACCATACATCATCTCCGACCAGCCTTAGAGTATTCGAGAAGAGGATGCGGTTGCTTCTGAGAACGAACGTAGATGACAGAGTTGGGCATCGTCAAACCCCTGAAAATGCCAAGCCGGGACTCAGGGTTTTTTCACAGCCTGGGGAACGCTTGGCATTGCAACGTGTGAAACCCTCCTCAAGGCGGCCAGTCAAACGTCGGCTCCAGAAATGAGAAAAGAGAAAAGAGAGAAAAGAGAGAAAAGAGGGAAGAGAAAAGAGAGAAGAGAGAACTCCAGGGCTACAAGCTATAAGCGAAAAGTCCCCATTTGATCCTGCTCGGGATGCATACCTTACCCACCTCAGTCGATTCCGCCGATATCTGGTTTTCTCTTTCTACTCTTGTGGAGTTCTCTCCTTTTTAGCAGGTGCCACTTCTGGCCAGACCCGGTCGTTATTATGGGCATTTTTCAGAGCAAAGTGGTCCGCCATGGGAAGTCATATATCATCGTGGGAGCAGGTGCCTTTGGAGCATCAACAGCACTGCACCTCATTCGGAAGTATCCCTCGGCCAAAATCTACCTTGTAGATCGAAAACCTTACCCTCCCGAACGGGCCGCATCTTGGGACTGGAACAAAGTGATCCGCGCAGACTACACTACACGCGTGTATATGAACCTTGCACTGGAGGCCTTGGAGAAGTGGACAGAGGACAAACTATATCGGGAATTCTATCACCAAAGTGGGCTTGCCTGGGTCGCCGATTCCGAGTTTTACCAGTCCATTATCAACAATTACCGTCAGTTTCCTGGTTCGAAACATCAGGTACAACTCCTGAGCACCCAGGATGTCCGCAATCTCTGGGGAGGGATTCACGCCGATGCTGTGTACCAGGATGTCAAGGAAGTCTTTTACAACAAGACAGGGGGGTGGGCTGAGGCTGCGAATGCACTTCGGAAGGTTATCGACACAGCCGTTCGTGAAGGTGTCAAATACGTCGAGGCTGATGTCAAGAAAGTTCTTCTCGACAAGGACGGGTCTGCAATTGGCGTGATCACCGAAGAAGGGAGAGCCATACATGCATCACACACTGTTCTAGCCACCGGCGCCATGACCGCAAACATTCTCGCCGATAGCGCACCAACGGAGCCAAAACTTCAATTGGGAAGCCGGATGACAGCAGCTGCGATCTGTTCCGCAATGGTAAAGCTGGACGAAAGAGAAGCCAGTCTCTTCAAGACAGGTCCGGTGTTCGCAAATGATCTGGACACTGTCATAGGTATGACAGCCATTGAGCAGCCCGTTTCTACTTCGTAACAGCATGTCTACTATTACCTGTACAACTTCTGGAGCATTACAATGGGTATAATCTCTATCCCCTTCATAATTCCTAATACTGGTCTTTTGATCTCTTAAATCATTTCATCAATATCGTTACGCTTCTCAGACTAACACAGTCCAACACCAAATGACAGGAGGTAGTTTGCCACCAAACTCCGACAATCAGCTTAAGGTGTACAGGGATGAAAGCTTCAGGAATACAGTTCTCCATGAGGCATCTGGGCAAGAGATATCAGTGCCGCCAAGCAAGCCTAGCTACGACCAATGGGATTTGTCACCAGGGATGAAGAAAGAGGTCAGGTCAAGCTTTGAGGGCATCTTTGGGGAAAAGGCTAAGGACTGGGAGCTTTTCAATTATCGAATCTGCTGGTACGTTGAAACTTGGTAGGTACTAGGTACCTACCTACTTAGGCATCGCGCACCATCCATTGAAAACTAACACGCATTATTACTAGGGATGCCGTCACACCGACCCAAGACCCAATCATCTGTGAGCACCCTCATGCAAAGCAGCTGTTTCTGGTAACAGGTGGTTCATTTCACGGTTACAAGTTTCTCCCGATTATCGGAAAATACGTTGTCGAGATGCTTGACGGAACCCTCAAACCTGAACTAGCCAAAATTTGGGCTTGGGACAAGGAGAACAATGGGGAGGCCCATGAAGGCATGTTTCCAACGCGGGAGATGGCAGATGTTTGAACTTGGGGCCGCAGAACTCGGTTCTCGGTTTCCTTGCGCCGCAATACTTCCATGGACGGCACTTTCGTTTGAATCAGCGTCACCGGCAAGGCCATGCGGCTCTGTTCGAGTTGCGGGATTTTCTTTTTGGCGGTGGTCGTTCAGGATGCACATGAGGTGTGGGGTGCATGACATCGTTTCTGCACTTTCAAGCACCCTCCGTTTTTTACGCTATCCGGGTCCAATAGGGGTCTTCACTGCGTAACAAGTTATGTTTTAGGAGGGCCAAAACGAGGGGAAATTAGTCAGAGCCTTGCTCAAGCCCTTTCCGCTATTCGCCAGCAAAACGAATGGCAGTCCAGCGAGAGCCTTATCCCAAAAGGGGAAGGGGCAAGCTGAGTATGGGGTAATCTTTGACTATCTATATAGTTATCATTTCCTGCCTAGCTTGCCTATATCAACTCCCTGTTATTTGAATATTGGCCTAAGATTTTCACCTACCTTACCTTACCAACGCAGACTGGTTGGAGGACGGGAACCCAGAACCCAAAACAAGACAAAGCTTGCTGCAAATGGCTCCCAGTATATTCCTGTATAGTTTCACCACGGTGTTGTACTATCCGGTATTTTCAAGCTGACACTTATTGTTTCGCCAGAACTGGAGGAACAGGATACATTGGTGGTTCTGTGTTGGCTGCTCTCGTCAAACAACACCCAGAATATGATATCACGGTGCTCTTGCGCAATGTTCCGGATACCTTCACCTCCCAATACCCCAACGTGAAGATTGTCCGAGGAGATTTTGATGATACAGCACTCATTGCTGATACTGCATCCAAGGCAGATATTGTCATTCGTATGTGCTGGTCACCCCTTTGTTACAACCCATGAGTCGTGTTGACGATACTGAATTACGCACGCAACAGACAACGGGAACAGTAAACATGAGCCCTCCATCCAAGCACACATTGATGGTCTGCTTCGGAATGGCACCCCTTCTTCTCCTCGTTTCCTCATCCGTCTTGGCGGTACAGGCGCCATCGCCGACTGGGCAGACTCGTCCTACTACGGCGAGAAGAACCCAAGGGTTTGGAATGACATTCACGATATCGAGCAGCTGACGTCCCTACCGGACACAGCGTTGCATCGGAACATCGAGAAAATTGTCCAAAAGGCAGCAGTGGATCACGGCGATCGTCTCAAGTGTGCAATCATCTGCTCTTGTGGAGTGTATGGACCTGGAAAGGGACCCGGAAGGGCACAGAGCCAATTGGTGCCTCTGTTCTGTGATGAGATCATCAACAACACCAAGCGTGCGTTTTACACTCAGTCCGGAGGAAACGCTCGAAGCTGGGTGCACATCGATGATCTTGTGGCGGTTTACATAAAACTGGTCGAGGCAGCCGCAGCTGGCGGGGGAAATGCTGACTGGGGTCTTCACGTACGTACAGATCAATATGATACCTATGATGAGAAGAAACACTGACACGTTGTTCTGGTAGGGATATTACTTCACAGCCACGCAGGAAGTCTCCCAGCTCGACTTCGCCACTGCCATTGGCCGTATTCTCAAGAAGCACGGTGTTATTGAATATGAGGAGCCTGTGCAGCTGCCTCTAGATGACATCTGGAAGACTGCACAAAAGTCTAAATGGCGCTACACAGGGATCTACGCATTTGCTTGCAACACACGGACAGTCAGCGAAAGAGCACGAAAGGTCCTCGGTTACGAGCCAAAAGCCCCGAGTCTTTTTGACTGCCTTGAAGAGGACGTCTTGGCCGCGGTGAGAAGAGGAGCATGAACAACGGGCCTTTTCATTGGAACTTCTTTGGCTTTTTATTTACTCTGCAAGTGGATCATCTTGGCTCTGTGGGGAGGATTGGTGCAAGGCGTATCCAGGGGCTCGGGGGCTTAGGGGCAAAGCCCCACTTTGGCTGCTTCAAGTCAATCTAATCTGACTTTGTTCTTGAGATAGGTTCGCCGTACGATACAACCTGGATATTAGCTTGATGAGATTTTGAATAGGCTGTGTTGTTTGACTCTCTGACATATCTACATACCTGGTTCATGCCAGTAAGAGGTGAAAGGCTCGACATGTCACTCGACCTAGAAACGTGTCGCCTCCCATTTCAGCAGATAGAACATAACAACATCAGACCCCAGGGTACGCAGTTTTTTCTTCTTCCACGTTATAGTTCTCAGCTCCACAGCTGAGCAACCTTCATGGTTCATTCAACCAGTGCCGGATAATTGCAAGATTGGTGGAATTTGGCCCTGTCCGGTCGTCCAGATACGCACCTCGGCAACGGCACCCCCGGTGGCGGAGATAATTGAGCCCAGATACTTACCACACCACCGTGTCGGTACTTGCATGCAAAGATTCGCCCAGCTAGGTGATCGCTATCGAGTTTTCTCGGCAATCGAACAGCTTTTGTATCCTAAATGTAGATCGGATGTTGTCGACTCGATTGTCGGGTTTCACCCTTGAGATAAATTGGTAAACCAGTCGGAGATCCACAACCCACCTCGGAATGTTACCGTGAGATTTCTCCGCCGGGTCTTGACCTCATCCAGAAGCACTATACCGTTCTGATAGAACAGAACCAGACTATCATGAGGCGACGCACTATAGGGCGGGTAAATGCATCCATCATAACGACCGAAAACCCCCCTTTCTGTCATTGATAGTTGTCCTGTTTCTACAAATCTGGCCTAACTCTCAGCTTGAGTTTAGCTTCATTCAGAACGGCTCGCAAAAATGAGAATCTCTGTGTTGGCGGCTTTATTCTCCGGGGTGCTGGCTGCTGCCTCGCCAACACTTGACAGACGACGACAGCCTCTAACAAATGCAAACTCAACCGATCTAGCAAACATCGGCTTTGCAACTCAGAATGGAGGGTGAGTGTTCTCTTCTGTCTCTATCTTCTTGAACAGCCTTTGACGCCACTCAGGACAACCGGTGGCCTCGGTGCCAATGCGACAACCGTTACTACCCTTGCCGAGCTCAGTGCCGCCGTCTCGGAAACCAACCCACTGCCCGCCATAGTCTTCATTAAAGGAGCCATCACTGGTGCCACAAAGGTCAGAGTGGGGAGTAACAAAAGCATCATCGGCCTCCCTGGGTCATCCCTCAGGGGAATCGGCTTCATAATACGCCACCAAAAGAACGTCATCATCCGGAATCTTGTCTCGTCTCACGTCGTTGCCTCATTAGCTGAGGATGCCGTGAAGATTGACAGCAGCACCAACATATGGATTGATCACTGCGAGTTCTCCTCCGCTCTCGTTGCAGATAAAGACTATTATGATGGTCTTGTGGACGCCTCTCATGGTTCAGACTTCATCACGGTTTCCCAGTGAGCTCAACTTCCTTCATAAGATCGCAAGTAAAGCTAACCTAGAAAAGCACCTACTTCCACGACCATTGGAAGACGACTCTCGTAGGCCATTCCGACTCCAACGCCGCCCAAGACACCGGCAAACTTCGCATCACCTACGCCAACAACTACTTCCGCAATATCAACTCCCGCGCCCCCCTCATCAGATTTGGCACAGCCCACATCTTCAACAATCTCTACGAAAGTGTTGGCAGCGCAATCAACACCCGCATGTCCGCCCAGGTCCTGGTTGAGTCCAATTACTTTCTGAATGTGACCACAGCAGTGACAAGCAAAGATTCGAAAGAAGTCGGATATGCAAGGTTGGAGGATAATGTCTTTGGGAGGGCAGCCAGTAACGCGCCGGTGGGGAGCTTGACCAAACAGACGATTCCGTACGCGTATACTCTCTTGGGAAGTGGAAAGGTGCAAGGGGCAGTGCCCTTACAGGCGGGGGCGAGACTGAATGTTACCGTGCCGGTGCCTGTACAGCCAGAGCCAACAACGACTTCTTCGTCGACAACCACATCGCAGACAAGCATGTCCACTACAACAACTTTAGTGACCACCACGTCTGCTCCAATTACAACCACGTCGGTCATAAGCACCCCGAGTACGACTACATCGATTACTAGCATCATGGTCACTACCACCTTAGTCGAGTCGCCAACCACAGTCGAGCCAACAGTAGAGCCTACAACTACTGAGCCCACAACAACCACTGAGCCAACCACTACCTCTGACCCAACCTCAGCAACTGAGCTGACTACTACCTCTGAGCCGACCCCAACAATGGAATCTCCCACTGAAGCCCCAACTACAGCAGAGCCTACAACAACAGCAGAACTGACAACAATGACCACAAACCCAGAGCCAACCGAGTCCACCGACCCGGACACCTCCCAACCAACCGAGACACCCAACCCCACCACACCATAGTCAGTTCACTAGACAGTCATATCATCCAGCAATCAAGCAAATCACTCAAGTCAAAGCAGATATATTTTGCCATGAATAGTCACAACCATAGATAGCTCCCCCTGCCAACCCCCCAGAGAGCCGTGACTACTACCCCTGCCACTCCAACCCATTTTCAAACCCACTTAAACAGTAACAGGCGTGCAGCCTCTAGGAGCAAAGCAGACAAAGCCAGGGGAGGCGCAGCAACGAGCATAAGAGGTGCCCTGGGCAAAGGTGAGGCCGTTGCAGAGCTAGGTATCCACTTTGTCAGCTTATTCCTGTCAGATATAGAAACACGTGAAAAAACAACGTACGGTGCCTCCGTTGCCCAAAGTCCCACCAACAGACCGGCAGCAGGTGGCCGTGTCAGGAGGGGGGGAGGGCTCGCCGCTGCCGGAGGAGCAGCCGCAGTCGTAGACGCAGGTCTGGCGCGCGTCGATCTCGCTGTCGGGCTGGGGAGCCGCCGAGACGAGGGCCGTGAGGGCGAGGATGAGGGTGGTGGTGAACTTCATCTTGAAGGTTTGTTCTCGTCGAAAGTGTTGTTTGAATAGTGCTTGAGAGGCTGATGATGAAAGAACTCCAAGTGAAGACGTGATCAGGCCTTTTATACTTTTCTCGAGCGTGATCGTGCCCCGCGGGAATAGAAACAACAACTTCCACCGCGCCCATTGCCATCCCCTGTCACCTCGCACTCTGAGGCTCTATAGGATCTCGGACCCAAACATCCATCTTCACGATGACGACCGTATATTGCTTCCCTCGCCAATAGGACTGGTTCCGCTCTTGTAGATGCCTGTGCAGTTAGCATTAGCGCTCATGCTATCCCTCTTCTGTCTCATAGTCTCTGGGTGGTGCAACCATAGTCAAGTCTCATGATACAACTTTGTCAGCGGGAAACATGCTCTCACCGAGAACAACAACCAAGAAATGCAACATCAGTTGTATTGGTCTCAAAACAAGACCAAAATGTCCGAAGCATCCGGTGCTAACACAAGACAATCTAGTTAGACCCCTTCTTCAGCTCCAATCACTGCTTCCTGCAGACCCTCCCATCACCATCAAGCTCCCAGTCCTCACTACCCACAGCAGTCAAAGCGTAAAACACCCCCGTAGGATCCCACGTATCCTTCACATTCCTCAACTTCTTGTAATTCTCCAACCCATAAAACTGCTCCTGCCAATCCTCCTGCTCAAAGTTGGCCTCATTGAGATAACACCCACCCCCCGGCGTAGCGGCATCAAGAGCAGGCTGCACCACCTCGGTCAAGGCCTTCTGCATCTTCATCATCTCCGCCCTGTCAATCGAGTAGTCCCACTTCCCCACAACAAGACAGAAAGCCATCGCATTCCTCCAAGCAGGATTCACAGAAGAAACCACCCCCTCCCTCAACCCAACCTTTGCACTCGACGCAACACACCCAAAAGTGAACCCCTTCTCCTGGATAGCCATCCTCATCGTCGCAGTCAGATTCTTCCCCATCTCCTCATCCGACACCACCGCCCTGGGCAACAACCTCCCCCCCGTCACCTGCGAGACCGGATACCAGCCATACGGAATCGGCCCAAACGAAGCATTGTAATGCTCCAAAAACGTCTCCGACACCTTGGCCGAATACTCGTACTTCACCCCCCTCGCCGTCAAGTCATCCGTAAAAGGCTTCATCGCCGTGTCCACACACTCCGTCGTGTCACAGTCAGGAACAGTAACGCTATACGTCGTCAACGCGGGGACCTTCCTGTCAGGCCAGGCATAAATCAGATAGACCAGACTGTTCCCCGCGTCAACAAACGGAATGGTCAAGTTCTGCAGTGAGCCGACAGCATCCCAAAAGGCGTTGACATCTTCTTTCTTGTCTGACGCGGCGGCAAAGGTAAAGTTGTTCGCACCGCCGACTTTTCTGTCCTCGAATAGGCGGGTGGTCATGCTGATGACAACACCGAACGTCCCGCCGCCGCCACCAGAAAGAGCAAAATACAGGTCTTGGTTTTCCTTCGGAGTGGCGGTGACAAGAGTGCCATTTGCTGTCACAACCTCCCACTCGAGGACGTTGTCAGCCGAAAGGCCATACTTGCTTGTGAGAATAGAGTGCCCTCCTCCCTGGGTATACCCTCCGGCCAAACCAACGGTGGGGCACGAGCCAGAGAGCGTGAGGTAGCCGGATTCCTTGAGGGAATCCAAAACATCAAAGCCTTGCACGCCAGCCCCGATCTTGACGGCGGGGCCGTTGTAGTCGTCACTGCTGTAGTCCTCGATAATAGAGATGTTCTTGAGGTTGTGGGTCCAAAAGGAGAGGGCACCCTTGCCGGTGGACTTGCCGAGGTAATCGTGGCCTGTGTTCTTGATCACGACGCGGAGGTTGTGCTGGGTTGCAAAGGCGAGGCCGGCCTTGACGTCGTCGGCAGCGGTGTCGGTGGTGAGGTTGACAGCGTAGCTGACGTAGTTGCCGAGCTCACACTCTTGATCTACGGAGGTGAAAGGGTCACAAGTGGCGTTTTGGAAGATGGGCGCGTTGAACTCGACTGGTTCGACGAAGCTGTGTGTTGTGTTTAGTGGCTAACCCAACACAAATAGGGGGGTCAGCTTACTGAGTCTCGGGCCTATCCCAGCCTTCCCTCGCCTCGCCGCATCTCGTCTCATTGTAGATGTTGAAAGGCCCGTTGTGGCACACGGCAGCCAAGGGAACCGAGGCAATCAAGCGGCCACCAAGCGTCTCGTTCAGGGCTGACCAGTCACCGTCTCCTGGCCATGTGCTATCACCAGGGATTAACTTGCAGCTGCTGGTGCCATTAAGACTATGCCCGGTGCCGTTCCAATTATGCCCGGGAGCGAGTGGGGTGAGTAACGACAACGCAGTCGTGGTGTAAAGTTGGTGGTTGACCATCTCGAAAGGACGTTGCTCTACAAGAAGAGGCTCGTCAAGATCTGGCTCGATTGTACTGACGTTCGCTAATATTCCACCGGCGAGGAGAAGGATAGCGAGGAGTAGATTCGAAGTGAAACAGGAGGAACTCGCCCTGATATAACCATTACAGCCCTTGGGAGCCGTCCTCCATGAAGTCATGAGCAGATTCGACATTAAAAATCCAGGAACGCTCATTGCTCGTCTCTACGGCCGCAATATCTCGTCATTCGACTTTTTTCACTTCCAGGTGTGCGTGAACAATCGGGGATTGCTCCCCTTCCCCGCCAAATTATTCCGACATCTGCACAGCAACTCCATCGTTGGCGGAGTTTACGGGCATATTCTGACCCGGGGGTTCGTTGGTGTTGCTGTGCATCGAGGGGGTGACAAGGGACAAAGATTGATGGGTTACACACCTACACCAGAGCGGGAAGAGCACTTGCTGTGCTGAGCCACGATGCAGGTCCAATGGTCGGCTCGGGCGGGTCGATGCTGCGCGGGAATGCCTGCCATTGGGTATCGGAGCAGATTTACGCCCGCAGCGTTGCACACGGCTTCTTACGTGCAGAAGAATGGAGCTTTTTCATCCCAACGAGGGAGTCCTTCGGGTTGGGGTTGGGAAGCCTCGACCTCGGGAGAGGTTCGCTCTGGACGTGATGAGTCAGGTAGTTCGGTCCTCGTGCCCAGCTTTGGTTGTTTGTTACGGCAATTGCGAGAGATCGGTGGTGGCTCAGTCATGCCATTTTTTTGTGAACAGTCCGAGTAGTTCGAGGTGGCTGGTAAGTATGTTTGCGATGAAGGAGGGGTGCATGCCGCTCGATGTCGAGGTATGTCAGCAACAATGCGACATCAGGCGGGATCTTTGCACATCAATTACCAGGAGCAGCAACCCAGTATGCCTTGGTCGGATCAGCTATCTAGAGCTGCTCGCAACGGTGCTATGTCAACGCCGCCTGGTGTTGTTGTCCAAAGCATCGCATCGAGGGACTGGAATCTCCTGTTGTGTGAAGACCGACGGGGAAAAAGAGCGGAATATCGACTTAGCCATCTCATGCTCGGACTGAGATTTATTCCAGGTTAGTAGATTCTCACAGAGTCAGACAATTCGGTAACAATAGGTCGTTATTCATTACACTACATCAACGTAGCACATAGGTAGAAAACATAGCGTCTCAAAATTTCCTTTCTTTCCCCCAGCCTCCAAGGCGAAGGTGCCGTACAGCAATGAACATCGTGTCTGGAGAACAAACTGCGCCCTCCGCCTCGATGAGGGCGCAGCCTGTTCGAGACTCACTATGCTCCCTTCAAAACCTCGAAATAGTCCCAGAAAACTGCAGTTCTCTCTTTGTCCCTTCTTGTCAAACATCTTCTGCGAAAATAGAACCGAAACAAAAAAATATCAAAAGAGACAGTCGTGTACGTGTCAAAGAAAACTGGGAATGTTGGCGGCTACTTCTTCCCCCCGCGAACTGCTTTGGTGTTTCCATCATGGTCCTTGTGCTTTCTTCGGATATGGCGCAAAGCATGATCTGGCCTCGAGACAGCAAATGTTTGAGAGCACCCTGATACTGGGCAAGGGAATAGAGCGATCGAGATCCCAAACTCGTGAGCTCTGTCTTTGTGGCGGGACGCAATGTGCTTTTTTACATCTGATCGGTATTGATGGCCCTTTTGGCAAATTGGACACTTTTCAGGCTTCTCGAGCTGTCGGATCTGGCGCCTGTTACAATCTAGTTAGTCTTTGCACAGTTCAAGAAGATCATTAAAGGGGAAATTCTGCTCACGCCGGGATGAAGGAAGGGTCACGTCGTCGACGGGAGTTGCGAGGCCTAGTAGACGTTTGTGGGGGGCTAGGAAACGCCGTGGTGGGATTCACCCTTGGATTTTCTGCAACTTGAACTGTGCGGTCTCCTTGACCATTTGCTAACTCAAAGGACTCACAGTGCTGTAGTGGAGCCAAGGGTCTCGGAGTAAATGGCAAGAAGGACGGCGGCGTTGACATGGTCATCGACATCTGGCTCGGTGACAAAGACGAGACATCTGATGTAATGGACGGACAGGCGATCGAGTCTGTGTAGGCAGAAGCCGTCCATACAGAATGTGAACTTTCCATGCCGATCTGCGCCAGACACATGCTGAAGTCGAAATCGGGGAAAGAACCCAGATTAGGCGACAAAAAATTGAAATCGATAAGAGTAGGGTCGCCGCCATCCCACTGGCTGCTTTGTTCGGGTTGTTGGTGAATGGCTCCTTCTGACTGTGGCAGCAAGGGGACGCCAGTGTCGAGGGATGCACCAAAAGTAGGAAAGTCCAGGGGAACAAGATATGGATCTTCCCAAAGCCACGGTAGGGGGTCTGTATTGTCGTGTAGGGTCTCCATATTGATATTGGACCAAGGGTGGACATGTACAGCACGATCTGCCCTTGCAGGCCAGAAGGCCGGTGGTTGTGACTTGGTATATGCGGTTAAAGCTTTCTTTTAAAGAGTTGTATTCGTTCGTTTTCGCGTTCCGAAGTTTGCGGATTGCGACCGGTACCTTTTAGCGACGTGCTCCAGGTCCGTACAATCTGGGACATCGCAATGCAGGGTGGAAGAAAATCAGAGGCGGTTGAATTTCTTCGACTCTTCCCACAACATCAGTCCCTGATGTCGTCAAAGTCCAAAGGAGCCGAGCACGTACCTGCATTGTGAAGAAGAACAGTGTATCATCCAACACCGTCTTCCCTCTGGCCCTGTCGAGAAAGAAAAATACAGTAGCTCCAGAACCTCCTCGCAGACCATGTCGGCTCTTGGATCCCCACCTCAGCATACAACGTGCCGCCTGGAGATAACAAGGCTTCTGGTTGCTTGTCAAAGGATACCGAGTACCTTGACCAACAGCCTCCAAGTATTTCCGATGAGCTTGGTTGCTGAGGTGGGGATGTGAGAACGCAATTGGGAGTGCGATGTTCTGGCGGAAGAATACTGCCTGGTGATCAAGACAAAGGCTGCCAGAAAGTTAGTAAGTACTGCAGCTTCAGCATTCGGCATTCACTCACCGTTCGGCGGTCGATGCAGAGGGAAGGCAAAAACTGGAAGAAGTGAAGAAGAGAGTGGCCCGCGCTGAATCCCCCAGGCCAGTGATGGTGGGCCCACAGCACTCATGTGTGTCCGTCAATGAAGACAGACACAACATGAAACTTGAAATGGTACTGCTGCCCAAGGCCATCACTGGCCCTCACAGAGAATTGAATGCAAGGGGTTTGATGAATGGAAAAGAAAGAAGCAGAGCACAACAGTTGAGCAGATGGCGGATTTAAAGCCAGCTTCAACCCCTCACCAGTCCAGCTCCAAAACACAGTTTTACTTTGCACCAAGCAATTGCTCCAACTGCAAAGTACAGTCTCTGTTATCTCAACTGTGCTTTTGATTGGGTATATATGGGGGTATACAAGCTGCACGTTTGCTTCCATTGGAATGATTTCGACCACTGTCTTCGGTCGATGATGCCGATGCAATTGGCTGCCCTACTTTTTCTACCGCCCTCGGCAATAGCATGGACTGAATATCCGGGCGACAACACACAAGGCACTTCACATGGCTCACAGCAAACTGTAGGCCCCCCGCAGTCATTCAACGAGGTCAGGTGGTGCAAGCATCGTCAGTGTAACCCTCACTTGGTATGTCAACTGCGGCCCGTTCGGGACATGTCGCTTGCGGCTGCGGGGCCGTGTTCACCATCGTTCTGCTCCCGAACGACCCCGCACCGGTGATGGAAACAAAACCAACAATCTGGGAGCCTGAACCGGCCCGTCCGGTTGGTCCTAATCCGTTAGGCCCAGTCCGCGTCCTTTGGAAGAAGGCCTGCTCTGCTCTGCCTGCACGTGTTTTTTTTTAGCTTTTAGGTTTCGGTTTGTGCCTTGTCGGTTGCGAAACAATCCGCCGGCACACGGGGCCCCACCCGTAGGGCTGATCAGCCCCCAACACACTGTCATCGTCAACATGTTCATTTTGTTCTAGAACTCACAAGGGAAAGCTTTGGTAAGCGTGGTAAAGATTACAGAAGTAAGGAATAACCTACCTGCATGTCATTACACGCAGCTGTGGGAGGTTATCAGATCATGTCGTGAAACTTGGACCAATAATTCCCGTCTCCGTCCTCACCAACAACAGTATTCCTTCCTCGTCACTACACACCCACGACGTTCGGACAACAGCGATTAGCGCGCTTACCCCAACCAATCCAACCCTTCTATTCGTAACCCTTCACCTAGGTAACTACCATTCCAAGCAGTCCTTGCAGCTCCTACCGCAACCTCCAGTTCTCCATAGAACTTCCCCCCCCTTCACTAGCGCGCGCAGTAAGGCAGATTTCCGCTAGAGTCACGCTTCTTGGCTCTGTATACAACAATCCTTCTGCTCCCAAATCCCCCCCATTCCGGTTATTTTCCACCCAATCACTTCCCCCATGACCGTTGGATCTGTTGGCGGCCAGGCACGGCCAGGCTGCGGCACAGGGAAACCTTAACCCTTTCAGCGGAGTGGGTTGAGGTGGGGGGGCAACTGGTGGCTTGGCGTGAAACAACATACACCATACGCCCTATATGGTTGGAAAATTAGAGAAGCCCCACGGCATGGCTTGCAAAATGTTTCCCTTTTTGAACCGAGAAAGGGTTGTCCCGACTGCCGAGTAGGTACCCGCGGCATTGTCAGTGGTGCCGCTGTCTCGGGTCTCAGCTCGAAGTGGGAGGGGGGGGGGTTTGTAGTGTGGAGGGGAGGAGCTAAACCTCGACGTCAAGGTCGAGCTTAAGCAACAGTAAGGTAGCTGATCTCAAACTAACGGGTCTCATAACCCAATCAGTTGACATATTGTTTAATCCTCTCTACAACAGTGTCATGGCAGGATTTCGTCGTCAAAGTCTGCCATATTCCACAGTGACGCGGCAGTAGGATTTTAGCTGTAAACCACCCCATCCTACAATACCACCTTGGCACTGGAAGGATTTACATGGGATTTGTCACCCTACAGGAACCGAGCCCGGCATCTAGATCACATCACAGACGTTGTCCAGCAATACCCAGTAACTGAAGTTGAAATCGCGCGATTCAATTGGTAAAAGTGGTGTAAAAAGAAGCGAAGCTGTAAAAGTAGGTATAGGAAAATCCCCCGTCGTGCACCCATCCTCCCGTCGTACCCAGCAGATCCTCCTAACTGTTCTCCATGCAAATGCCCTTGGGGGCTGCCCGATTGAATCCAGCCAACCGGGCGTATCTAGTAGATGCCAATGTCTCTCCCCAACTGCTCGAGAACCGCCCGTCTATGATCTAATGTGTCATGCAAGTCGCTATGCTAATGCTGTAAATGAAATGGTTCGAAACGAGTGTGTATGGGAGTTGACCTCCTCAGTGTTGAATAAGCCGGATAATACGTTTATTTCTAGCATGATGTTAGCAAAAACCCGACTGGCAAATGTTGCCATAGCAGTACTCACCCCGCCAGACGATGAACCACCGGAAGAGTTTGAAGAAGACCCCCCTGACGAACTGCCAGAGCTGGAACCGCCTCCATATGGGGTGAAGACGACATCAGGCCTGACGATGCTGAGGGCCGATCCGTGCTTGAGGATGTCATCCCACTTGGTGCTTGAGCTGTCGGATCCAGACATTTTGCTGAGTTGAAAGATGTTTTGACTGGGAAGAGGCGAGGTTGGCGAGGTGTGTAGTCGATGACTAGTAAGCTGAGTGAAGGCGGGCGTTGGCTTGAGGTGAGAGAGCTTGTTGATGTTCTTGTGATCGCTGGTGCTTGCTGTTGATGATGTTAGCTGTTGAGATGACGGTGGAGGGTCCATGGCTTTATATCGAACTCGGTCTGTGAGAAGACCACGCAGAGGCGATGTTGAATACAGGTGCCTAATCCTAGATGGATTCGAAAAGTTGATTCACAGTTGACTTTTTCCAGGTGACTCTGAAAGAAAAAAAAAACCTTTCTCCTTTGGTAATCGAGACTGAGCCCAGGACATGTCCCAGGCATTCCACGATTGGTGAGTGTCCTTGATTACCTAACCCATCTCGAGCCTAAGGACTCGAGTCCGAGGTGTCCAATCCTGAGGCTCTCCAAACAATTGCTCTTCTTCTGTCGGTATAAGTCAAAAGGGGGCAATGTATGTACAAGTCCGAGGTGGCCCGCACACCGTCGTGCTGTGCTATGCTATTTGCAGCCATGGTCGAAGGCACGGAGATAGCCCGCCTAGTGGCTCAAGTGGTGCTGCTTGCGCCCAGCCCCTCTGAAACTGTCCCAAATACCCCCACATCCCCCAAATGCTGGTCGTGCTGCTGGCAGTAGAGAGACCCTTACGGCAATGCGCGCCTGTGCGATGAAAGAACAAAATTATCCGAATTGTTGTTTTTTTGGTGTGATATCGCATGTCGTTCGAAGCCTTGCCGGCGTTTGTTGTCAAAAAAAATGTTGTTGGTTCCTTGCCGCTAACCCCGCCAGGCGAGCCCATCCTCCGACTCTCCACACGCCCCGCGGCGCCGGGGAGCAGTACCGAACCAGATCACCCATTGATCGACCACACCCCAAATCTTCTTGGCCACCACTGAATGTGGCTCGCGTGTAAGGCGTATTCCAAATCACTGGGTAGGTAGTCATAGAGCTCTAGGGCTGGTGGTCATAAGCCAATCCACTATCAGATGGCACCGCCTGCCCTTCTCTCCACTGTCCTGGTCGATACGGCATCTGGCTGCCTTCCATCCTGTGTGGCTTGCAACTGTATTTTGTTTCATGGGCACCTACGAGACATACGCTTCTCAAAAATAGGTCCCTCGCAATTGTTTGGGCAGTGGGGCACCGGCACTTCACCGACCTGATGGTCAGGAAGACTGACCTTCTAGCTAGGCAAGCTGTCCATACATGTCGCATGCGGCGTGTAGGGTCTGTACAGGATGGTTAGGAAAATATGATTCAGCTGTCCTCCACCACGCGGGAGAGGTCCTACATACTGACCTCTCGACGGGCCGCAGCTGGGCTCATCCCACGGCGCCACCTTGTCACCCAGGAAATGCTATGGCCAAGCACCAGGTGATAATTCGATCAGGTTCGGTATGTTGCAATGGAACAATCTTGATCTTTCGTATCCCCTGTTTTTGGTGGTGAAGAAGATAGTGACGGCCACAGATGCCGGCCACCAGCCACATAGATCAGTCAGGTTGCAATATTCCTTCCAGGTTGTACTTCTCCCACAAAGCTAGCTCCTTCCTTCTGACCTTCTAACTCGCTCTGGACGCCACCTAGTGAGTCGTCTTTTGGTGATGCCTAAAGGCCGCAGCGACTTCAGGGATAGCGCGTGTCTGGGCAAACCTCGAATTGTTCGGTAGGGTAAACCCGAAGAGTCCGACTA